AATTAAAAAATTTATAATTTTCGATAACATGCGTTTTATATTGATATTTAGATTTTAAGAAAATGAGTTATAAAATGTTATTCCCTTTAATATTTTGATTAAATGAGTTCACAAATACAAAAATAACTAATTTTGCTTAGTAATAAATTAGAGTTTGAATCGAAATACATGTGGGTTTATATTTAATTATAATTGATTGTCTATTTATGTTTAAAATTAGCTTAGTAGCCAATCAGGTGTGATATAATTGGTCTTCTCGCTTATGTATGGAGTGAGAGGTCTCGAAACCACAAGAATTTCAAATTGTTTAAATTAAATTTATAAAGATAAAAGTTAGTTAATTAATTAGTACTAATCTTTCAACATATTCATATTACTCAGGTCCAAGTCCAAATCTGAATAACTATGATTAATAATAAAAATTAAGATTTTAATATATATATATATTATTTAGATAATTTATTCTAAGATTTACCTATCGGTATCCACACAAATTAGAGAATAACACATACCAATTATTTAATTGGATTTCTTTTTTGAGAGTAATCAAACCGATTAAATTGGTCTCTTGATTTATTGTGGTTTTAATTATAAATAAAGTAGAATGAAGACAAACGATTCATATATACCATCGATCCTAGTTATTTTATGATCAAACTTATATAATCACACTAATTAAGTAAAGAATATGGTGATTTGATTATAGATTTTAATTTTCAGCCAAAAATTCAATTGATTAAAGTTAAATTAAAGTGAAAATACCAACAATTGAATCCAAATAATAGTAAATTTTATTTTTTATTTTTTATTTTTTATTTAGTCTTGCTTAATAAAAGGAGATTGATCATCAACTTCAACACTAAAATTTCCTCTTGAATTTTTATTTTCGATTCAAATTAATTAAAGTAGAAAATTCATTACAACTTTTATCCTAAATTACAAATTAATTTAGAGAGGAAAGGAAAAACAAGAACAAAGAAAGACAAGGGAGAAAACATACTGTTAGAATAGAATGATCAAAGTTTTAATTTTGGCTTGGCGTTGGAAATATTTTATATTGGTTAGTCGTTAAGTTTACATACTATGTCTTTTTTTTTTTTTTTTTTTTTTTTTTTTTTTTTTTTTTTTTGTTAAGTTTACCATCACTATGGCTTTTTTTTTTTTTTTTTTTTTTTCTTTTTCTTTTTTGTGAGAGGATGACGAATTCAACTATGTCTTGTGAGTAGCTCATGAGCAAGCCATTTTTAGGGCCCCATAGAATGCCCAAAAGAATTTTTTTTTTTTTTTTTTTTTTTTTTTTTTTTTTTTTTTGAGAATGACATTCAACTATGTCTTTGATACTCATTGAGCAAGCCATTTTTAGGGCCCCCATAGATGGCCCAAAATTCAGTTCAAGGCACCAAACCAATATTAATATTTTTTTTATCACAATGACTGTTAGTGATTTTATTTTATTTTATTTTTTAAACACAACACAAATAAATATTGCTTTCACTTACATAATTAATCAAGAGAAGAAAAAAAAAATCATCATCTTCGACTTCCAACTTGATTCTTTGTTTAAATCTTTAATTTATTGTTTTTGCCGTTTAAAGAAATAAAATTTATATTTTTTTATCATATAAGTGAAAGTATTTCTTCTTTTGTACTCTAAATTTATTAGAACTACTCTTGATTTAATTATCTTGGTTCAATATGATTCGATGAGATTTTGTATGTAATATTTTTTAAATATATATTTTTAATATAATTAAAAATAGAAGATTTATAAATACTAGATAACTTTTACAAAAATAATAAAAATGACTAAATTTAATATTATAAACAAAAATTAATTAAATACCATAATTATTTTTCATATTCGGGGTCTAAATTTCAAAATGAATTAGTAGTTTTATATTGAAATATAGCTTTTAATAATAGAAAATGTAAATAAACAATGCTCGGAAAATAAATTAATTGATTCGTGGAGAGTTGATTTTTTTTATTGGATTTATCAGAGAATTTTTGGGCTCTTTTTATGGTGCTTCTTTCTTTCTTTTATAAATTCCTCATGCATTTATCATTAAATTTACTAAATCACTTTTTATCATTAGCTCATTGATTTCGCACTTTCTGTACTTGAATAACCGCTAAAAATTGTTAACGAGTGCTCCCTTGTTTTACTGAACTGCAACCCACTTCATTACCTTATTTCTTTCTTTTAATTAATTAAGTACATAAAATAAAATAATGTTAATTCGATTATAATTAACTAAATGCCAAATTAAATAATTGAAACCCTAAGCCCATTCCTAAAACTATAAAGCCCAAGTTCAAAAATCACAAAATAAGTTGAACAAAAAGTTTATACGTTTGATTACTAAAAATAAAAAAGAATAAGTTAAAATTGAAACACACTCAAAGTTCATGATTTTTTCTTTTATTGAGTTTTTCTGCTATGGTAGTTTTTGTGATTTGTTTCAAATATCAAGAAAAATAATAAAATTATAACTAAAATAAGAATGTAAAATTTCAAGGAAAATAGTAAAAATTACAAAATAAATTATAAATATAAGTCATGTAAAATTATATGAAATTTATATACTTTGACGGTTGATTATTTCCATAAATCATTTTTTCAGACAGAAAAAAAAAATATACATTAAAATTCTTTTATTCTTCCATTTTTCATCTCATGTTGAAACTAGCAAAATAAAAACAATATTTACAACCAGGAAGAAAATCAAACATATGTAAATACTTAAATTAACTTATCAAAATTAAAATTATATCTAAATAAAAAAAAAAAGCAAAAGAAATAATTAATGTTTATCATTAAAAAAAGAAAAATATTACATTAAAATTCTTTTATCTCTTCCCCATTTTTCATCTCATGCTTGAAACTCAGCAAAATCAAAAACGAAAATAGTTTACCAACCAGGAAGAGAAGAATTGAAACTAGCAAAATAAAAACAATATTTACAACCAGGAAGAAAATCAAACATATGTAAATACTTAAATTAACTTATCAAAATTAAAATTATATCTAAATAAAAAAAAAAAGCAAAAGAAATAATTAATGTTTATCATTAATTAAAAATTAGATCATTGATGTAATTGATGTTTATCATTAAGCATCATCATGCGTTTCTTAAAACATAATTCATCGTTTACTCATAAGTAAGTGATAGATCTTCACAGAACTAACATACAACAACTCTTTGACAAAAGCAACAGGCACGTTATAAGAAAACACTCACCAGAATGCATCAATTTCCAACTGCAATTTACAGATACTTTATAAAACCATCTCAAATCATCTCCCTCAGTAATTATAATTATAATAAATCATATGAATTTTTGCCTCCGGAACTATAAAATTCTCATTTAAACAAATTAGCTTCCTAGGTGTATAAAAAATATTCATGTCTCAGTTTATTCCCGTGTCACACTACAAATGTTCATCTATAAAATTTTCAATTATATAAAGAATAAGAGATATCAAATTCGAATTTTGTTGTATAATTTCAAGTGTTATTTCTACTCGTTTGACTCTCAATGAATAGAAAAAATAACCAACATAATATCTCAATATTCCCGTAAAATAATATAATATTTTAATGCATTATCCTTATAAAGATATTATTTAATTGTTTTTCAATCAATTCATGGGTAGAAAGTATTGAATATCGAATTTGAGTATCTGCATATAAAAATTTTCATCAACTTTATGAATTGAGGAGAAAATTATTTTTTTATATACTTACAGTATTATTTCAGTCTATAAGTCTTCTAAAAAAAAAAATTATTTACTTCTGTCAAATTGAGATAGTGCTTTTGCGCTAGCAGCTCTGAATCCCTGTCCCAGGACTCGTAGGCATAGCAAAAGTCAAGGAATAGAACAACTTTACCTGAATCTAAACAGAGATACGCGTCAGTTTGTTACCGAGATAACCAAATCCGATTAGAGGCAGTTTTTTTACAGCTCAAAATTTCATCTTGGAGGTAAAAGCTTTTTCTATGTTGATGAAATGATTACAGAAATGCAAAATGTTAAAAACTCATTTTCAATAAAAGATGAATTAACATCCTCTCAAGTCTTTATAACCTGCCTCATCATATTCATGCAATGTTGTCTTCTCCTACATCTTTTTTTTTTTTTAAAATAATTTAATTTAATTAAAAATACCCATGAAAATTAGTTATCTAAAATTATATTTGTCAAATTAAATTCTAACTACATTTTGAAATAAGGGCTGCTATCCAATTCTTAGGTAGAGGACCTTTTGTTGGACTTCATAATGGACTTAAATTACTTGATTGGAATTGAGGGGTTTACAATCTTGATTTCATAAGGAGATCCTTTCCCAGGCAGCATCCCTTTCTTGACCTCATAATATTACTAAATTGGCCGTTTTGGTCTGTGTTTCTTGGTCTTTTGGGATTTGAAACAAGAATTGGATCTTTTCTTTTCTTTTCTTTTTGGGTGTTCATGCTGAGTAATGCACATATGGGTTTAAGAATTTAAGAGGTTTTTTATTTTATTTTATTTTATTTTTGGTTTTGGGGTTTGATTTATATGTTTGGGGGGTGGGTTTGATTATTGTTAGTAATTTTTTGGTTTCTCGACTGGCTGACTTAATTATTCTAAGTTAGGTGAACTCAAGATGAAAATAAGCGAATCTAAACTATGTGATTAAGTTTTGAAACTTTGTAAAAAAAAACCAAGGAGGAAATGTAATGGCAAATATAGAATTTCATTCAACATTTTGTTGATTAGTGTTTGTTAGAAATTATTAATGACACCCTAATTTTGTATTCTGGCTGGAATTCACGCTAAATTTTATACCAGAATCACGTTTTGGTACCCTATTTTTGTATTCTGGCTGGCATTGTGAAATTTTGTGTTGTGATTGTTTGTTTCTTTATTATGATTTGCAAATTTTAAGATCTATGTTTTGAAGTTTGTTGCTAAATAGGTGTCTTAATATGCTTTATATTGCTCTTCTTTTCAGGCTGCTAGTCGTCTTTTGCGTTATCAACCTGATAAATTACATTGATCGAGGAGCTATAGCAAGTAATGGTGTTAATGGGAGTCGCAGAAGTTGCTCGAAAAGTGGTACATGCACATCTGGCAGTGGAATACAGTAAGACTTACCTGGAAGCTTTCGTTTTGACCTCTAAAACATTTTAGGCTAGTGCCCACTACTTTTTTCTACAATCTTGATGGTGGTAGGTTTAATGACTACAATCTTGATGGTTTGGTAGGGTTTTTAATGACCCCGCATAGTGGACTTAACCACTTTGTCCAAAAAGACATGCCTTGCTTAATTTAGTTCTTTTTCGTTTTGACCTCTAAAACATTTTAGGCTAGTGCCCACTACTTTTTTCTACAATCTTGATGGTGGTAGGTTTAATGACCCCTCATAGTGGACTTAAACCACTTTGTCCAAAAGACATGCCTTGCTTTTAATTTAGTTCTTAGGTAGAGGACCTTTTGTTGGACTTCATAATGGACTTAAATTACTTGATTGGAATTGAGGGGTTTACAATCTTGATTTCATAAGGAGATCCTTTCCCAGGCAGCATGCCTTTCTTGACCTCATAATATTATTAGATAAGATCTAAATCACTCAGTCTAAATGGTTGCTATAGATCATAGTAAGTAGGGTTAGTGTTCTAAAATCCTTCCTTTCAATGTTGGGTATGAGTGCATGGACAACACAAGTTGACCTATACCAAAAGGGTAAATAGGATTCAAAGTTTCCCCCACTCAGTCAAAGAAGCTCTGGTGCTGTGTTAAAAAAACTATTCTAACTGAGAGGTCAAGGATAGTTGTATATCTTTAATATTTGACAATATATATATAAAAGTTAAAAGTGCCAATGAGCTTTGGCTTACTAGTGCTGAAGTCATCTTCAAAGCCATGAAGTTGGAAGTTTGAACCCCAGTCACAGCCAAATTAACCCAAAATGAAAATGAGAAAGTAAAGTAATTGTAGAAGGACTTGGCAATATTTTCTTCCTTACGCTTACGGGGAAGCTGAAATTGTGAAGACTGAGAAACCCGTTTCTGATTTGGTGTCCATCCACTCCAGTCTGCCAATGATAACTGAATTTAGCAACCCACAAAATAATGAACTTTTAAATTGTAAATTTTTCATGTTTGATGCTCCTCTAATTTCCTATTTATTCTTAATTTATGTGGAATTTAGTGTCAGAATTATGCTTCCTTTAGCTTCCACCCACTTGTTGAGCAGTGACAGTGATACATACCAGTTGCTGAAACTCAAACAGTTTTAACCTAATTATGTCTCCTTTTGCACAGGGGGGACTTCAATTTAAACAATTTTGAAGATGGACTTTTATCATCTGCTTTCATGGTTGGACTTCTTGTTGCTTCTCCAATATTTGCATCACTAGCAAAGAAGTAACGATTTTCAGACACTTCTTGTTGACTCTATTATTCCAGAAACTTAGGCTCGGTGTAAAGTTATCTTCCAATTCAAAAATTATTTTGTGGAGGGACAGATGGAATAGAAAATTGTCCATTTATCAAATAATAGTATGGAGAAAGATAAAACAATAAAATTACATGAGCAGGTGGCCATTTATCAAATAAAATATAATCCTTTTGTCGGATGTTGCTTTTATGTCAATGATGACTGCGGAGAACCATGATAACTTGAACTGCTTGAAACCTTTTTTTTTTTTTTATGAAATTTAATTGTGCCTTTATTTGTGGGAAAGCAATCCAAAGAAGTAGGTTATTAATGTTATTCCCGGTGTCATGCTTGTAAGCATCACTGATGCCAGAGCTTCAATACTGAGCCTTGTGCTTGCAGCATATTTAGGTCATGTAGTCTTCATGATGGACTTCAATCGCAAAAGGTTCTTTGCAGGTTTGCCTGTGCATTTGTGTGTTTTTGAATTGGTGATCGCAAATTTGTATATCTAATATATGTGGATTGTGAAGTCTAATCCTTTTGGTAAAAGGAAAATTTTTCTTAAAATTTCTCTCAAATAATGCACAAAATTTAAAGTTCAATTGGGCTCAAAAGTAGTCATCTATAATATTTTATGCATTCAAACTCTCAGTGTCAAGTTTGATGCAAGTCTAAAATCATGTTCAATTGTTTCTTTTACCATGATATGGCATAATTTGAGGTTTTTCACCTCCATGCTTATTTTTCTGTTACTCACAAGGATTAAAGGGGGAAAAAATTGTTTTCCCCATAGTTTTGGAATTTCAAGAAATATTAGAATCTTACTTATTCTCGTAGATTTACCTTCAGTGAATCCTGATTCATATATGATATTTTGCAGCTTTAATCCATTTAGGCTAATTGGAGTTGGATTATCAGTTTGGACACTTGCTGTAGTTGGTTGTGGTTTTTCATTTAATTTCTGGTCCATAATAATCTGCCGCATGTAAGTAGATTACCTATTTTCTCTCTTTTAATATCTTCACAGCAGAAGTAAACTGGTTAACACTTTTGCTTGTCGTTCCTAGGTTTGTTGGTGTTGGTGAGGCTTCATTTATTAGTCTTGCAGCGCCATTTATTGATGATAATGCCCCTCTGGCTCAGGTTTCCTTTTCTTTGGTTTTGCTATGGAAGTTTTAAATTATTTTGCTTGCAGTGTTTATTGTATATAACTGAAACACATCACCCTTTGTTTAGAAAAGAAGGTAGATTAGGGAGAGACAAAATGAGGGAGGAGATTTTATATTTATCCTCTTTCGTATGTAACAGGTAGAAATGTTGGGGAGAGGAAATGGAAAGAGAGAAGGAAATGAAATTTTAAAAGTTGAAATTGTAATTATAATTTTATCCTTATCACTTTAGAAAGAAATACTAATGATAAATTTTTAATTACAAATACACTGAGGATTTTCCCCCACCTATCTCTGAACTCTATAATGATTGATATTTGGTGAGCCTGAGAAAAAACATTAACCTTTTTTTGCTCTCCTTCTCTCACCTTACCTTTCTGAAAAAAAATGAGAAGCAATTGATTTCCGTCAACTTTCAGTACCCCTCTTTCTTCACCTCACTTTCACTTGCTCCAGAATGGAGCATCAGATTTGTATGTAAAATGAGTGTGCGGTCTCTATCATAGGAATGGCTGGAAAACTATGCAACTTCTGGCATTTGACATGTCAACTAATTCAGTTTGACATATATGGCTATGCTGTATTTTAATGCTTGCTGCTGGGGAGATGCTTGTTGATTTCACGTGGTAATCCAATTATTATCTGTACATTTAAGGCTATCTAGCTGTTATCATCAATGCCATGTAAAATTTTCTAGCTATTTTGCAACCTGAATCCCTAATATTGTTTAGCCATGGCATATCATTATTACTCTTCACAAACAGATATGCTTTCATTGTCTCAAAATCTTGAACTTTGCAAAAGACGTTGGAATACTTACTGATTTAACCAATATCAGAATGTATTCAGCCTATACTAGAGTTGTTCTTTTCAATCAATTGGAGTTTTCACTCAATTAGGATTGCAATGCTTTGTTATGCTAACCTAAGAGTTGGTAAAGTTAGGTTTGAATATGGTAAAACAAGAAATTGAAATTTCCCTACTGTTCCTTAATAAAATTTACCAAATTTCACCACATACACCCATGAACCTAACACCAAAATGAAGTTGAAAGTATCTTCTTATGGAATATTATTTTTATTGTTTTCACATCATTGATGTAGGCTTCATAATGTAATATATTTGTGGCGATGGAAAATTGGATTTTACGTCAGATGTGAATATGGCAAATGTATTTCTCAAATTTCAGAGTTTGATTTCTGAGGTAAAAGATTGATAGTCATCTCTTGTCACTGAACTTCGTTTGTACTTGAGCTTTATCTGTAGGGACCTAGACTTGAGTCCACTACTAGTAAAGAAAGGTGTGTAACTTCCAAGTAGCGCTTATTTTGTTGATGATATGATAAACATACTCAAGAAATAATACACTGATTTCAATATGAATTTGGTGGAAGGTTGAAAACTGATGTTCCATTCAATGCACTTTTTAAAATCTTAAAGGATATTAGATCTAAATGTAAGTTTGCATTTGCTTCACTCTTAGCTTACTCATCTTGAATCAGATTTGCTACATCATCTTTGCAATTAATTTTTGTGCTGCAAACCTGGATCTAATACCTGCTTTTGTATCAGAAAACAGCATGGCTTGCAATATTTTACATGTGCATACCAACTGGATATGCTGTTGGCTATGTTTATGGTGGACTAGTAAGTTCATTCCTTAATTCATTAGTTCTGTTGATCTTTGAGATTATTTTTATAAATTATGGTCTCATTTGCATGCATTTGCGACATCCGTAAGAACTGTTAAGGCATCACCATATGCTATTATAGAATACGTCATGTTTTCATTCCCTTTCAACTGCCTATCCTCAAATTTATTTAAGATTCAAAATAACACATATCTTATCGTTCCTAATAGGTTGGAGATCATGTTAGTTGGCGTTGGGCATTCTGGGGAGAGGCAGTTGTGATGCTTCCATTTGCTGTTTTAGGTTATGTTATGAAGCCGTTACAGTTGAAAGGTAGAAGTTGGAATTATTCTTTTTAGTTTGAGCTGAAGGCTTTTTCTATCTGTGTCTAAACATTTTATAATGCAGGTTTTGCTCCTGCTGAATCAAAAAAGGCACTGGCATCTGTAGAAACAACTTGCTCAGAAGTTCAAGGTGCTGTGTTTTATGACAATATAGCATCATATCATTCAATATAGTTTGTGCATTTACTTTGTTTTCCTTTTAGCAAATTCACTACTTAATAGATGTAGAACAGATGAAGTTTCATGTGTTCTACCAGGACATTTAAAGTGGTTGAATGTACGTGTATGTGTATACTTCATTATATTTTCTAATATCCTGTTCAATCATATTGCTACATTTGCATTAATGTAGTTCTTAAAATTTTTTTTATCATCTTAATGAGGCATTTTAAAACTTCAAGTGGAGGTTGCAATTGAAAAGTTTAGATAGCATATCTGCTCTTCCAAAGTTTGATTCTTTCAATAAACTGTTGAATTAATTTTAGATGAACTGAGCCACATTACTGATCAACTATGATTTCCCTACATATGGTGGATTTGAAGCAAATAATCCTGTGGATGCATATATCATAGTCTAGTATGTTACTTTACACTTGTGTACTTAAGGTAGCATAATAAGTGGGCAATTAAATGACTTATCACATTATTCCCTATTCAAAAGAGTTTGTTTGGGATTTTTTTTTGTTACATGCCACTTTAGCATTCAGTATAAGAAATTAATTTCACCAGTAAAATATAGGTATAATTTAGTCCCTTTATAAATAAAGAGTTTATTTCTAGGTAGCAAGACATTATTAATCTGTTTTAATGCTAATACAGATGCCGAAATTTCAACTGGTAAAGGTGGCACACCATCTGTTCAGGACGAGTTAGATGGTAAAGGCTCAAAACAGTCTTGCACGTGAGGTTACTTATCCTTATCTCGTATTTACACATTAGTTCAAAGTGATTTTTATACTACTCGCATATGTATTCCATGAAATATTATTAGTCATTAGTTGTATGTGCCATCTGCTTTGTAGGTTGTCTAACACTTCGGTTTAAATTTATTTGTTAATGTTAAGTTGGTATGTGTATGAATGCTGATGGGTGTAATATGTATTTAAGCTTTTTGGATGTAATATTGATTGCAGGTCAAGGTACACAGCCATTGGTTTGAATCAATTCTCAAGGTTTATGAAAGACATGAAAATTCTTTTGGCTGAGAAGGTCTTTGTTGTGAACGTTCTAGGTATTTTCTTTCTCACCCTTGTGGTTTATTCAGAATAAATATATTTTCTTAGTTTTTTTTTTTTTTTTTTTCAAATTTTATTTAAGGATAATTATGTAAAGGTTTTGGAAGTAATTTCATTGTCGTCCAATACATCTCTGATGCTTCTGTTTAGCTTTTGACCACATTTATTATTAAACTACAGTCAGCCAGTTTATGGATTTATTTCCCATGAGATTCTTAGAGGACAGCTTAGATGTAAAAACATTATTAGAAGCATGCTGCATTGGCTATGTGTTTATGAGCCAATTTTCTGAGCCTGGCCTTCTGTTTTCTCAGGCTACATAGCATACAATTTCGTCATTGGTGCATACTCATATTGGGGCCCTAAGGCTGGTTATAATATCTACAAAATGGTAATATTTTTCTTTGACATTTAGAATTTGATTTATTTTTCTTTTTCTGTTTAATCTCACATTGTAATCTCATAAAAGGTAGTAATTTCATTAAATTGGCAAAAAATGGGTTAGGACAAGAAAAGGTTTGGTGAAGTAGCTAGCTGCCTCATTTAAAATCATGTTCTTTTGGCAGACCAATGCAGATATGATATTTGGAGGAATTACAATAGTTTGTGGAATACTTGGCACAATAGCAGGCGGATATATTTTGGATTTCATGACTTCGACAATCCCTAATGCTTTTAAGGTACATGCTTTCATGAAGTCAACAATCATGTTACTTCAGAATTTTTTTTTTTTTTTTTTTTTTTTTTTTTTTTTTTTTTTTCAAAGCAGGCGGATATATTTTTGGATTCATGAACTTCGACAATTCCCTAATGCTTTTTAAGGTACATGCTTTTTCATGAAGGTCAAAACAATTTCATGTTTTACTTTCAGAATTTTTTTTTTTTTTTTTTTTTTTTTTTTTTTTTTTTTTTCTGGTGAGTTTTTTTTTTTTTTTTTTTTTTTTTTTTTTTTTTTTTTTCTGGATGAAGGATGCGGGAGAGAGTTTAGATAATCATGAACATCAATAATTTATGGCTTATTGAAGGAGAAGGCTTTTTAAGCCTTATCGTTCTTGTGGATCTACTGACAATCTTAAGTCTTTTTTAGGTTTTCTGTCAACTATGAAATGGTTTTGGGCTGTAGCCCCTCAAACAGTTAGCAATGGATGTGAGAGATTAAAAAGTGAGCTGTCATTGCTAGTCTCTATAATGTTGTTTCAGCTAGTAAACTAAGATTCTTAGTTTAACAAACATACACTGCTCACTGATGCTGAATGAGGTGTAATATGACTAATGATTGATTACCTTCATGGTATTTGCTGACCTACATTATCATGAGATTTTGCTCGCTTTATCATTGTAGAAAGGTATAGTCCGGTTGAGTTTGCCTACATTACAATGTCACAAAGCACTATAGTTCAACTGTTTAGAATATCTGATTCCAAGTCATAGATTGTCTCTGAATATCTTCTATCCTTTTACAGCTTCTTTCTGCTGCTACATTTCTTGGGGCAATATTTTGCTTCACTGCTTTCTGTTTCAAGAGCATGTATATTTTTCTTGCTCTCTTCGCAATTGGGGAACTGCTTGTCTTTGCAACTCAGGTATTCCTTTTCTTAAGCAAGAATGACCTCCTCTCAATTGCTTGCACCATTCAATTCTCCAATACAAGTTATTACATGTTAATGTTCACAATTTGAAACATTTCTCGCAGCATAAAATCCATGGTATTTGTGCAGGGTCCTGTAAATTTCATTTGTCTTCATTGTGTTGCACCGAGTATGAGACCCTTATCTATGGCTATTTCTACTGTTTCAATTCATATCTTTGGAGATGTGCCTTCCTCCCCCCTTGTTGGCGTCCTCCAGGTTTGTTGTCTTTGCTTCAATGGTCATGTCTTTGCCACTGTGAAACTATTGTTTGTAAAAGAACGCCAATAGGATATGCATGAATTTTGAAGAAAGAAGCATGACTTTTTTTCTTTCTTCTAAAACCATACTTGGAAATAGAAGCAAATGCAAATGCAGAGAAAATTACCATGAAGATGGCCAGCACACGTATATATATAATTTTGATATTGCATTGTTTGTGGCCATGTAGAAAATGATGGCTACAGAGTTGCTTTTGATTTGGGGTTTTACGTTCTCAATATTTTACTTGCATATGGCTTGTATCGACAACTTTAGTTACTAAACTTTGGAAATATCTTACAGGATTATGTCAACAATTGGAGGGAGACTGCTCTTGTTCTGACAGCCATTTTGTTTCCAGCAGCAGGGATATGGTGTATAGGTATTTGTATTTCCTAGTGCTTTCATTAAAATAGCTAGTAGGTCAATGTTTGGTAGGATTGAATCTTTGGATAACACTCATCTAGTCTATATGAATATCAATAAGGTGTTGGTTGGAGTGGTAAGCAACCTCAATCCTCAACAGGGTGAGAACACAAGTCGATCCCTGGGAAGCGCACTTTGCTGGGAGGCCAAAAATTTTTACATTTGATGACCCAAAGTGATTACACCTCCTGGTTATACACATAAAAAAAAAAAAAAAAAAAAAAAAAAAAAACACATAAAAAAAAAAAAAAAAAAAAAAAAAAAAAGAGGAAAGAACCACAACCATGCATTAACCCAGGAGAAAGTTAGGTTCACTACAAAAATGCCTTGGAATTAGCTTTTTTTTTTTTTTTTTATGGTTCTAAATTTCCATTATTGGACAAAAGTGAATAAAAAAAAAAAAAAAAAAAAGAGAAAGAACCACAACCATGCATTAACCCAGGAGAAAAGTAGGTCACTACAAAAATGGCCTTGGAATTAGCTTTTTTTTTTTTTTTTATGGTCTAAATTCCTTATTGGACAAAAGTGAATCGTTAGAGATTTTAAGTTTGAACCACAAGAATTAGGACCTTTTAAAAAACTTACAATTATGCCCAAAAGTCCCATTAGTTGCAATTATACGCATTTGGTTAAAACCAAAATTTGAAAGATAGAAAAATAAACATAGATCACTTTGGAGATATATAATTGATGTAGTTATTAGGTGGATAATTAACCTATTAACAGTTTCTCATATTTCCATCAAAAGACATCAGTAACATAACTTATGTGTACTTGGCAGGAATATTTCTGCGCAGTGTAGATAGATTTAATGAAGAAAGCCAGCATCAAGTCGCTGCAACTGACAGGTCAAACACAACACCCTTACTTGATGGCAACACAGCAGGAGCAACAGAAGCTTCTGCAGAACCATAGAGTACTCGGCCAGAAGTATGAAGTTCTCTTTTCTTTCCTTTACCTTTCAGAAATTCAGAAAATAATTGTAAAGCTTCTTGCCTTTTGATTCTTACTCATTTTGTAGTTTCCTTTTCTTTTAATGTAGTTTTGAGTTAGGTAATACTGCTTTCTCTACTGTATATAATCTTTATAGCAAATCTATAACTAGCTTTCAGTAGTTTGGATCTGATGTACTCTGATATTAAAGAGACTAATAATGGACCATTCTACCCCTTCCTTAATATGTTTTATTAGTGATAAACAGATTTATATTTTTCAAATTATAATTCTCCTGTAACTATTTAAAAGACAATATTATAACCAAACAGGTAAAAATTGTACCAATTGTACCCTCCCACTGCAAAATAGAAAGGAGACAAAATCTGAGTATCTAATATTTGATTTTCCACATTACAGAGGAATGTGAACTATCAATTGCATAGTCAAGTTGAGAAGATACACTCCCATTTATTCTATGTGCTGACAACTTGGACTTCAACAAACGTAGCAGATCTTTATGCCGAGATTGTTTTCTCTTCAATACCTTGATAAAAGCATTCAACCCAAGCCATTCAACTTCTCCCGCCTCCAATTGAAGAATGGGATGGAAATGAGAACCGATATGTGCAGTAGACATCTTTTTCTTTATTAGAATATACATATACCTGTATTCAGAAAACAAAGAAGCAGCAAAAATGTATAATAAGATGTTGAAGGAGCTCAAGGGAAAAGAAGATAAGAAGTAAGAAATGTGTACCTGAAGGACCTTTCAATAATTTTTAAATGGTATCTTGGGTGTAGTTTGCATGTGTACAACATCTCGGAAACGTAGCAATGGAACTTCATTGCACATAACAAAAATGCTTGATAGATATTTAATCTAACAACAGGTCCTGAGTTAATGTTTGAATCGAAGAATATGGGATGGCACTTAGGTCTCAAGAAGCCACATAACTTTGCCTTAAGTTGGCAACCAGGTTTACCTTGCCAGGAGACGGTAAGAGTTGACCTCAAATGGTGGTTCAGATACCTGTGAAATGAGATTAAGCAAATTACTTTATGAACACATCGAGCATAGAGGTGAACGAGTTGACCAAGTTGATAGAATGACATTAAGCACGAGCATGCTATAGGCCAACTGAGTATCTGATGCATATGTCCGTGAGAAATCACTAAAAACTAACCTGGTGTAATCTGCCTGAACTTCTAAAGTGCAAGAGTTCAAAAGCAAGCCACTCCATCGAAGAAATGAGGTTCTATCTTCACCAATGTAAACCCTGTTGGATGGAATACCAGATGCATTTTCTGTATCAAAATTAAGACAAAATTTTTCTTCATTCATATAGCAGTTGTAATCCCGAAATCCTCTCTGCAACCTGGTATAAAAGCCAGTAGCCAGCTTCTTCGAGGTTGATATGAAGCAGAAATCATCAATTAATCTGAGCAGCATATAACAAGAGGATGAAATGACTCTATTCTCTCTGTTACTTACAGCAGCAGAAGCACCCTGACAATTGCTACTTCCAGATAAATCTATAATAGCAGGTTCACGAATTTTTTCAAGAAATGGGAAGATCACATTTCTTTCAAGATGACCAAAGTACAATGAGCAAAGCAGGGAAGACAAGATACTTCCTTGTGGTATACCTAAGCCTTGCAAGTAAAATTTTTTATCCAACTGCAGTACGTTTCGTTTCACATGCTCTTTTAGATTGAAAAGAAGCTCTTTCTTCTTCATATACCTATTGAACCCCTGCAACAAAGAGATATTGTTTAACGTGAATACAACTAATAATTTGTGTTCATGTTCCTATTGAACACCTGCATCCTAACCTTGCCATCCCATATTAATTGAATACAAGTAATAATTTGAGTTCATGGAGTATTAAGACAATTTTCGAAAGAAACTTGATTCAACAACATAAGATATTGGAACTTGGAGTGTAGTTATCCCTATTAAAGAACTGGCAAAAACAATTGAGCAACTCAGATCAACTACCTGATTAACAAGCACTGTATGTAATGAACCAAAGCGAGCAGAAGAACTTAACTTTGTAAAACCAGTACTGATATCTGTATCTGTTAATATAAGATTCTCTTGAGTCCACAAAGACTTCTTAGTACAAACCACTTGAGAAGACTGTCGTAGAAGATATTCATCCTCGACTATGAGATCTTCCATTACACTAATCAGCTTATCCTGATCAACAGAATCAAATGCCTTCAACACATCAGAAACAACAATGAATATGTTGGGCAAGGTACCCAATTCATTCTTCAAGCCAAGAATAAACATGAATAACTTTCCATATATATCATTGTAGTCAAACACTGATGACCCTAACTTTTCTGGTTCTTTTAACAGTATACCTTTCAGAACAGCATGTGTTTCACGAAGAATGGAATTCACTGACTTGAAATGCTTATATTTAACTGACTTGGAGCAAAGTTGTGCTCTTCCCAGCATTCCAGTGGATGAGGATGCTTGAATCATTCTAGATGGCGCTTTAAGATTTGCAAGCATCCTTACTCCATTCTCTTTTGGGCAAAGTCTGAGCTTCGAGAACCCAAATAACCTATTGCCTATAACACTTTCAACGGTTATGGCATTTAGATACTGATAGTTACGGTCTTTCAAGCATGTAATGGCTCTATTTTTCACCTTTTCCCATATTGGCTTCCGATAATAAAAGAGGTCTTGTTTGCCATGCTCACTTTCAGTGACATAGAAGTTGGCTTGTAGTATTGGCACCACCAGACACGAAAAAAACCAGAATATCCATTTCTCTAAAAGCTTATGTTTGAAACTACTCACAGCATCATTTAATTCGCATGATCCCTTCTGCATCTCTAAATTCTGACGTGGCACATTATTCTGCACCCCAGCAGCCAAGTAAAATGAAGAATGTTTATCTGATAGAAAGGGGAACCCTGAAGTCTTCAGTTTATGCATACATTGTTTCAATGAAAACTTCTCATATCTTCTTAGATAAATTAACTTGGAAATATTCCTCGTTAGGATTCTCCAGTTGGAAGGAGTTCCTAACAAATCTGGAGGAACTAAATTTCTACAGACAGCCCATATAAATGACACCACCTGACTCTTTGAGCAATAGGACTTTATTGCCTCAGTTTGGCGATCATTGCAAGATTCAGTATTAACACCATGAGATTTCTCAGAAATTTTATTCTCCAACTCATTCTCCTGAAAAAGACTTGCTAATAAATTTCAGTTTTTTAACAAGAAAAAAGTATATTAAATTAGAATCACATGTCTCTTACACTTCACACAAGTTCTATGCTGAAAACTAACCTCAAACGAAGTTGAATTTTGATTGGTAGTCTGAATTGACGATGAAACCATGCAATGCTTATCCAATAATCTAACATGCTTGCAGCAATGAGTTCGGCGTATAAGAACCTTAAACAACTTAGCAAGCAAATGATACCTAAGAAATTAAATCAAAAGGAGATTAAGGCATTGAGTTAGCATATCACTTGTAAAGAATAGCTTCACTAAAAGAGCTACTAACTATACTCATAATCATGTGTAAAGTTTTCTATGAAGTCCCTAAAAAGAGGTATTTGGCTACACAGATTCAATTACAGTATGGCACAGAAAAATATGATTTTGTCATGTTCTTGAATTCACAAAAATTGTAGCTATAGCAATTAATGTTAGTAATGGACTCCAAAGTCAATTTAATAAGGGTAAAGCCATCCAACCTATTCTATTAACAAGCTTAGCCAATCAGAGTGTATTGGATTTGGTTCAGTTGTCAACATAAGTGTAAACTGAACTGTTTATGAAATCAACTGAATGAAATAATCTAGGGAAGAACTATTAAAATCTTTAAAATACTAAATTACTGTGTGTAAAAGCTTAGCTTACAAGCATGTTGATCCTGAGCGGCAGAAGCCACTGCTGTTGGAGCATGGCACTGATTGAGCATTCAAATTTACAAGAGATAAGCCAAAAACACTGCCAATAAGAGACTTTGAACCTGCGAAATTTGACTTTAAAGAATTTAATATATCTGAATGTTGTTAAGGTTACAATTTTTTGTGTAACCTTAGAACAGCACAAGTCTGAAGGTGAGAAAGACTACTTACAAATACAAGAACACCATTAATTGGTTGCTTGGCTGCTAAAGAAAAACACTTTCGCGGATAAAAAATCAGTAGAGTGGGCAACAAATACCGCAATTTTAAGCAAGCAGAGAAGTAAGAAGCGAGAACGTAATAGACATTTAAACTTTAATATACATGGAAGGATACGTTTTTGTGGAAGAACTGATGAAGAACATTCCAAATTATAAAATATGGGTCGCCTACAAATTTGTGCCCTTTTCATGTTCATATGTGCAGCTTCCAATAGAAGAACACAAGAGCATTGCTGGTGCATCTGCAGTTATGGAAATAAATAACTGAACAGAGAGGAAATTTACAGAAACTGGGTTGCACAAAACCATCTCTGAACCAGCGGAAAAAATATAACCTACTGATATTTTAGGATGAATGAAAGTGACCATTTCACCATTCTGCGAAAATCAAAATTACCTTTTCATGGGAATGGCTTTTACTATCACTAAGGTCACATGGAAGTCTCTCAGGTGCTTTATGTTCCTTAATAAGATCAGTGGAGCAACAAGTGTTATTACTGGCTTCTTCACTATCTGCATTCCTGCGCTTTCTGCAGCGCTGCCACCTAAATAGTCTTGAATGCTTTCCAGGTTTTGGTGAAACCTGATTTGAGCCTTGAAGTTTTTCATTTGAGTACCCTTCATTTCTCAGACTACAAACTCTGGTTCTAGGAGCAGATGCTTCAGGTACATTCATCTGAACATTGCAACGCCTTAGACTAGTGCTTTCATTGATATCTGAATGCTTATGTTTTTTGCAGCGCTGCCACCTAAAAGGTCGCAGTCGCTTTCTAGGATTCACCATTTCCTCATTCAGATGCCCTTGCTTTATATAATTGCTACCATTACTACCAACACAATCTATGGAACCTTGAGTAGAGAGAGTATTACGTTGTTGTATATCACATGTTGAGTTAGCTTTATCATCCCTACTCCTTTTCTTCCTGCGTCCTGTCAAAAAGAAGTCACACTTTAATGATGCAGTCCATAATTTCAGTTTAACAAGTAAGCAATATATTGCAACTGAGCAAGATATGATACAATTATAAAAGCAAGAAAGTATGAAGAAAATATAGAATGGGAATAAGAAACAATAACATTACAAAACACAATCTCTAGCATTCAGATTCTCTTATTTGTTTAAAAAATATAACAAACTTAGTTTATCTCTAGCATCCAGATTTTCTGATTCATAACACATCGAAGGAAATAATGGTATGTCAACTTCCCTACCAGGCAACATAAATCTTCCCGTTTCTTTAAGCCTACATATATACAGAGTTATGATTATCAGATCAATGTAGTGATTGAAAACAGACAAATTGGACCTACAGTAGAATAGGAAAATAGATAGAGTTTATTCCGCAAAAACATAAGCAAGCATTTCTCAACTGCTTTTCCTCAAAAATAAAAGGACAAGCAAGTGCGTCTACATACATGTGTTATCACTTACTCAAGAAATAATACAAAGCAATTACATCCTTAGACACCTATTAAAAATATGAAATTATCAACCCTTAATTACCAAAATGGATGACCAAAGGATCTTGACATTGTCGTGGCACTGTTGTATGCTTCAACAACTTAAGAACCAAATTATTCACAGGTGGACCAGCCACCTGATGGTGTTTCTTAAGAGGAAGTGGCAAAAATATTGATGTATGCTTTAGAAGATATATCATGATACCATCCCCCACCTGCAATTTATGGAATTTACGCACCAACTCATATAATTTGATGAAAAACATCAAAGAACATAATCAGTCAATAGTTGAAATCCACATTATACCCTTTTTAATAGAAGACTCCATGCTGAAGACGTCAGAAGGTCAACAATGGGGCTTGAGTGATTACACTGTCATCCAAACAACAAAAACGAAAGAAACCTTCAAATAAGGAAAAGAAGTACTAAATAAATAAACAGATGCAACCTATCAAGATTCCAATCCAATTCAAATACATAAGATATAAGAATTATACTTAAAACATGTAATTTCAAGACGAATTCAAGTTAGTCAAATTAACTATATAATGAAGGTGTAAATATTAGCATTTATAAATTACTTGCCTTGTTATAAGCACTGCATATTACATTCGAATTCGCCGGTTGCTCTCTGATTATCATTTCAATAGTCCTCACCACAATCTGAAACCACAACAAGCACATTACTTGATAAACCAACTTGCAAGATTATATGCATAAACGACATGACGATTGTTAACAATAAACAACCTCGCTTTGGGGCCAGTTGTTATGAGGCCGAGACTCAGCAGCAGAAACAAGAGGAGCATTGTCATTGACGACAACGAAGCAGTTATTGAGGAGATTGCGATAATCGAGTGGATCTCGGGGTTGTACGAGAAAAGACATGGCGTTTTCACTACTACCACAACAGTTGAGGCAGAGCCGACCCTTGCATTGGCAGAAAGGTGGATGTGGCGGTGGCGATGAAGAGTGAGGTCGAATTAAAGATGTGATAACGGTGGCTAAGGTCTGTGCTCTGTCCCTGAATAGCTTCCATAGGACCACCGGAACCTTTCGTTTCTTTCCCATTTTCGAACAGACAGAAGGGAACGTTTGTTCTTGAGGAAAACGGAGGGAAGTGAGAGGGAACTTGGTAAAGTAATTTGAGTATTGGGCCAATGGGCCATATTCGTAAATTGGTAATGTGAATTTTGGAAATAAAGATAAAATAGAAAAAAAATTAATCCAATATTAGATGAACCTGTCTCCAGACAAGGATAGCATACAGCATCAGCAAAACAGCGTTCCCCTTTAGAACACAGAGAGACGATAAGAATCAACAACAACTAAATCTACTTGTCCCACTAACTTGTCTAATCATAATTGGCTGCAACCAAAAGAGGCCAAATTTTTCCTATATTTTTTAACCATCATCACTAAATTTTAAAATAGCATTCATTTATTTGCTAGATTTATCAAATATTTTTAACTAGAACTTGGAATTTCAAACACTAAAAGTCGATTTTCTATTCCTCCCTCGCTTATCGAAACAGGTCTAAATAAAATATACCTAATATTTTCTAGCATTAATTATAAGATAACCTTTAAAATTTCATTCAATAAATAATTGAGTCCTTCTTGTTTTAAAATAAGTAACTTTTAATTCTATATTAGTGAGATATTAGAATATCTTTAAAAAAAAATTTATGATCTAGAAACTAAAACACAATTAACCTTAAAATTTTAAAGAATAAAATGTATCAAAAAGATGCTACAGGATCAAGAATTCAAGTGTGACAAAAAAAAAAGTTCATAATTTCAAAATTGAAGATTGAATTGTTAATTATTAACCAAACTCAAAGACTGAAATTGATAAGTTTAAAACAATGAGGATCAAAGTGTAATTAACCCTACCTTCTAAATTTTGTCAAACTGGTCAGTGGTTACCATGGTGTTGACCTCATTTAATTTTTGTCCCCACAAGCAAAACCAACTAATTGAACCCACAGATTTTGTTTGCCTGTTTTAATTCAAGCCAACCATTATTATCCTTTATCAGTCTACAAGTAGACTATAAAGCTTGTCACTTTCCAAGGGAATTTTCAAAAGTTACAACAATGGCACCTACAGCTGCAATGCTAATTCTTCCAACCCATATTAAATCACCTTCTCCTCCTTCAACAGCCTCTCCTCTTCCACCTTATTCTTTTTTTGAGGTTAAGTTTTCTGCAATCAAATGGTTCAAAGGAAGATATAATCAAGATAAAGATTCATCCACTACTGATCTTTCTAATTGTTTGCCTGCTGTTGATTCTTCTTCTTCTGCTATGGAAAAGAGCTTTGAAGAATCTCTTGAACATAGCTGCTGGTCTTAAGGAATGTTTAAATATTTCCACTTTTTCTATTTTCTTTTTCTTTGTGGGCAAAGGGTTATTTCTGTGTAAATATCACTTGACTGATCAAGCAGTAGCTGTGGTTTTCTATGTAATTTTTTTTTTCTCTTTTGCAAATCTCATAAAATTGTGCATGCATATACTAATGATTACATGAAATCATATGTGTTTTCTCTTTTGCAAAGCTCTTCTGGGTTTCGAAACCTTGCAGCTATATTTGGCATATGCCGCAATTGAATGCAATAGTTAAATACAGAATAGATAAACTACTAATAGCAAAACATGCATATCAAATACAAAGGAAAGGTACAAGTTAAAATGATTACTCTTTCAACATCAATCAAACTTTCTGATGAAAATTCTGGCTCTTTGTTTGTTCTCTGTTTCTTTGTCTAATTGGTTTCTTCAGCATAAACTAATTTCAATTATTCAGAAAACAAAGCTTGAAAAAATTTAAAAAACTCTAGAGTTTTTAAAGAGGAGAAACAGACACACAATACAAATTTTGAATTGGATTTGACTGTTGTCACATGATCTTAGGGTTAATTTTTCACTTCAATTTTTGGGTAAATATCAATAGGGTTTTGTATGTTTTTTTTTTTTTCTCTTTTGCAAATCTTACAAAAAAATTTCAAATATTTTCCCTTTATCCATTTTCTTTTTCTTTGTGGCCAAAGGGTTATTTTTGTGTAATTATCACTTGATTAATCAAGTAGTAGGTGGGACAAAAGGATGTAACAGACAAACCATAATTAAAAATAAAGCACCATAACAAAAAGAGGGAGGGAGGAATAAAAACCTTCTTTGATTTTGCATAGAACATCTTAAAATGTCAATGCTTAAATTCCAACTAGTTTTAATTATAGTTTATACATATCTGAAACAATCTTCAAAGCCATAAATATGTCGAAAGAAAATGCGGTAGCAAAGCAATGATGGAGACTAAAAAACCTTAAGACCCGAACTGTAAAGTCTCAATTACTTGGACAGAAACTTGGTAAGCTCTTCGAGTCCAATCCTCTTTCCTGAACTGACCATATGCATAATTTTATGCTCAAACAAACGGTCCTTCCTCATTCCAGGGTTCTGCAAGACAGTGGTACAAAGCAGTCGCGTCAAAATTCAAAAAAGAGTACATAAATTTTCAACTAGTTACGAGCTATATCCGTTCTCTTGGTTCATTCGTCAAACACGTGGAGGACATTAATGAACGAAACTAGAACGAAACTATAACGCAAATAAACTGTCAGCCGTCAAAACAGGTAAAAGGTATTAAAGTTACAGTACCAGGCGAACATGCATTTTGGTGAATTGAGAGATGATTTTGGATCTTTCAGTGCAAGGAGGATCAACAAGACCGAAGAACTTGCCGAACGTAGATGAAGCAAGCGGTGTCGTTCTGGATTTCAATTGAGAGTTTACAACGCTGCTGTGAAGTGCATGGGGAGGGTGGGTTCTGCGGCGGCGGATGTTGGAGTAAGTAGCCTTTACTGCTGCTTCAACAGCCGCCAGCGCGGCCAGCTTTGCTCTTCTGGCTGCCTTCCTAGCCTCTTCAGCCAATACCAATGCGTTTCCCGCCGATCTCTTCATATCTACTCTCTGCGTTTATTTTGTGTTATTACGTACAATACAGAACTTCCAACTCTGTGTCTTTTATACTGTTTTGCACGGTATGGTTGATAATTAAGTCTCTATTTGTATAATTTCCAATTAGATGTGGATAAACTTTGTTTTTTTTTGAAAAAAGAAAAAGAGAGATATGGATAAACATATTAAAATTGTATAAACACATATTTTATTTTCACATATAAATACACATTTTGATCAATTGCAGTTAATTAACAGTCACCACCAATTATTGGCCCCAAATATTTAATATATATGTATATATTTTAATTATAGTTGAGATTTTTTATCTCTCCCTGCAGGTGCGCTTAGTGAAGATCGAACTTGAGAGCTTTTTCCAAATGTTCAATCTACATTGTCAACTGAGTCATAGCCCGTAAGTATATTTTTACATATTTTTCATATTTAACTATAATTTTTGAAATATAAAAATTTTAAAGTCTTAAAATTAACAAAATTTTAAGTTTTATATTGCAATCAAATAATAGAAAATGAATTTCTAAAGCTAAATTATTTTCCGAAAACAAAAAAATATAGTAGAATATAGAATTTTAAATTTGAGTTTGTGATGAGTCCAACTATTATCAAAATAATTAGAATTAATCAATATGAGACTAACATATTTTAAATTTATATTTAATATGAGTATGTAAACATTTGTAATGTATATAAATAACACATAAAGGAAAAATCGGGAATACATTGGTTCTCATGGAGAAAATTTTGTGTCGTAATAAAGCTGCAGGAGGTATTGGATTCCGGTCTCTGGCCAGGTTTAATGTGGCGATGCTTGCGAAAACAGGATGGAATTTACTAACTAGGCCTACAGCCCTTGTTAGTAAAATTTTGTCAAGCACGCTATTATGAAAGATCTGATTTTTTACTTGCTCAGCTCAGCAAAAACCCCATTTTTATCTGGAAATCTTTGATGGCTGGTCAAAAGCCGTTAATGGCTGGTTGTTTACGTCGGATAGGGGATGGGACTAATACTTCAGTCTATGGATGCCCGTGGGTGCCGGACCCTCCACATTTTCGCATTCAGTCTTTGAATTTGACAGTTATGGAGAGTGTTAACTTAGCAGATTTGTTTATTCCTAATACCCGCAGATGGGATACTGAATTACTGAGTTATTGCATGAGCTTTTTACTTCCCATGAGGCTCAGTTGATTGAGCATATACCTCTCTCGCGTGTTGTTACTGAGGATAGCTGGTATTGGTATCATGACTCCAAGGGAATTTATACAGTAAAAAGCGGCTATCAGTTTTTGGAGAATCAGAATTCTTGGTCGTCACAGGTGCCGGTGCTGGTGTGGAAGAAGATATGGGCTTTGGGTGTCCTCCAAAGGTCAAAAATTTTTTATGGAGAGCTGTTTCGGATATCTTGCCAGTTTATGAGGTTTTAAGAAGGAGAAATGTTCAAGTGCCTTTGTTATGTCCACTCTGTAATCATAGCACAGAAAGTATGCTGCATTGTCTAGTTACGTGTGAATTCGCAAAGGAATGCTGGAATGGATCAGTGACAGGATGGTAGTGCGGTTTCAGATTTTAAGGAGTGGTTTCAGTTGTTAATGTCCTGTTGTGATGATGTGAAGCTGAACGAAGCTGGTATGTTGGCGTGGGTAATATGGTGTGCTCGTAATTCTTTTATTTGGCAGGGTAAACAACCGATGTCTGGGTCTGTGGTTCGACGGGCTCATACTTTCTTAAGAGCTTGGACGGAAGTTCGGGTAGGGGACTCAAGTCAAGAAGCAGATATCCAGCCACCTTCAGTTGCAAAATGGAGACGTCCAGCTACAGGTTTCAAACTAAATGTTGATGCTGGGTATGATAGTGCAACAGGTCGGGCAGGTGCAGGATGGATTTTGAGGAACGATAGAGGCGTGTGTATGGGTGGTAAAATGCAGATTCTGGGTTGTCTCTAGTGCAGCTATGGCAGAGGTCTAGGGCGTAAGAGAGGCGCTGAGTTGGTTGAAGAATAGGGGTGGACAGCCTCAAGTAATGGTTGAAGGTGATTGTTTAACTGTGTTACAAGCTCTGAATTCGCAGTGAGAGGATTTCTCTTATTTTGGCTCTTTAATCTTAGATTGTAAAACCCTTATGCAGGAGTTTTCTTCTTTGTCCTCAGCTTTTGTTAGCTAAGGCTACTAGTTCTATGTCTGGCCCTATGGAGTGGGAACTGTCTCCTCCATCTATTATTCATGATGTTTTGTTGATGGATTTTAATAATAATTAAGATATCTTTTCAGTCAAAAAAAAAAAAAAAACCTATGGAAGTGGGAAACTGTCCGCTCCCTCCATCTATTATTCATGATTGTTTTGTTGATTGGATTTTAATAATAATTAAGACATCTTTTCTTTTCAGTCAAAAAAAAAAAAAAAGTTAAAAAGCCATGAAGGAAAACCAGTTTGGTAATGGGATTAAAAAAAAAAAAAAAGTAAAAAGCAATGAAGGAAACCAGGTTTGGTAATGGGATTATTTTTTTCTTGGGAAAGGGCAAAATATGTGAGGAAAATAGGAAGGGAATTTTTTTTCCCCCTTATTTGAAAAAGATGAGGAAAACATCCACGGAATGAAAAATAAATACCATCTCCTCCAGGCTCATAAAATTAGAATCTCTCCAAATTATAGAAAGAAAAGAATTAAAAAATGCATTGTTTAATGTGAAATATTAGTTTATTTTCATTTGTCTTTTTTTTTGTTCCCTCCTCTATACAAATACAAAAGTGGAAACTAAGAAAAGTAAATAATATAGGATAAAATTGAACCAAGAAAAGCACTAGAAAATGGAAATGCATTAGAATCAACCTGGAATGTAGTGATTTCATCATATGAAACATGGAAACAATGGATTATTCAAACTCAATGGGAAAAAAAGTGTTGATAACTAGGACTGGCTTGCCAGAAAGCAAAACTCTGGCAAGCGACAACCAAAGCAACTGCTACTTCAAGCTCCAACTCTGTTCGAGGCATTTATAAAAGTGAGAGCTCTCCAGCAGGAATTGTTCTCTTGACTAGTTTAGCCCAAGACTCATTTGTTTCGGTGATAACCTTCAGAGCATAATCCTGCTCATCACAAAGACATTGTAAATCATATGAGGAAAATAATCATTTATAATATGAAGTTGCTAGCAATAAACATCTAATTTGCATAGGAGAAAGAAAAACAATTATACTTCAAGTATGGTTATACCACATACGAATTTCCTATTATTGCTAGTCATTAGATAAGGACAACTAATCGTGAGACATCAGTCACTATAGCTAAGGAGCTGCAGTATCCTTCTCAAGTCTCAAGCATTATATTGTTTAGCAGCTAGAATCCTAAACTTTAGCTGAGGCTACAATTTAACAAGGCACTAAATTATCAAATGTGTATGTATTATTACAGAATATGGAATGATTTATTCCCTAGTTTGTATTGGGTCCAAAATGTGAAACGGAAATACCATATACATATATCACCTTAAAGCAAGCCTATGCTGTATAACATGTAATAAGAAAAGGAAAATTAGGAAGAAGAATACCTTGTTTGCTGCCTTGTTCCCAAGACCAAATTTGTTAGCAGGCTTACCATCAGGGATCTTGTAGTCTCTAAACCAGTCCCTGATTGCAGTCAGAGTTCCCTAATGAAAACACCAGCAGATTAGTTGTATACTTGGTAAACAATTAATTACAGTATTCCTGATTTCAGTATCAATACATGACCTTGGCATAATGCATTTTTTAGTCACTTCATACAATATCATAATAACTGGATGTTATTCTATCTCTATATCCACCAACTCAACAAACTCAACATTTCCAATAAAATCTCTCCCGACACATCTTTATCGTGACTTCGTACTTTTACATTTGCAACATACTGCCAGCTATTTATATCAACTATTTTGTTATTTATGACTGGATATTATTTTGCCAACCATTTCATGGCAATATATCCATTAAAAGACAACTTCTGGGAAGCCACATAGCCTGCTAGTAAACAAATGTGTTGACTGAAATTAATGAAGAAACTATAAATAATTGATTCCCATCATACAGACACGTCTTTTTTCCTGGTTATATTGGTACAGATAGAAAACCATTGTTATCCAGGTTATGGACATCACAATAGCAAAGAGAAGGAAGCCTACCGGGAAATGTTTCTCCACATCATCAACATCGTTTACAAAAGAAGCTCGTGGATCGTCCAATGAGATTGCGACAATTTTCCAGTCAAGTTCACCCTCATCAATCATGGCTAAAGCAGCCAGGGGCTTCACCTTTAGAATTTCACCAATCTTTGCCCGTCTTTCACCAATCTCAACAACATCAACTACAATTTGAGAAAATAATGTAACTAATTTAAGTGCCAATATGCTGGAAAGAAAGATTTTGAAACAAGTTATGATGATATACCTGGGTCATTATCTCCGAATGCCCCTTCAACTTCATGGTTTGCAAAAGATGGATCTTCCCATGTTTGTGGAAGCAATCCATAGTTCCAGTTTATGTTATAGCTGAAGAAAAATAACAAAGGATAAAGTGATAAAATTACATGAAAGAATGAAACAAGCGTAGAAGACAATTGATATTTTAAATAAGATATTGATCCAACTAACAAGTTGCCAACCAACTAGTTTGGGATTAAGGCTTGTCTAAGTATACAAGCTGCCATAACCGAGAACGTGCACAATGAAATCAATAATAATCATATAAAAAGTACACCAACTACAACAAGTTGTAGCTTCTTCTATTGATGAAAGAATTATATGAAAGTTATATAAACTTGAAAAGGTCCATAAGATTATAAGGTTGTGTGTAAAATCACTGTACAAGCTGTACGTTAAAAGAAAATATAGCAGAATGAGGAGAAAATTATACATGAAGTAAAAGGCAGTAAACTAAACTTTTTTTTTTTTTTTTTTTTTTTTAAATTATACAAATGAGGTAAAAGGCAGTAAAAGCTAACTTTTTTTTTTTTTTTTTTTTTGGGGGGGGGGGGGGGGCAGGGGATGGGTATGTCCAATAAAAACTATTTAAATCTACTTAAAAAAGAAGAATCAAGATGGGGGGGGGGGGGGGGAGGGGATGGGTATGTCCAATAAACTATTATCTACTTAAAAAAGAAGAATGCAAGATGTCATTTTAACTGCCATCTCAATTCTGTTCTAGTACTAAGTTTCATTTATTATTAATCCTTCCATTAAAAATTGGCGTTGAAAACAAACAAACAAGCATCTAAGTCCCATGCGCCTTGCGTCACAAAAATGCAAAAACATACCAATAAAACTATTTGAAGCACCAAACAAACCTAAGATCGAATACCATACAACATAGGTTTCATTATGAGGCCAAAAAATACTGTGAAAGGGGGTAGTAGACTGGTCGTGGCTGAGGAACCTCCAAAATGAGTATTGATTATTGAACGACCATGTCAGTCACTCGCACATCTATGTCACTTTAATTTAATTGTAAGTGCTGAAGTGTGTGCTGATGATTACTAATGCAAGGATTAGATGTTTTAACCCTTGAAGTAGAATGATGGTGAGAGGACAGTGCTCATACTTATATACTTGATCAAAGAACATTGCCGACATTAATGAAAAAGCAAAGTCAGTTTGAGTTGATGCAAGTATAATAATGAGAAAGAGAGTTCAGACTTGTGAATTTTGGAAAATTGGATCAATATATTGGGACTTATTTTTCTTTTTTATATAGTAGGCACCAAGGAAATATATAAACAGGCTAAAAGTTTAATAGTAGAGGATCAAACCATGGCCCTACATGCAAGTTCAAGATGAATGAGTATATTGAGGAACTAAGATCAGGCGAATGCTAAAAGCATCAAGAAGTTTTTCCATATTATTCGGAAGAGAATTCCTATCTCCATGATTTAACGTTAGTGGTCAATGTTATAATATAAGATTCTAAATGCAAGATAAAAATTGTAGTATGCAGATCCCAGAGCAAGATGGAAAAAATTACGCAGTTCGCAAATAGGATATGGCATCACATTCAGCCGGTCAACATTCACTGACTCACAAAAAAACAGCCAAGAGATACTCCCAAGTTCCAACATCCCTAATGCAGAGTTCCATAATTGGACTTTCTCTAGTGCAAACAACTGTGAACTCGACCAAAATTTTTTACCAATTTCACACTCCAAGTAATAGCAACTTACTATTTCCAAGTTCTCACAACTAGTAGAAGCATCCTCAAGACGTAAACTAATAAACAAAATGCAAAGAAAGAAACTAGAAAATCTTACGGGTAATATCTAAGTTTTCCCTTTTTTGTGTCCTGCTTGATAGGAGTGAATTGCTCATCAGTAGCAACCTCCATCTTTGCACTTGATTCTTTGGGAATTTCAACAACAAAGTTGAACGCACCATCGCCCAAGTGCAACGGTATGTCATGCCAAGGAGAAACCTGCATAGCAAGCAAGAAATACATGTCAGCAGATAAATATAACTGATAAAATTAGCCAAACTATTACAGTTTTATTTTTTTATTTTTTTATTTTTTTTAAAGTGTCTTTCAAAGGGGGAAAAAAAAAGAAGCAAATAACACAGACACAGAATTTCCTAAACTGAGCCATACAGTTTCTTAAAATATTAATTGAACATCAAAACCATCAAAACCTTAAAAAGAGGTAATTTTTAGTTAAATTACCACAAGTAGTTATCAAAACATTGAAAAATCACACATAATATAACTCCAACCAAAGATCAAAATCACAGACAATAACTGAACAAAACGTTGGATTTCCTTCAAAAAACACAAGTATCAGTATAAACATGACACTGTAATCAACAGATAGAGGAGAACCTAAATATAACCCACTTAAATTTCTTTGACATCCCACATTTCCAGCAAACCAAACAGCAGAATATCAAAACAAAAACAGCAAAGATAAAACGAAAGACCTTTTTCCCAGAGTTGTCAAGGAAGAACACACGGTAATCGAGGGTCTCAGGCTGGCCTTCCTCTTTGATTTTAACATCAGGGTTATGTATAGCAGTACAAGTCAAAACCGATCTTTTTGAAGAGGAGAACAACGGTAATTGTCTTTTGCCATTAAAGCAGAAACCGACGCCATTGAAGAAAGGCTTTTGGTTCAAAACGAATGGTCGTTTAAGGAGAAGGCCACACGACGTCGTTGCGTTGGTTGCGGCAGCTGCTGCCATCACTCTAGCGGCCGCCATTTGCCGTGGTTGAGGAGAGAGGTAGAGGTAAGAGTGAAGTGTGACCGTGAGTGATTTGTCTTTGTTTTGTGTTGAACCACACAGAATAAGAACAGGTGGTCTAGTCTTGATAGGCTGCGCTGCTTTATGTTTTTTTTTATTTAATAATATAATATTTAATGTATATATAGTAGGATTATTTTTTATTGGGGTCCAATATTAATTATCGTTAATGGATCAACCCGGAATCTCCAGTAAAATACAACACTAAAAAAAATATTTTTTATTATATGGTATTTAGTGTTACCTAGCTTGACACTTTAACGACGATTTGATTGAGCATTACGTACTAACTCATAGCTAATTGATCTGGCTATTAAAATATAAGGTATATAAAATTATACACTAAAAAATAGTATATTGATAAATACATATATTATTTATATTATTTATACGATATGATAATAGATTCAAATTTAAATTTTCTTTCTTAATACCCAAAAAAATGTATAATTACTATTAAGAGCATAATTGTATAATTCAATTGTGATGTATAATGTATAATAGATATATATATATTTTTTTTAATTTAAGGTGAACATATTATTTTTATTTTAATATATCATATAAATAAAAATATTTATTAAAATTTTAAAATAATAATTTATTAGAATTTTAAATTATATATTTAAGAAAAATAGTTTTTAATCTTTAATTAATTATAAAATACAAGTTATTAATAAAGTGAAGAAAAATTATTTGCAAAATTTTAATTTTAATTAATTATAAATAAAATTATTATAAGAAAAAAAATTCATTTGCAATTATTTTTATGAAGATAATGAAATCTAAAATAATATAAAGTGTAAATGAGCTACCACGTCATTCAAAAAACTTCAAAATATAACCGATGAAATCAATAGTTAATTGAGACTTATTTCTATCAACTATCAACAATGTAGTTATTAAGCACGAAACAACTGTCAAGTATATGAATCACCTAACGTCTTTTTAATTAGGCGGGTTTTGAAAAACCAAATCGACATCAAACTATAGTTAACGTTTTAATTTAAATCGTAATTGAAACTGTGTGTTTATACTTATTTTTTATTTTTTAAAATTAGAAACAACTATTTTGATTTAAATATGCATTTCAGTTTGAAAATCGTAAAAAAAAAAACTCTTGATATTATTTTTTATTTATTGTATTTTTTTAAAATTAACACTTTTTGATAAATTGGTTGTGTATTTTCAATATTATTATTATTATTTGAAAACATTTAATATTTATCATAATTATTTACTCAAGGTGTAAATAAAAAAATAAATAAAAGCTTGAAAATGGTTGTTTAATTCAATTCTAAATTATAATGGAATTGAACCGATAATTTCAAAAACGTTTTTAAAAATTATTTAAAAACGGATCAATTTTTATTTCACCCTATTTATAATTGAAATCAACAGTTCGGAACTGTTGTCATTCCTAAACCTCTATTCTAAGTACTGAAAAGAAATAGAAATGAAGTATATTCTCTTTTCTAGATTCAAGCAAAATTAAATTATATACCAAATTGAATCAAATTAGATTACCTCTGTTTGAATTTAGATAAATTTATTTTTTATAATCAAATCAAAACTTCAAAATCGATATTATCCAAATTAATAATTCGAGCAATTAAACCAATCAATTATAAAAAATTAATCAGATTATTTTCATTCAATTTAACGGCTCTAATTAATAAGTATTCACCCTAACACTAACCTTAATACTTATTAGGTTCAAAGTTTAACATATTTCTACTATGATATCAAAACTCTACGACGGAATATATAAATTCATCTTTGAATTTTATTACAACTTTGTTGGCACTCTCAATTTTTATTTTAAGTCGATTAAATATTGTAATTTGTAAAATTACACAAATTAAACAATTCAACTTGCATAATTATTTTATTGAAAACTTTAATTTATAAAATTACATCAATTAAACACCTATTAAATAATTAAAATATATGAAAATTAATTTAACTACATATAAATTCAATAGTTTACGTATAAAGTTAAAAATCATAAAAATTAGTGCTATTAGTATGTAAAAGTGTATACTATTATCAAATTTGCAAGTTTTAATGCACAATAGAAAATTCACAAAGTTCAACATGACATAGAATTAAAGTTATAAAGCGAGTTAATTTATATACTTAGCCAAACTCTATTTCCTTCCTAACTTTTTCATATTTTAAAAAGTTCATTGTGAAAGTTTTTTAACTTTTTCTTTAACCTTAGAACAATTTAATTTTGAAACTTCTTACAAGCTATTTAGCTTAATACATTATAATACTTTGAATTTTAAGAGGTTTTGCAATTTCATTCTATTTTTACATCTCTATCAATTTTACTCAAATTTTAAAAGTATTTTCATCCATTTTTAGATCGTCATGTGAACTAATAAAAATCTATATCTATATCAATATCTATATCTATTTATATATATAATCCTAAAACAAAAAATATTTTAAAAATGCTGATGTGGCGCTATAAATTTTTAGCTTTCTACTTTTCTTTTTTATAAATTTTTGCGATTTTTTACTTCTATATATATATATATATTATTTTCTCAAGATATAAACCACTTTGAAACTATTAAATTTTCAAAATTTAAACTTTAAAATTTTTTGAGTTTTTTTATCTGTATCTATGTACCTATATCAATCTATAAATACCTCTATTCAATAATTTTCTTTCACAAGGGTTTTTTGTTTTATGTTTTTGTTGCCTCTTTGAATTATTTTGATTTCAATTTTTTGTGTTTTTTTATTTTTTAATTTTTGATTTATATGTTATTGTTGTTTTCAGATTTTAATTAATAGAAGTATGACAATATTAATTCTCTTATCCAAATATATCACTATCTTTTCCAACTGATGTAATTAACTCTCTAATATGTTTTTTTTTTCCCTTTTCTGTTTATAGAAGAAACTTTTTATAGATTTTTCTGTTTTTTTTTTTTATTTATTTGCATATCCTGTTCATTTGTATTTGAAAATCCAATAAATGACTTATAGATTCAATATTAATTATTTATTATTTATTTTTTATAAAATAATATTTTATCTTCTTAATTTTTATATTTTCGAGTATAGTATTTTTAAAGATTTTGATATGTTTGGTTATTACCACTCTCATATAATTATTGTTTATTGTAATAATTATTTATTATTTAGAAGTACAAGTATTCTTTCATAAAAAAAGCATTCTATCCTTTTTAAGAAATTACTGAAATTTTATTTATTTTACTATTTAATTGGATATATATATATATATATATATAAAACCTAAAAATTAGGTCTTTAAAAATTTTTAAAAATTTTGAATTCAAATTTTTAATTAAAACTATAGATATAAATAGTTAAGACTTTGTTTTGTATAAAACTTTCTATTTTTAATCTATTTAAGTTCTATATATTAAATTAAACTAAAATATTTCTATTTTTATCTATTTAAGTTCTATATATTAAATTAAACTAAATAACTTTTTTATTTTTGGAAATTTATATATTAGTATTTAATTTTTCAATTTTTCTATATTTTATGATATTTGTATAAAATTCACAATTATAAACAATATTATCTATATATTATTCCATATAAATTATTTTGAATCTTAAAATTTTATAAGAATTATCTACGATAATATAATTGGTTGTTAAATTATTTAAATTTATCTATATAGAATTATCTAAAACAAGATATGATATTAAATTTTATAATTATTTAAATCATTACAACATAATATACTAATTTAATAATGCAACCCATAGGAAAGTAGATATTTTAATAATATATTATACAATTTATAAAATATAATATTTAACAATAAAGCAATTAACCCGCGTAAATCGCAACTAGTTTTAAAAATAAACTTTGAAAAATATCTCGTTAGTCTATTTTTTTTTTTATTAAATGATCAAACTTGCATTGTTCAAATCGTTCAATACAAAACCAACTCATTCAATACAAAATAAATAATAAACAAAGAAGGGACAATATTTTATGGTCATACATAAAATATGCATTTGTGAACAACTTTATTCGCTGACCGTTATAACACAAAAAAATTTTGTTAAAAGGGGAACAAAATCTTAGAGTATATGATTATTTTATTTTCCCTCAATATCTTAACCTTATTTTTATCGTGAAGTTCCTAAATTGACAAAAAATTTTGTAATCAATTGTATTTAGGTAAAATTTTTTATTTGAAAATTAATAATAAACTATCTTATTTTCTTTTTTTTTTTGAAAGGGTAAACTAACTTATTTTCATTACTTCATTTACTTTCCTAAAATTATTACATTTCTCTTTTATTTCACTCTCGTACTTAAAATAAATAAATAAATAAAATTAATATATATGAACAGTATTATCTATTAAATATATATGAACAGTATTATCTATTAAATAAAAATATTTATTAATAATAAAGATATTTGGATGGCAAGGTAAACGACTTTAATCTCGTGAAGGTAAGAAAGTATTATCTATTAAATAAAAATATTTATTAATAAATAAGATATTGGTTGGCAAGGTAAACGACTTTAATCTCGTGAAGGTAAGAATATAAATTCTTCCTGAGAGAGATCACATTTTGATTATACCGAAAAAAAAAATATTTATTTCATTTTTTTAATAAAAATTTTCAGTTAAATATATTTAATTAAAATAATTTATCCTGGATCAAAAATTGAAATAATTTATCCCTTTAAATAGTTAATCAATTAAAAATGAATTTTACGCCTAAAATAGAACAGTTCTTTCAGTATTAGACACCAATTATATGTATAGAACATGAATAATATGGATTGGAGTTAGGATGGTTTGATTTAATCGTTTGACTCTGACCAGGGATTAAATGTATAGAGGACGGCTTTCTTTACAAGAAGTCAAGAACAGAACCATACCGACCATTTCCATTTTATTCCAATTAGGGCGATAAACCCTAAACCTCAAATATTTAGAAACCCTAATTGGATTACATTTCGCATGCATTGCCCAACCTAAGCATCGCATGGCATCTTCAGAGATCGAGGTTGTATCATCACAAACCAAAACGCAGCCCCAGCAAAGTCCCAGCAATGGCGCACCTCCTGTGATAGATGTTTTCTCAGCTTCTGCTTATGGAGATTTCGAGAAATTGAGAAAATTTGTTGAACAAGACGGTGCTTCTCTCTCTATTGCCGATGGTAATGGGTATTACGCTCTTCAATGGGCTGCTCTCAACAACTTCCCTGATATTGCACAATACATTATTGAGGTAGTTTATGCATGTGTACGTGCATAACTTTCGTATCTTTTAATTTTTACTGTTCTGGGTTTGCTACAATAGTTGGCTGCTCTGAGTTTGATCGAGTGACTCAGTTATATGTCTCTGTTTGTGCTGATGAAGCATGGGGGTGATGTGAATGCAACCGATAATATGCAGCAGACAGCTTTGCATTGGGCTGCAGTTAGGGGTTCAATTTCTGTAGCAGATGTGTTGGTGCAAAATGGGGCTCGAGTTGAGGCAGCTGATTTAAATGGTTATCGGGTAAATTTTTCTCTATTTCGACAATTTATGTCTTTTTATTTATTTTATTCATATTTATATACACACTAGACCATATGGACAGTTAATCAGATATGTAGGTTGCTTAGTAGAAAGGAGATCTCATAAAACTTTGATCGTAATGCTGCATGCATTCTATTCCTTCTGCTTCCGACAAGTTATGTATATCACATAATTTACTTATTATATAAAATGTAATATAATATGTTTTGACATGTGGCTTACCTTCTTCAATTTGTTGTTAGACAGTCCATTCAAGATACGTGTCATTGAATGTTGAGAAACTCAGAACACACTATGGTGTTATTCTGATTTGATTGAAGTTTTTAGAATGTTTTAATTGCTTACCTTTGGCTTGCGCTTAAGCACCAATAAGGGCTTTGTCATTTGAGGAACTTTAGGTCGGAAGTTTTTGACCATGTGGAGTGGATATTTTGTAGAAATTTATTGTGCTGTAGTTTATGCTTAATCTCTTCAATTCATAGGACTTGTCCCTAGGTCAATGAAAAGAGGGAGGGTTACTTTGAGCTGAATTCTTGCCAGTTCTCGATTTAGGTAGTTGAATGATCTTTCAAGTTTCTTCCAGCTGAAATATAATCAATTGACAAATACTTAGTTTGCTTGATGTGCACCTCTCAGTATGTTGAGATCATATGCATGTTGGGTCCAGTATGACACCATTTAGCATTGCTGAAAACATGCTCTGCTTGAGAATAAAGTTCTCACCCTCCATAAGGAATTAGCTAAGGCTATTTTATTTTTTAACTATTTTTCTTATATTTTCTTTAACGCTCTGGATTTCCACATTTATGTTATTATTTTTTCGAAATTTGCTTTTCTAAAAGTTTGCTTTCTTATTGATTTGTCTGCTGCAGGCAGTTCATGTTGCTGCTCAGTATGGACAGACAGCTTTCTTAAATCTCATTGTTGCTAAGTATCATGCGGATTTTGATGCACCAGATAATGATGGAAGAAGCCCTCTTCACTGGTATCTAAAATAATTATGGTTTAAGGACTTGTGGATACTTTTATTTCACTCTTACTCTTATTTCATCTGGTACCTGCCTTTCAAAAACTGCCACTCTCATCCCTTTCCTATGCCTATTCTCAATTGAGCGGAATTATGTTTGAGTCCATACACATGCCAAAATTTATTGTGCAAGTAGCAGAATAATTATCAAACATAGTAGGAGTTGTTCGTTTTAATTATTATCTGTTTAGTATCTTAACACAGTTGAGGTTGGTATCCTTAAGATAAAATAATATGTTGAAGTTCAAAATATGTGGTAATACATAGTTGACCATTGGTGTGAAATGATATTTTGTGCTACAAAATTGAAATGTATGGGGTGAAATGGTACTTTTATTATGCCTTCCTCATGTATCATGAGAACTGTATATGGTTAGATTAGAAACTTGAGGTTTTTCTAATTCCCTTTGTGCATTCATATCTCTTGGAATTGTTTAGATATTTGTTGTAGGTTTTCGTTTTTTTTTGTCTGCTTTTTATCGCAATTCATCTTGTCCTAGTACTTATAACTACACGCTTGTAAGCATACAACTTCTTTTGCATTCTTCTATGAAAGCTTTTTCACTGTTGATTAAGAGGTTGTTTGTTTGGACTGAATGCTGAATTTGAATCAACAATTTATTGAACTAAATGATTAAGGATGACATTAAGAACTTATTGCTTAATGATTAAGATTGTTTGGTAAATGATATATCTGAATAATCTGAATGAGTGTAATTTTTTATATTTGACCTTCTCTATTTTCATATATTATGTATTTTTACATAATAATAAAATTGACATTATATTAAATAAAATAAAGCCAAACATACAAATTTAATTTATTATTCAACTATTAACATAATAAGATTGTAAACGATATAAATGTATATTGTTCATATACAAATTTAATTTAATGATGAATGTTATAAATTAATTATGTAAAAGTTAAAAATAGTTCATAATAACTTAAAAAATTCACTACAAAATATAAAATTAAAACACATCATCTATAATTCACTATATAATAAAAATATAAAGTTAAATTATATCCGCTTTTCTTGAAGCATATGGCTCAACATAGTAAAATATAAAGTTAAAATTATATCCAATATAAAGTCCCTTACATATTATGATATAATTTGTGATTTTTAAATATCAGGTGCATATATTTTTGTCTTCTGGTCAAAAAAGCTATACAACTTACTGAATAAGCTAAGAAAATTTAGCTTTTTGAATCAGCTAATTTTTTGCCTTTATATTCAGATAAGCTGCTGATTTAAAAAGACAAAACAAACAAACTTATTTTCTTTTTATCTACAATAAGCTCAACCAAACACATCCTAAGTGCTGGACATTTGTCCTATTAGTTTGCATTCAATGTAGAAGTCAAGTGATGGCACTCCTTTGTTAATCAATTTGTATCCAAAATGTTTTAAATTCTCTGCTGCTACATCACATAGTAAGATGAAACTTTCACCTGTGAGTGGTATTACAAGGTGTTATGAGGCGATTTTTATTACTTAAAGTTATGATCTGATATGCTCTAGATTCGTGTTTTTTTTTTTTTTTTTTTTTTTGTGTAGTGGTTATTACAATTGTGTGTTATGAGGCTGATTTTTATTAACTTAATTTATGAATCTGAGTTATTGCTCTAGATTCGTGCTCTCTCTTTTTTTTTTTTTTTTTTTGTAAACTGTGCAATATGTATGAGTGGCGAAGCTTATTCTTGCGATATCTTTTTTTTTTTTTTTTTTTTTAAACTGTGAGAATGTATGAGTGGGAAGCTTATTCTTGCGATTCTATCTATCAGGGCTGCATACAAGGGTTATGCTGACACCGTAAGATTACTTCTATTTAGAGATGCAAGGCAAGGAAGACAAGATAAAGAAGGTATACATGGCAAAAATGCATTTCTCTTTTTATCTTTGTTAATTTAATTTATCTTACATTTATTAATTATTATTGCCTCTAAATTGCATGTGACTGGAGTCGTGGAACCATCACTGCCTTAAGTAGATAAACTGCAGTTTCATTCTCCAATTCTATGTATCCTATTCTGGGTTTTCTAACATCCAAAGTTATCCCCTTTTCACTGTTTAAATGGTATCATTTATGACGCATGACGTTCATAAAAAATTAAAAGGGATAAATTAATTCAGAGCATATCAAACTGGAAAGTTGAAGTAACAATCTGGAACATGATTTTTGGTGCTTGGGGTGAAAAGGAACCAGTTAGAATTTATTTGAATGAGGGAACAATTACAATGTTTTGTATATTTCTTCTAAAAGAAAGAGAAATAATGAAAATGGAGTCTGCGTGGTTCAATAGTTTTGTACATAAGATCACTTGGAAAAATAGAAGAGACAGGATTCTTGTAGCATGTGTAATAATGTGTTTGCAACATTCATATGCACAAACAAAACTTCTCATATCTTTTTATTGAGACAGAAGAACAATAGGCATAACTTCCTTTACACAGGATGAGAAGACACATGATGCAATCAACAACAATAACAACAACTAAGACTTAGTTGCATACTAATTGGGGTCAGCTATATAAATTTTTTCTTACCATTTCCTCTCTGTTCAATTAAAAGCAAGAAATAAGCAAAGCATAATGGATAAAAATCAATCCAAGAAAGAAATATATTAGGTCTCATAATGGATTATATTGAATCCATTATCATGAGCCTGGCACATACTTTTGACGTTCTGGAGTGTCTGAGATTACTTTCTAGCATAATCTTCATGAAAGTTTGATGTTATTTTTTGAGAAATAAGAAAATTTGATTGTATATAGAACCAACAAAACTAGCAAGTCAGGAACATTATCACAACATTCTACAACCAATTCGCTTAATTAAATTCTCCTGGGCATGATTCCATTTTTGTGAAAAAAGAAGAAATCATTTTATTGTTCGTCTGGATACCAATGCTGATCTTAAATATCCAATGCCATCAGGTTGCACCCCTTTGCACTGGGCTGCATTAAGAGGAAATGTTGAGGCAAGTTCTGTGCTTGTACAGGCTGGCACAAAGCTGGAACTGACAGTAAAAGATAAAGCTGGCCTTACTCCAGTTGAGATTGCATCTGATAAAGGTCATCGGCATGTCGCCCTTTTCCTTGTACGTACGTTGTATTGATAATATTACCCTTTAATAGTTGAATGCGAACAAAATTTAAACCAATTTCTGTTAATGTGAATACCTTTCTAGATATGAGACCTGAGGAGCCAACATTGTTGTATGAATGTCTTGATCTGGACAGTATATCATGCTGAAAGTTATGAGAGATACCTCTAATTGCCGGTTCCTTCTGATACTGGGAGTCTTGGCCCTTAGTTGTCAAAAGTATGTCATTGAACAATATATATTACCAGTGTGGTAATCATTTGGTTTTATTGCTGACTTGCTGGTACCAGAAAATCAATGTATTGGCATGCTGTACAGCTATTTTGATAGCTTGAATTCTTGCACCTCTGCCTTTGATTCTGTTCCTTCTTTTTATCTACTACTTTGACAGGAAAGATTGAATAATTCTGAACTATCCTTGCGCTTATGGTATATTGCCATATTGCATGGACCGAAAAAAAAAAAAAAAAAAAGCTATACCTATTGCGTCTCTCCATCCAGGTAATATTGGCCATATTTGAATAATGGGATCGTGAATTAATAAAAAAAAAAAAAAATCTCATGAAAAAAAAAAAAAAAAAAATCCTCATTAGGCGAGATCATGGCATTGCTATATGTCACATTTAGTTGAGGGCTATTAATTTCAGACAATAAAGGCATCGAACAGTTATCTGCTAAAGGTGAACCATTTCTAATTGAAGCCTATTTTAACTACTGCTTCTGAGATGGTAATGTTTAGTTCTTATCCAGCCATTTAAATTATAGATTTTAATAATATTAATGGCCTTTATACTTTATAAAAATTGATGGTATCCTATATGGTCTGATTTTTAGTTTAATCTGTTTTTGAACTCAATCATGGGAATCTTAAGTCTTGCATTGAGACCATCTAAATCTACACAATATTGGGCAAGTTTTCACAGTGTTTGTTTTGATTTTTTCAGTCTAATGCACAACAGAAACAAAACAAACGCTGGTTTGACAAAATTGGCCTTGGGAAGATTGGGGACACTGGTTATGCTCCTATCTTATTCTCCATTGTGATTGCTCTTATGTTCCTCTTCATCAACTCAGTTCTTTCAGGTAACTGAGATGGTTCAAAGTTAAGTTCTGATGGCGGATTATGCTCTTAATATTCTTATTCCTTCACTGTTTTTCTAGCTCCAAATCTTCCCAAGGTAACTGCTGTTGTTGGACTTTGGGGATTTACTGCTCTTTCTCTAGCTGTCGTTTCACTGATTATGTTCTACAGGTGTAGTAGGTAATTTCTTGCTGCTACTGACATGGACTCAATAGTCTTTGGTATACTTATTGCTTGCCTCGATTTCTTATATCTGTAAGAATTATTTATTGGCTTCAGTGCTTGTTTCTGTTTTGTGCTTCATCCTTCCCAGTATAGTCAGCATGCTGTTTTTCCTGTTATCTATTTCTATATTCTTCTCTACTTCTTCCTTGTGTTTTTTGAATGGTAGAACTGCCAACTTCAATCCTTAATTACGTAAAATCACAAATTTTTGAATTCCTACCATCACTCATTCTCAGTGCTATATTTTACTGTGTATGATCAGCTGACATGTTCTGGCTTATGATTTGCCTGTCAAAATATCACCTGTTCTTTACAAACCCCATGTAGTATTTCTGAATTTGTGGGTCTTGTTAGGTTTTGAAACTGAAGGAAATCTGCTGTCCAGTGTGGGCTTGTTGATTTATTATTGTCAAAAAAAAAAAAAAAAAAAAAAAAAAAAAAAAAAAAAGGAAAGAAATAATAAAAAGAGAGAAAAGGTGATCTTTTTTAGATGGTTGGAACTTGAACCTTACTAGATCCATTTTGCAATTAGTGCCTGTTGAGATCCATTAGAAACATCTATTAATCGTAGCAATTCATTAGGATAATTAACTAACATTAGGTTTCAATCAACCTGTATAAAAAAAAAAAAAAAAAAAAAAAAAAAAAAGAAAGAAATAAAAAAGAGAGAAAAAGGACTTTTTAGATGGTGGAACTGAACTTACTAGATCCATTTTGCATTAGTGCCTTTGAGATCCATTAGAACATCTATTATCGTATGCAATTCATAGATAATTAACTACATTAGGTTCAATCAACCTGTATGTTTGTGTCTTTCCATGTCATTAACCTAATTACCTAAAGCTTCAAGGTGCCTATTGAGTCATCTTGTTAAATAATGAGATTTTCTCTGCTGCCTATTCTTGAGTGATCGTTTTAAATTTATATGGTGTTGCTGAATTTATAACTCTTTTGTATGCATACCACTAGATTTAAGATTTTTTGAGAATTTTATCGCAGAGTTACTTTTTTTTCATGTTCTTTCACAATCACCTGCAGTAGAGATCCAGGTTTCATCAAGAGACTTGAAGATTTGGGTAAAGATGCAGATATCGAGGTATTCTGCTGCTCTTTTTAGTTGCATTCTCATGGTAACATGTCTTATTTACTGTTTGTATCACATGTTTTAGTAAAATACTTGTTCCACAGCCAGATGGAAGTTTGAAAGGCCTTCTCCATAAATGATTCTCTTTTTTTTTTTCTTTTTTTTTTCTGGGCCTAATTTAGACCCCTAGCTCCTTAAACTTCCAGGAAAATAAATGCTACATAAAAGATGATACCTTACAGGCCTTTACATCGTGTCTGCTCAGGAAAATGGGGAAGAGAAAAAGTAGGTAGGAAACAGTGGAAAAAATGGAATAACATGCTTCTCTCGTGTTTCCAGTGGTGAAGGAATGTGCAACTTCTTTTTGTTTATGGGGAAATGTATTGTTTTATATGGTTAGATATTTAATGGAGAAAGGCAAAGGTGGAAACAATATGAAACCATCTTTCTTCCTTTCTATTTCTCCCCTTTCCTTGCTTCTTATCTGAATGGTTTTAGAGGTCCTTCCTTCTTGCTTTTTCTGCACGAACTCTACTTCCTTCTTTCTCCCTCAAACCAAACACGCATAGCATTATGGTTTCCTTTAATTTTCAGTAATTTCCAATTTATCTCATGTTTTGTTTTCGGCTTCTTGTCCTAATCTTTGGATATCTAGGTGTATCATTCTTAGAACAATGGTTTTGGGGGTTATGGTTATAAAATTTCAGATTCGTGACTATCATTATATGAATTTTTTTCTTTAGTTACACCATTTGCTGATCACCAATCAATATATGCAGGATCCTTTATTAAATATTGATCTGAACTACTCCTCTATATGGATGGGGAATTGGTCTCAACTTTGCCCTACCTGCAAGGTATGACAAATGGATTTGTTATTTATGATTATGATATTGAAGATATTATTAATCATTCTTATTTTTTCCTGAACTAGTTCATAAAAGGATTGAGATTCTTTCTTGACTAATTTAGCTTCCGTTTCCATTTTACTGTTCAGATAATTAGACCTGTTCGCTCCAAGCATTGCTCTACGTGTAAGCGTTGTGTTGAGCAGTTTGACCATCACTGCCCATGGATATCTAATTGTGTGGGGAAGGTGAGAAATTGTTTTTAGTCAATATATAAGACTTGAGCTAACTTTTGGGGAGTAAGTTAGGCGCGGTCCATTTTATTAACATGGTATCAAAGCTTACTCTTCTTTGATTATGTTGGGCCACCCTCAAATGTGTTTGCCTATAAACTTCACGCTCATGATGTTCATGCTTGGGCATGAGGGAGGGTGAATTATCCCACATTGGTTTAGGATAAGGTGTTTAGTCAACATATAAGACTTGCGCGATCCTCCTTTCCTTGAGCTAGCTTTTGGAGAGTGAGGTATCCCCGTACATTTAGCATTAGTTGGTCCAAGCCTAAATAAGTTCAAATTACTCGTATTTCATTTCAATGGATTCTAAATTCTTACTCAATTATTCCTGTACCCAAATTATAATATAATCAGAACATGTTCAACCCGATTCAATTATTCCTTAGTTCAGCGGTGTTCCTATTGCTTTTCAATTTGGGCTCTCGTCTAGATATCTAGCCCCAGTGAGTCCTGTTCAAGTTCCTTTTCAAGGAAAAAGCACGATTCAACTTTAGAGTGAGGATTTCAAATTTCAAGCGTCAATTGGATGTCCAGTCTTGGTTGCACTTGAGAGGGAGTAGTAAGAATCCCACACTAAATAAATGTCACATCCATAAAGGGCATATAAAGGTGGAAAACTAGCTAGCTAATTTGTTTAGTACTAATCTTTTAGCATCGGTATACATAAATTTCACTTCACAGGTTCTAACCTTTTATCCAATTATTAACCTCTACCCAAATTATAATAAATTGGGCATCCGATTTTAAGCTAAGCAATTGCTGTGACATGTAAGATGCATTAATAAGTATGTTTCTGTTGTGAACTGTTGGCTTCATTGTTTTAGGGGCATTGTTTATTCTTTGGCGTTTTTTATTATTTTGGAAACTTGCATGAGAGGATGTCATTGGCTGGTGTATGTGCTCTTGTTCCCATGACAGCCCATGGAAATGCTAGAATGATGTGACCTTGCAGCATTGTGTCATACCCATTCTGCAAGTTGACATAGAGATCTACACTACTTCTATCCTCCAGTGGCTGTGTATACATAATACATCTGTGCAATTATATTAGAACACTTATTAAATGCATCCTTGCCTTTTAACCTTTTCCTTTGAATTATTAAATGCTTTGTGACTTTGCTATCAAGTTTTAATCCTTTTCCATTACTCTCATCTATTCTTTTTTTATTTTTCACTGTTGTGTACCTTGCAGAGGAATAAACGGGATTTCTTTATTTTTTTATGCTTGGGAACTTTGACGTCATTCCTTAGCGCTGCCATTGCAGTTCAAAGTATGTTTCTTGCTGAAAAATCTTATTCTTGCTTCACAAACCCATCAATCTTCAATTACCCACACTAGGATATATCTTAATTGTTGATTCATTTTAGAGCATGCTTTTTCTTCTAATCCTTTTCTTTGGCTATGGCAGGGATTCGGACTGCCATGCAGTTACTGCATACTGAAAGATGGATGCATTACGTGGTAGTTCAACATCTTGGTGTTGTTGCCTTTTTGGTATTGGACATGATTATTTTCGTTGCTGCAACAACTTTAACCACAGCACAAGCATCACAGGTAATTGATGAAAAAAATGTTTTATGTTCAGTTTGAAGTTTCAATGTTGGCATACTGTTCTATGTTGCTGCTATTTTTTGGCATGTCGTATATCATTTTTAGCTTATTATATGGCATAACAGCCTGGATAATTGTCTTTGTGGATGTTATCAATTAGTTCAATAAGGGTTTTTTTGAGACCTTTCCTGGTGGAAAGAAAGTGAAAAACTGATTTTTGCAATGTATTAAATTGGTGTGTGGTAAAAGTTCAGTGTTAATGGATATCTTTAAAACATCTTGTACAGATTGCTCGGAACATCACCACCAACGAACTGGCAAATGCCATTCGATATGGGTATCTGCGTGGTCCGGATGGACGATTTCGAAATCCATATAACCATGGATGCCGAAAGAATTGTGCAGATTTCATCATCCAGGGCTACACAGATGATGATGAAATTGCTTGGCCACCATTACAGCAGGTTGCCAGCTAGAACTAATGCGAGCGAAAATTCTGCTTTTTGCTAGGTGAAATAACCTTTGTAACTTGCCAAGACCCATGTAGTTTTGTGCATATCTAAATTCATGTTCATATGTAAACTTTGTTCATATAGGTAACACAATGATCATTCTATGTACATTCAATGCCATGAAATAGAAATACATACCAAAACATTCAATTTTCCTCCATTTTCATGTTGTATCGTTTATTAAGAATTGTGGAAGAGATGTATTCCCATCTTTAACAGGAGCTATCCATTAACAATACACCTATGAATTGCAGTGATTTGTGGAGTGAATGAAAATTCCTATTTAACTTAAAATGGAAATTTCTACAAATTTGAGGTTTTTAGTTTGAAGAGATGTATGTCATTGGTGGATTATAATAACCCTTGTATATTCCATGGACTTAACCCAACCTAGACTTTCTCTTCAGAGATTAGATTGACTTTAACTCAGAGTTACTCTTTAAGAGAACTGTTATGTATAACTATTCGTGGATTGACACCCAACAGATCTTTAGAAAACGGGTTTAAGTTTGAGTAAATCAAGAATAATTGATCAAAGAAATGGTGAAAAAACTTTCTGATGCATTAACTGATTCACAGATTCTACAACTTGAATCCGGAATCTGACTCTAAAATTTTATGGTAAATAATTTGGTCACAACATGAGGTAATCCACCTCTTGAACATAACGAGATGACTGAACAACCCATACAATTTATTGAGCCTTCTGCAAAAGATAAGCCCCTGCTATCAACTCCTTGGCAGCTAGGTATACAATACAATATGCTGCTCTGTTGATCTAAAATGGATTGCGGTTGAAATTCAGGGTAAAATGGTCGGAGATTGGAAATTCGAATTATGAGTAAATACAAGTCGAACATAATCTCAGAGACGGCGAAAATGTTAGCTATGTTGGATTCCGCTGGGCCAAGTCTGATTCTTCACAGGGCTAACAATTGCTTCAATCTCAGCCAGAGTTTGTTGATCCTTCCCAAATGTTGCGAGTTCGATGGCAGCAGTAACATTCTCCTCAACCTGATCATCGTATAACTTTGTATATCAAACAGGCCATAATACAAGCTCAGCAATAAATGGTTACCTGTCTATTATAAATAATATAAACTATTTGCTTAAGATAATCCTCAGGCATAAAACACAATTGCCCAAGGCATTCACATAGACTTTCACCCTCGTTATCCGAGGCATGGTAAACATCAGAAGTCATACAGTGCATGTAAAATTAGTATTAGTTCAATTGGGTAGCTGCTGTTCAGTTTGCAAAAAATAAGTGATTTCCTGAGATATTACAGTGCCACGCAACAAATTGCCACGGTTACAATATCTACATGAGCAGAGCCGCTGGTAAGACCATGCAATGACAAACATGGTCGATAGCCTATAAACTAACGAGTATGATGACATCCACGAATCAAATGACTTTCATTATCTTAAATAACCACAGAAATAGCAATGCAGGCAGTCCCTATTTCAATGCAGTAGTTAAATTGATATTCACCAAGAAATCTTTCTAACAAGTCCTACATATAGCAATCACCACCTTCTTTTTGTTCTTTTCTTTTTCATACATCAGTAATGAAGGGATAACGAAGGGAAATGCCGGGATTTGAACCCTTGACTTTGTACACTACAAGAAAGCCCTTGAACAGTGGACTACAATCAGTATAGGATGTTTCTTTTGTTTTAACCGCAAGAAAAAAAAAAATTGTTCTTTTCTTTTCTTTTTTCTCTTCTTGTTTTTTTTTTTATTATTTTATTATTTTATTATTTTTTATTATAAAAAAGAACTTCCTAATGAAATACAGTTTCATAATCATCTGAAACATGGGGGTAAAAAGAGCCAACATATGCATGTTGAAATTTGATCTTGAGAAAGTTAGATACTTTTAGGAATGCAACCTTGGCCTCCTAAGAAAAGGTTGAAACCATGCAGTGAAGTGTTAGAGAAATTGAAACAAAATTGAAGTTAATGCTATATATCAAAGAAATTTGGCAATACAGTAAACTATGAACAAGTACCTGTCTAACAGAGTTCATGCCAACTAGCACTGTAGATATATCCTTGTTTGACAAACTATATTGCATGGCTAACTTTGAAATATTCTTCCCCTTCTCTTTACAATAGGCAGCAGCAGCTTGGCATGCAGACTTGGAGAAAATAAACACCCAGTCAAGATTAGTTAATTTTGACAAAAGAATTCATATTCAAGTGAGAAAGAGCGAGTGAATCTTCAATATCTTGAATATTAGATATATATATGACATCACAGGCCTTCTGCAGATGGGGGATAAATAATCATGCCATTCTTTGAATCGATTTGGTCAAATGGTCCAGGTTGAAACTGTTGATTAATACGGTAAACAGGCACTTTGGTAAGTGCTTATATACGCCAAGTCTATGTGTTGTTCAATATGTCTCTATAGAAAATTCAATTCAGTATGCAACAGTTCTTCATCGTATCAAAAGACAGTATCCAAGTTTAGGTGCCTTCTGAATAATCCCATTAAAAGGAGGGGTATTGTCAAGTAGACAGTTACCATCATCTTAAATTCAATTTCATGATCACAAGTTCCCTTTCCTCTATTGCACCAAGGAAGCTCTAAGATCGATCATCTCATAACAGCAGCTAAAAGAACTTTGCGTGTACACATTGGCGGATGAGCATTTGCACATAGAGAGAGTGGGTGGTGGGAGCATTATCACATGCACGTACAGATGCATGGCCTACTGTATTTATGGGCCGCACAGACATATAAACACATCTTTTGTTGGAATAAAGCCTAACCAGACTTTTTGCAGGCAATTATGTTATTGAGTATTATGCTGACAACTATGGAAATGACATGGAAAGAAAAGTTGTAGATCATTTCAGGGGAATAAGATATACCTTTAGTGCAGGAGAAGCTGACTAAGAAAATGACAGAGAAAAAATTGTAGATCATTTCAGGGGAATAAGGTATACCTTTAGTTCAGGAGAAGCTGGGTGCCACTCTGGAGGGCCATTCTCTGTAAGAAGCCCCATTGCAAGTGGAGAAGCGCTAATTATCCCAACCCCTTTGCTCTTCAAGTAAGGCAATATATCCAACAGCGTTGAATCATTAATACTGTAGTGACAATATGATAGAATCACATCAACTGTGCCAGGAGGCACCCGATCGAGCACATAAGTAAAAATTCCTAATGGGAGTCCAGTTATACCAATAAATCGAATCTTCCCTACTTCCTTTAGTTTCTGAAGGGCGGGAATTGTCTCATTCACAATCTATCATTCAAACCAATGTCAGAGAATCATAATACTATTCCAAGATATAAAAGTTACCAGATAACGCGTAAATTTTAATCAATAACCTGATCAAGAGACCCAAATTCAATGTCATGGCATTGCAGTATATCAACATAGTCCAACTGCAGCCTCTCCAAACTCTCATCAATGCTTCTAGTCACTCTTTCAGCACTAAAATCAAAGCCCTCAGCATACCGCCCACACTTTGTTGACACAATATATTCATTTCTAGGAGCTCCTAGGGCTTTAAGTGCCTTACCAAGCATCTTCTCAGACAATGTTCCTCCATAATACCTTAAAATAGCAACAAGAAGTTACTAAAAGAACTGGGCAACAACAAAAACTACAAATTAGGTGAATTCATAAACATACAGTTGATATAGACACAATAAACCTGGCTAATAAAACATAGTCCCAGTTTCCAAATTTACAATCCAGAACTTCAAAATTCTAGTAAGTCTCGACGGAGAAGTGATCAACAGTCCCGAATTCCCAAAAACATTCATCTATATAGAAATTTTAACACTCAAAAAAAAAACAAGATACAAACTTTATAACAAAGATGAAAACTTTCCTTTGATTTTCCACAGTAAATCACGAATAAGAAGATGCATTCAATATCTATGGAGAAAGAGGACATACGGAGAAGTGTCAAAGAAATTGATGCCTCGGCTAAAGGCCTGACGCACGGAGGCGATGGCATCATCCTCAGAGACAGGGCCGAAGACTTTGCCAAGAGGGGAAGCTCCGAAACCCACGCAGCTGAGCTTGAGGCCCGTATTTCCTAAGGGTCGGAGCTCCAAGTTTGGATGCGGAGATGCCATGGGCAGTATGGGAGCTACAAGTCTATAGCAGACAAACTGATTACTAATGACGAGATGCGTATTCAAGAAAAATGATGATAATTTTACTTGAATTTAAAAAATAGTTATTTGTTATACAATATTAAAAAATTTTATAATATTGATTCATAAACATCTCTTTATAAAGCAATACATAATTTTATAAAGTATTTAATAATACTATAAAATAATGCAACTAATATTTATTATTTTATAAATATCAACTTTTACAGAAGAAACGGTCGTATATTATAATATACTTAAAAATATTATAAAACATTGATAATTATAATTGTAACCATGATTTTATGATTCGATAATTTCAAAAAGTACTAAAATGCATGGATAATTGAAACTACTATTTTATAGACCCGTAATATTTAAAAAAAAGTACATTTTTAGGAAATATTGACAATCAATGCTTAGATATTTTTATAAGAAATAAAAAATATTATAAAATATTAATAATGGGACTATTATTTTATAATTCGACCGTTTATAAAAAGATAATTATATTAAAATATTATAAAATACTTATGTATTAAAACTATTATTTTGCAACGCTGCAACAATTTTATAAAAAGTAACCATTTTTTTACAAATTATTAAGAAGCATGTTACAAATTACAAATTTTCTACAAATTATTAGAGTCATGTATTTTTAGTTAATTATTTTTCACTGACCAAATTTTATTTTTTTTAATTTTATTTCAAAGAGTCACTCATAATTTAGTTTTTACTTAGAAAATCAAAAGATAGTCGTGAATTTTAACATCAAATGTAAAAAAAAAAAAAAAAAAAAAAAATAAAATAACTTATGTATTTAAAAAAACTTATTTTGCAACGCTGCAACAATTTTATAAAAAGTAAAACCATTTTTTTTTACAATTATTAAGAAGCAAGTTACAATTACAAATTTTCTTACAATTATTAGAGTCAGTGTTTATTTTTTAGTTAATTATTTTCACTGACCAAATTTATTTTTTTTTAATTTATTTCAAAGAGTCACTCAATTTAGTTTTACTTAGAAAATCAAAAGATTAGTCTGTGAATTTTAACATCAAATGTAAAAAAAAAAAAAAAAAAAAAAAAAAAAAAAAAACATGATCTTAATTATAATAATATATTTTTATATAATAATGAGTTAAAAATGTTTAAAATATTTAAAAAATAAAATAAAATTATAATATACTAATAGGATGATGTTAATTAGTTTTGGTCAAAAAGTTTTAAATATAAGTACACATCATGGTCTGGGTCATTGGTTGTAATCAAGAGCCAACCTCTTAATGGTTCGGCTTGGCAGACTGCACCGGCCCTAACGACGCAGACTCCAAATGAACAGGTGTCATAATCCTATTGGCTTTAAAATCCAACACATTCACCATAAATCAAAGGAGACTTCCCAATTGCACCACACCAACAGCAAGAATGAAATGATTTCATTTGGATTGATCATGTGTTGACACGTACCAATTCACATGTTCTAAAACTGTGTTAATCATTTACTAATTGCCTCTATTATTGAAAATTAGTTGGCCTATATAGAATGCAGCAAATATTAATTTATGGGGTTTGCAAGTTTGATCGAGACCATTTTGAGGGACCACCATTTTTTTTTTTTTAATATTTATCTACCGAAAATGTTTTAGTAATTATATATCAAAATATCTTTTTTTTTAAATGATAAAAAATATCTTTTTTGTTAGTTTCTCAGTGACATATAATCTAAAATATAGCAAAAATCATTTTATTATGGTTATAAATAAAATTTAGATACGATAAAATACATAAATACTAAGTAAAACGACATGAAATTAAAATCCCAATTAGGATAAACCTAATGCCTTGGTCGTTGGTTTCTCATTAGCAAAATCTTTGAATGAAAATTTCAACTCTAATTTGGTAATGTAATCTCCTTAAAGTCTTAAAAAAAAAAAAAAAAAAAACTCCTTAAAGTTCTTTAAAAAAAAAAAAAAAAAAAGACCTTATCATAGGCACTAATTTTGTCAGCAAAAAACGAACCCACTTAAACATCATAATATTATATCCTTAATTCCTATTTTAATGTTTTCAAAGTATTAAATCTGTTTACACCCCTATAATCATTTATTATTTTGTGTGGCTCAAAAAAAAAAAAAAAAATCATTATCATTCAACAAATTCTATTGCCCATTTCACATCACTGCACCCGTGAGGGGAGAAGAGAGAGAGTATTTACCATATGAAGGCTATTATAAAGATTATGGAACAAGTGTAGAAAGTAGAAAATCTCTCCTGGCTTCGGTGGGATTTTGACAAGGAAAGCTCTCTTTTGGCCATTCTTGTTAAAGGTAAAAAAGGATTGCTTAATTCTACTTTGTACTTTTGGTGCATATAAATTCTTGGGTTTTTGGAATTTAATGATTAAAATACTATTGTTCTTGTGTGTTAGATATCATCATCTTGTGTTTTTTTGAAGCACCTTTAATTTGTTTGGTCTGGAAGGTTAATAACTTTTTCTATGTTGTTTTGCTTAATTCATGTTTAATGTCTATATCGTTTAAAAAGGAATGTTAGTTAAATTAGGGATAATTAATTTATGTTTAACTTTTTGCCAACAGGGCTCTGTCAAAAAAAAAAAAAAAAATCATTATCATCAACAAATTCTATTGCCATTTCACATCACTGACCCGTGAGGGGGAGAGAGAGAGAGAGTATTACCAATATGAAAGGCTATTATAAAGATTGGAACAAGTGTAGAAAGTAGAAAATCTCTCCTGCTTCGGTGGAGATTTGACAAAGAAAGCTCTCTTTTGGCCATTCTTGTAAAGGTAAGAAGGAATGCATTAATTCTACTTTGTACTTGGTGCATATAATTCTTGGGTTTTTGGAATTTAATTGATTGAAATACTATTGTTCTGTGTGTTATATACATCATTTGTGTTTTTTGAGCACCTTAATTATTGTTTGGTCTGGAGGTTAATCAACTTTTTCTATGTTGGTTTTGCTTAATCATGTTAATTCTATATGTAAAAGAATGTTAGTTAATTAGGATAATTAATTATGTTTAACTTTTTGCCAACAGGCTCTGTTATAGGTTGTTGGAAAGAAGCTTTTTCTCCAATGGAGATATCTTCCATTAGTGGGTTAAGTGAACTGGTAAGTAATGAAACTTTTCAGCTATCAATTCCTTCTTTTTCTTCATTAATTAGGTTTTTCTTCAGCTGATGCGCGGAAACTTTTAGTTATGAGCGTTTCTGTGTTTTGAAAATGTCTATGCATGTATATTTTCTTATACAAATTACCTTTTTTAAGTATAAAATTATATTTTAAATGTTGTTTCTCGTATAACATTCTTCAGTAATTTATGAATGCATTGCTATATATAATGACTAAAAATTGTGAAAATTAATTAATTTTATAGGAAATGGAGGATCCCAGCTTCATAGAGCAGTGGCCAATGAACTCCATTGATGATTTGAGCTTATTACCTCTGGTAGCTGCATTTGGAGAGAATTATATGCAACATTCTTTGATCAATAACCTAAAAATCCCTATGGACACTTCTTCTTCTACTACAACCATTGTTAGACCCACGAAGCAACTCAAACCAAATCCACTTCATAATTTGCCAAACCCACAACCTTCTTTTTCTCCTAATAACATTCTTTCTTTTGCCAATTCAAATCAACTAATGGGATCGATAGTTAAGCCTAAAGAGGAGGCAGTACTGTGTTCTAAAAGCATCAATAACACTACTCCCCCTTCTGATATGCTCATTCCTCAAGGTTCTATTATGAACCAAAATTATATGTTCAAGGCTTGTCAAGGAGCTAAGAGGATCAACACCAACAATGGTAGACTTTCTCAAAGCCAAGATCATATTATAGCAGAAAGAAAGCGGCGAGAGAAGCTTAGTCAAAGATTCATAGCGTTGTCTGCTATAGTTCCTGGTCTCAAGAAGGTAATATGAAGACCATCTTGCATTCTTTTAAAATTATTAATTTGATTTACAGATTGTGTTAATTTGACTATTATGTTGTTGTGTTCTTGCAGATGGACAAGGCTTCTGTTCTTGGAGATGCTATAAAGTACTTGAAACAATTGCAAGAGAGAGTTAAGACACTTGAGGAGCAAACAAAGAGAAAAACCATGGAATCTGTAGTTATTGTGAAGAAATCTCAACTGCTTTTTTGTGAGGATGATAGTTCTTCCTCAGATGAGAGTTTCTCCAAAGGCCCATTTGATGAAACTTTACCAGAAATTGAAGCAAGAATTTGTGACAAACATGTTCTTATAAGAATCCATTGTGAGATAAGGAAAGGAGTTTTGGAGAAAACTATAGCTGAAGTCGAGAAACTCCACCTTAATATCATCAATAGCAGTGTTCTTACTTTTGGGAGTTCTGCTCTTGATGTTACTATTATTGCTCAGGTAATTTCTTTCCTTGTTTCCCCCTCAAGTTGGATTTTTATGGGAAAAAAATGTTTAATTTACCTTAAGAAAAAATTTTTAATTTCTTTTGATCAATATGCTCAACAACAGTAGCAACAACAATCAATGCTTATGAACATTTAATCTTTTACAGATGGATAGTGAATATGAGATGTCAGTGAAAGATCTTGTGAAGAATCTACACTCAGCTTTCAAGTTTTTCATGTGATCAAGAAGCCTCAAGGTTTCAACTCACATCTGCAAGAAACAATCTCTTTTAAGTTCTATGCTGCTGCTAGAACAATCCTCTTTTATAAAAATATAGAGTAAGATATACAGAATCAGTCAAAATGAGGCCTGTAATGCTCCATCATTTTAGACCAGTAAGCTTGTTTTACTGTGAGATTCATTTTGCAGGAGGGTTTTTTTAACCAGTCAGTTTTGCATGGTTAAATTAATTACCATGTTCAACACCCACCTGTTTTAAAATAGTAATCTCACAGCTTGTTTGGGATTTTTTTTTTTTTTTTAATGTTTTTGTGGGAGGTTGATGTATAATTATTCTTCCCTTTCCTTTTCAGGGCCACCTAAGGTGGTTGAACAGGGAAAAATGGTTTTTTTAGGTGTGTAGACAAACAGGCCTTTGTTGAAGTTTGTTGTTTGGTTTTGTCAATGTTTTAGAGGCATATAGTCGTAAGCCTCTTTTTCTTTGTAATGTCTAATGGTTTGTAACAATGTGGTTGACATTAATGGAATAATTATTATGGCTTAATAATTTTATGATTTTTTTATTATTTCTTATATTTTTTTTAAATATATAATATCAATAATTATAAATAAGTATATATACCAGACATAAAACTTTACTATTGATAGCTAATAGTCTAATAAAATTTGCTGATTTTCTAGTGAAATAAAGAAATTCATATCCTTTTAAATAATGAAAGTGAAACTAAAAAAAATATAATATTAAGTTTTTCTGCTTGGAGTTGATTTTGACAAAAGATATAAATTTTTATAGCAACAACTAGTCCGTTAATTGATTTGGACGTCAAAGTAATAACTTCTCTGGATCTTATAACTGAATTGCTTTTTCAATGATTTGCAACATAGCAAGAATATAGATGAGTTTCCGTCGTTATGCGTCGATAGTATCAATGGAGGAACATGTTGCATTACCAGACTCCATCGAGTTATAGATCTGAGTTTATTATAGCAAAAGAAAATTAAAAGCAAAATGAAGTTGAAGTGAAAGAGATAGTAGAAAGTAGAAGATAGGGGCTACTGATAAACAGGAGTAGCATAAAACTAAACTATTAGGTCCATGGCAACTATTGTATATGGTTATTCTAATTGCTAAATTTATGGGAGTTAGATGAGATAATGTTTAAATTAATTAATAATTGTATTTATCTTTGATACAATTTTAAATTTTGTGAGGAGTGGAAGGTTTAGGGTTCGAGTGCTCTTAATCATAATAATTTTTATAATTTGGTGAATTAAGAAAAGAGCTACTGCTGTTTGTATAACTCGCAGTGTTAATTTTGCCTATTAAATCTTTATGTGAATTAAAAAAGATATAATTTTGAATTTAATGGCTTGTAAACTATGCACATCTTTTTTAGTATGATTGGCTTGTATTGGAGACATAAAACTTATTGTCCAACCTATCTTTGTAAGTGTTGCTTTTAAATTAATTAGGTCTTTAACATGAGACTGTTGTATTTGATCAAAGTGTCTGAAGGAAATATCAAATCCAAAACCATTAACCCTTAAAGTTTAAGTTTATTTTTTTAAAAAGAAAAAAAAGGACTACCAGGTGTATTAGTCACTTCTCCCATCGGCTCGGATCACTGGTGTAGGTCTTGATGTCCCGATTTAAGACACTCGCATAGGGCGTGCCAATCCCCAAGCACTAATGGGAGACACTACCCCCTTCCTACAAGATCGTATTGTTACGATTCTCAGCCCAAGACAGTAGAGCCCGCCTAAGGCAGCCCACAAAGTGAACCGTGGCTTCTAGACAGCAGAGTCAATATTTAGACATTATACATAATGGAATACTATCGTGGAGGATTGAACATGGATCAAGCAAATGGATGATCATCGTTTCAAACTAAATTTTAAGTTTATGTTGTATACACTAACTTTTTTATTAATTATTTATCATTCAGTACTTTAAGAAGCTTTAAAATCCTGCCGTTATCTCAAAAATTGATATGGATTTCCCTTACAATATTTTTAAGGGAGGAAAAAAAATACAATGTTAAAAACTTGCATACCATCACACGACAAAATATTATAGAAAACCCATGTAATTTTTGAACCTTTTTTCATGAAACTTCCTTTTTTTTTCGTAATTGACAATGTCTTGTACACATTTCCAACCACCATCTTGACAAATTTTCAGAATTTGACATTTTTGTGTTAGAAGAATGCCTCTAATCTATGTTGATGATAGCAATTAAATGATTTAAAGACCAGAATAAAGCATAATAATAATAAAATAAGAATGGATTTAATATTTTCATGGTAAGAAGGATGAACAATAAGACAAACTCCAACAAAATTCTGGTACAATTATTGCCAATTAGTAGGTGCTAATAAGAGGATAAGCCTATATTTTGAGATTAGTGGGTACTTGATTATGACTTTAAAAAAATTGATAGTCCTAAATTTAAAAAAAAAAAAGAAATTGAAGGAAAGAGTCTATAAAATTTTATTATATCATAAATTAATTAGGTGCATTCATTAAATAAAGTTTGTACAAAAGTCTTATATGACTTTGATGTAATTTGTCATTTAGTCCATACCAGAGATTGTGATCTAGCCATATGTATCATGTATGATTTAGTAGAATATATATAATTATTTATTAGGATATATTTGACATCAAATTGGAGAAATACAGGAGATTCGGGTTTATTGTCTATTCAGCAAGATTAATTTTTTTGACAGTTAGCTGTTTTAATAGCATGCACGGCTAACATTTTATAAAAATTGCTTTAATTTTTAAGAGTTAATTCAAACGTTATGTTATTAAATAATAAAAAAATTAACATTTAGTTAAAACACTAAAAATTGCTTTAAAAAATTATTGCACAACATCTCGGTTAGTCTAATGAAAATTTCTCATACAATTGCATGAGTTGGCCACTCGTCAACTCCATTCATACATTTGAAAAGATCTCATACAATTACTAGGGTTAGCTTGATAGCCAAAAAGACATATAGATGACATAGAAGAGACATCTTACAAAATTACAGAAGGTCACTTCCTGTATTTTTATTAATACTGATTGTGATATTTTAGACGAATCTCACATCATCTGAACACGAGATGGAAGTAAAATACATAAAAAATGACAAGCTTTAGACTAGTAGGAAACTTTTAAAGCCGTAAGGCCTGAGTTGATTCGCCAGAACGAACAATATCTTGCAATGTCTAAGATAGATGTGAGTTGGTTCCATCCTATCAACCTGTAAAAAGGCTTTTTGGGCTATAAGGTGGTTCTAGCCCAAGAACAAAACCGTGAACGAGTCTAACTCAAAACAAAAAATATCTTACTAAACTTGAGATGCTACACTAATTATATCAAATCCTACCTTGGCAGGATATTTCAGCTAATTAATGGAACATTAGCAATCATGCAATTCCTTTTTTTTCCCCTTTCATGGTTTGCTAATGAAGCAGAAAAAATTATGCCTCTAGCAAATAATATTCTGTATAATGTGTTTTGTTAGAGATTAATATTTTCACACAATATCACTTTTTTAGAAAAAAAATATATTTTATAAAAATAATTTTAAAAATATTAAATTATCATATTTGAATAAAAATATTTTTTTAGATAAAATAATCAAAAGTGTTAATATAATAATATTTTTAAAATATTTTATTTTTCATAAAAATTAATTTTCTCACATTTTGAAATGGGAAATATAAAACTTTCCACATCAACTAAATATTGAAATTTTACTTTTTCAAATTACTTTCCAGTGAATTTTTACATCTAAACGTTCTCTAAATATTTCAATCTAAATATATTGATTTGATATTATATTTAAATCTTTATTTTTAAAAAAAATTATATCAAAAATATTAAATAAAAATAATCAAAATTTATTTTTAATGTACAAAAAATAAGATTAATTGTTCTTTGGAAGACACTCTAATAATTAGTTAATTAATTAATGGATAATATATTAATTTTATTTGTTTGTTTGTCTAACAAATTCAATAATTGACATGAATTCATGATGACAATGCAGGATGTTTTGACATATGGTCTCCAATCTCCAGACAATAAAATTTATTTTAGCTATTGAGAATCCATATAACCATTAATTAATTAGCTTCTTACAAAAAAATCCATTGTAAAGAGAAGAATGATGATAGCTAGGAATGACAATGGAGTATTTTTCTAATGATGAAGAGGATCTTACCATATATTGAAATTTCCAAGTAACGTCAAAGTTGTAATAATTTACTATCTTCTTTTATTTGTTGTTATCTTAAGTTCGAAGCCTGCTATTGATAAAAAATAATAATATTTATTTTATTACATGAAAAAGATTTGGAAAATTTAATTATCAGATTTGAAGTCGTGACATCATATATGGCAGGAGATAAAAATTTAACCATTAATTTATTTATATTACAAGGGAATTACGTCGTTGAGTTTGAGGAGAAAAATAATTTGAAAACGAAAAGGAAAGATTTCGATATTTGGTTTGTAATAGAAATTTTATATTTTCAAAAAGATTAATTTATGAATATATGGATCTCATCTCTATTTTTTTTATTTAGATGGAAAATACGGTAAGAAAATTGATTTTTTATTAAAAATAAGATATTTTCAAAATAAATAATATATAATTAGTTTAACTACCGTTACGTTTTGAAGGTACTTTTTATTTTTAAAATTAAGAGAAAATAATATAATTAGTTGGATTGAAGTAAAGGAATTGTAATCAACATACAATAAATTAATGGGAAGCTCCTGGAGTCCGGAAACACATACAGCAGGTGTGGGGTGGCTGGTTCGTGGTGAGTATGGTTTCTATTTAGGTTGTGGGGCTTGTCGTTTAGAGATGTTTTCAGTCGTTTATGGCTAAGTTGCTTGGTACAAGGTAAGTGCTCGGTTGGCTGAAGGAAGGATTTTCACATAGAGTGTTGCTGCTGGAGAGTGATTGTTTAATGGTTGTCACGGCATTAAATACAAATCGTACTGATTTGTCTTTTGCAGGTAATATTATTTCAAATTGTAGGATGCTTATATCTAATATTGCTACAATAGATTTTAGTTTTATTAAAAAATCAGTAAATTAAGCTGCTCATATGCTTTCACAGGTAGCTGGTTCTATAACTGATTTATTGGAGTGGGGTGTTGTCCCTCCAACTTTAATCGATGATATTCTTATTTTTGATATGAATAATATATAAACCACTTTTGTAGTGTCAAAAAAAAAATTAATGGGAAGTTAAAATTAAAATAGAAGTTTTGCAATTTCTTCAAATATATAAAGAAAATTTTTAATTTCAACGCATTATCTAATCTTAATTTTACCTTGGACAACACGTAAATTGATATGAAAATATTTCCGACCATAAAAAAAAATTTCCACTTCTATGGTATGACAATTTTCATAGGGGTGGCAAATTGATTGACAAATCTAAAATTATTGCACATCACAATTTAGGTTTTTACCATGTCAAAACCTTAGTCACATGTATCTATTTATCAAGGTAACTGTCATTGTCAAACTTATACTTCAAAGAGCTTATACAAATTTGTTCTCTTCGTTGTGTTTCTATTTTATGTCCCCCTCTCAATTCATTTTAAATTTCAATCCAAAAAAAAAAAATAGAGAGGGAGATGGGTCACTAAATTTCCCTAATTTATAAAAATAACCAAATTCATACTCAAATTGGGCTTCCTAGGTCCATTAATAACAACAAAGCGCATTGAAAATTAATAATTAAAAGATTAATATTTAGTTACTGTTAATGTAAATCACAATGGTGTCGTGGTGTAGTTGGTTATCACGTCAGTCTAACACACTGAAGGTCTCCGGTTCGAGTCCGGGCGACGCCATATCTTCATTTTGGTAGTTAGTTTTTTCACTCTTGCAAATTAAAAACGACGTCGACTAAGCTACTTTAAGACATAAATAACTACCGGCGGAAATTTCTCTTGACCCATCATTTCGTCAAAAATTCGTTCCACGTCATCATAACAAATTCCAAGTTCCAGCGAATCGTAACCAATCAGATCTCTCAAACCACATCACATTCTCTCTTCTGAATTCTGAGTGGTTGACCCTGCCACGTCATCATCTCTTAGATCCTCCTACACTATTCCAGTATCTTCCCCTTTATAAATCGCCATTGCTAATGCTCCATTAAAATATCGAAAAATCGAATGTTACAGAAGTTGTTTTTACGATCAAGATCAACGAATGAAGATGTTAGTCTATTACCTGACCCTCATTTTCATCTTACTTACGAGTCTGTCCTTCTCCAATGCTCTTGTGTCGTCGCCGGAGATTAACCCCTCACCGCCGTATCCCAAAGCCATATCTGTAAGCTTTTCTGACAAATTATAGATTAATTAAGTTTTGAATTTGTGTTTAGTATTGTTTAATTTTGATAAATTTTTGAATTGTTTTAGGATTTGAAGGAGGCCATTGTAAAGGGACTAGGGTTTCAAGCGGAAGATTTTAAGGTTTCAGGGTTTGATATTAGAGATGCTTTGGTTGGTCGATCGGTAGCGTATGAATTCGACATTGAAATAGATAATCAGGTTTTTCCGTTAAAGTTATTAGAGGATGTGAATCGATGGGAGTATGTGGATTTGCCTATTTTTAGAGTTGAAAAAGAGGGATTGGTTAGGGCTGGTGATCAGAATGGGTTAGTGAAACAGAAGGTGATGCCGGATCATGGGTTGCCTGTCCTAGCTCCTTTTCAGCTTGCTGGACCTATGGAGATTTGGATTCAAGATGCTAAGGATATGCGTATTAAGTTACCGGTACGTATTAGTTTTATGCATTATGGGATTTGCTATCATTAGGAAAGTACTTTTTTTTCCTTTAATTGTTTTGTATTTGAAATGTTGTTTTGTTTATTGAACATTAAGTGAGGCACAATATTGGGTTTCAGCTTAAGATTGATGATATTGGAATTGAATAATTGGATACCAGTGGGAGATAAGTATACTGAATACGCATACTTTCAGTTTATTGTTGCTAAGATTTCATTGGCATTGTCTCAATAATGTGTTGGGTAGGGTAGATAGATATGAAATCATATTTGGGAAATGTGGAAAGGAGTCCTGATTTTAATATCTGGATCAAAGGTTCTATGCAGATTGGCTTTGAAATTAATATTACTAATCTAATTAAGGGTTTATATACTATGCGGTTAAATTTTATGTCTCTGTTTGTTGAGATGTAATGAAATGTAATATAGTCAAATGCATTTTTAATGTAATGTTTGCTAGAAATACATTTGATTACATTGCATTTCATTACACAAATATAGCCTAAAAGTCTTGGGCTTTTAACTGAGTAGGTGCAAGTTGAAGGCTGTCAAAAAATTTGTTGAAGGGTGTATGATGCTTTAGATGACCTTTATTGGTTTTGAAATTTTGATTTTAATGGTATAGGATCATAACTAGGTAATGGCCTTATTTATTGATATTGAAATTTGCCTTTTGGAGCTGTTCTTATGTGTTGATGGGAACATCACACTTTTAGACTGGAGTTTATGCTCGAGTTAAATTAGTTGCTTTTGTTCTTACAGCAAATCAGTCACTTCAATAATTTCTTTAGATATTCTCTCTCTCACACACGCCAATGAGAACCTGAATTCAGATTTTTATCTTAAATGGATAAAGTTCTTCATTTATTTACCTGATGGATTTTGTTTATTCTGCAGCATGATGTAGATGCTGGTGTCTTGAAAAAAGTGATATTGGCAGATGGTGCTGTGGTAACAGTCAAGGGTGCCCGATCAGTTAGCCTACGCCACCCAATTGATTTTCCATTACCCTTCAATCGAACTCAAAATGGTTTTGCTTCTGGTATTCTGGCCCTAGCTGAACATCTCCGTCATGCTTCTCGCATTGAAGGAGCACCACTTCTATCCCTCCGCATAGTTGGCGCTACCTCCCTCACTTCTCCATCATCGTCGTCATCTTCTTCCAATAACAGGCTCAAGCTAAAACGCCTCGCCCCAGGCCTCGTGGAGTTATCCAAAAGTGCAAAATTCCAGCCTGTTGATGCACTCTCCCCTGTTAATTTGGATGAAGCCACAGCAGTCTTAACTCCTAAGCATTTCACTACAATGTGGCCTTTTGGTTCTGTGAATGGCTCGAACGTGAATTTGCTAGGTTTTGAGAAATTGCTGGCTGCTGTGTTGGGTCCTAGGGCAAATAAGAAAGGCTCCTTCAAGTTGTTGAAGGCAGATGTGTCAGCTCAGACATTCGTGAAGATCGGATTTGGGGTTGAGAAGAAGTTGAAAGAAGGGGATTTTGATTGGCAAAACTTTCCTGAGTGGAGGACAAAGCCCGAGTCTGTCAGGATGCATTTTGAGGTTCTGGCTAAGGTTGATGGAGACAAAGTTGTGCCTGAGAGGGTAATGCAGGTTAACCCTGTGGTTGTGGAAGATACTGTAGCATCTAATGTTCTCCAGGGAAATGTGACGGTGTCTAAGATACCTACAGTTCACCCGCCCTCTAACCCCTTCTCCTTGTAACTTATTTTGCCCAAAGTTACTAGCGAGTGTAAATCTTGTGCTTTTTTTTCCCCCCAAACATATATTTATGATGAGATGTATATTTGTAAACAAAATGCAAAGAAATAATAAAGGTCAGGGATATTTTCACTCCAGCTGCATGGAAAAATCGTTATGTTTTAATTAATTTATGCCAAAAACAAGCAAGGATTCACATCAAAGTGGTTTTTAGTTAATGTTCTTGTACTTAACAATTTTTTTTTTTTTTTTTTTTTTTATAAAAAAAAGCTAATTAACTAGTAAAAGAAAATGTTCATGTCTGAATAATTCCACCAACTACAGACTCCCCTCTGCTTAAGCTGAAAAACATGTTTATCAGCTAAAATTTATTCGGAGGATTAACCGTGAAAAGGTCTACATACAAGAGGATTTCCTATAACGAACTCGACAAATTTACACGATAATAAGCTTTTCGTAAACATGAAACTATTTCCTGATGAAGGAAGTTCCCTTCTGAATGCTTGATTCCAACTCTTTCTTCGCCTTTTCTAAGCCAATTCTGTTTGAGAGTCATAAGAGGAATAAACAGAACAGTTATTTACTAATACTTTGTTGCTAAATATTAGTAAATTTGATAGTGTTTTTCTATTCGTACCTCTCATACTCGTTCAGAGGGCCAAGTTGATAAATTTCCTCAGCTCCATTACGACCAAGTCGCACCTTGGATGCGAAGAAAGGAAGCTCTGTCACCTGTCACAAACCATATGCTAGCTTATTAAAAAGATCATGTAGAAATTATTAAGTTGCTCATAAAAAAGGGGCTTGATAATGTACCTCAGAAGCTACAAATGAGCATTCCACAATGCCAGCATCTCCTCTCAAGCCTCGAAGGCAAGCGTCAGCAAATTTTGCAGCTGCATATGCCTGTAAATATCATGTGGGGCTTTTTTTTATTTTCTTCAGCATGTTCATCAATTAGAAATTTCTGGATGATACAAGTAAAGTTACAAAATTGATAAAAAACAGGAAACAAAATTGGCTAACCATTGACAGTGTTGCAGAGCCAGCCCCAGCTTTTGCCTGCAAATGGAATAGAAAATATAGCAGATAACTGTAAGCAATTCATGCAACTTGTACATTAGGAAAGGTATACCTAGGAACAATGCATTAGGAAATATAATATAATGAGAGATTATTGACTGAAAATATCGCACTTAATGAAAGATCGTAACTATGGCAATCTTGATTAGTAACACCTATTAGTATGGAGATGTACCATCGGCAAACAAAATCTGTTCATATTTAATTTTCAAGTCTTACCTGAACAACTTCTGTTCCACCATCTTGAATTCGTTTTGTTAGATATTCGATTTCTTCTGGGGTGAAGCTGGAGGGAGGCTTAACCTGCAAAGAGAGCATATGTGCCAAATAGTTGGATACTAACAATTAAAACATCTAATTAATGTTGAGTTGACATTTGGCAAATAATCTCCAGTACCTGTGACAAAAGAGGTAAAATTGTAACTCCTGCATGACCTCCAACAACTGGAACATCAACTTCCCTAGGATCAAGTCCCAGAACTTCTGCCTGTAACCATGACACTGAATTATTAATATTTGACCATATTCTTACCTTGCAAATCACTGTGTAAGCACTTTATCTAAATGAACATTGAACATTTGAGAGTTAACCCTATTCTTCAATGCGTACCACAAAAGTGTTTGCTCTCACAACATCAAGCATTGTAACTCCTAGAAGTCTCTTTGGGTCATAAGTTCCAGCTTTCTTGAAAACCTCAGCTGCAATCGGTACTGTGGAATTAACAGGATTACTGATCAAATTCACCACTGCTTTGGGACAGCAATTGGCAATTCCTTCACAGAGAGTCCTGACAATCCCAGCATTAATATTGAAAAGATCATCCCTAGTCATTCCAGGCTTCCTTGGCACACCAGCAGGTATGATTACAAGGTCCATACCTGTCAGTGCATTTGCAAGCTGTGGCTGTCCTAGGAAACCGCGAACCTAGGAACCCAAATTTAACGATTAGCATCAATTTCTTTAGAGTTCAGAGTCCAAGCCACTATGTTCTACTTGGCTGAATGACTATAAAACTTCAGAAAATTATATGCAGCAGTTCAACTAAAGCCATAAACTAAAAAAGGAAAAGAAAAAACAGTTCACTAATTTTCTCCAAGAATCCACTCAAATCCCTATATTTAATCTCAGAAAATATTTTAATTTGCAAAACTTTGGTTGAATTGCACTGGAGATGTCTCCAACACTGCAAATTCAAACTCAAGCTGAAACCAAATTAACTAAATAATAATAAGAATAATAATATTGATTTACAAAATGACAATAATTCAATCACAAATATGAAACTAATTAATGAGTGTTGATGATTACCACAGCACCAGTGTCCATGTGGCTAATATCAGCAGTGACACCAGGGGCATTCACAACGTCATAGAGATGAAGAACTGAGACTAATGGGTTCATCTTCATAAGCAATGCAAGAGGTTGGCCAATGCCTCCAGCAGCACCCAAGATAGCCACCTTGAACCCAGGTGCCCCACCTTTCGCCCGGCAATCAGTTCTCTTCAGAACAGAATTTCCCTCCATCTAATGAAAAGCCACAATCCATACAACATTCACAGCACAATCAAAACCCATTAAATGGTTTAAAAGTAAACTTGAGGTTAATCTTTACAATTACTTCAATTTTCAATAGACATAAACTGAAATAGGTTAAAACAAGTTGTAAAGACAGGACGTATGAAAGATTTGATCAGACCCCAGACAAACCTAATGGTTATGCATATCCAATTGAAGAAAAAATGTATAAATTAGGCTTTTTTTTTTTTAAGAGTATAAATTAGGCTTTTAGTTCATTACCCAAGAAGAATATTGGGAATGCCACAAGATAAAACACATGAATAGTCCATAATGATGCAAGAAACGATTGCTCATGGTCACACATACAAAGAAAGGGCCAGCAAGTACCAGGATGCTAAAATTCAAATAATTCACGGGAAGAGAAAAACCTGAAAATTTGGAGGGTTGAGATGAGCTGAAATTCTTGCAATTCTCTGGGTAGCATCTGAACTCGACTCCATGGCTGCTATGAGTTATGATAGAGAGATGAAGGTAAGTAACTGAGGTATCACAAACTACAAGCAAGAAAATAAAAGGAATGTATTTAAAGCCAGAAGAAAATAATGAAGAGATAAATGCGAAAAATAATATATGGGGAGAGGGAGGCAAGAAGTTGACATATTTATGGTTTATATATATAAATTTCTTACCAAAATTCCTTTTTTTTTTTTTTGTGGAAACAATTTCTTGAACCCTTATCCCATCTGAATTATTGAATGTGGCTCAAATGTTTTCTTGACAAAGGGTTGTGTTTTTTTCTGCCATTTCCTTCTCACACAATGTGTAACTTCTCTTTTGGTTTCTTTCTCAGTCCATCCATCCATAACCTTAGATGTCTGTTGGTTTGGCAGTTAGAGTGATTTGTGTGTACTATTGGTAGTTGGGACAAAGAATGTGTAAGATGTGCAGAAGCAGACATGTCCAAAAGGCCTAGAAGTTGGGTTTGGGGAAATGGAACTACTTAAGCCCAGCCTATATTTTTACTTGCTCATTGTTCATTGATATGGAATTTTTCAATTAGAACCAAAATATGCTCATCTTAAATATTATCTTTTCCATTTATTAATAGATATAATAAACTTTTTTTAAGATTTTAATGCGGTTCAAGTTCAAGATTTTAATGCTGATTCCATTGATTTGATTCATTTTTTAATTATTTTTGGATAAATTTGAACTTGTTTTCGAAATTAATGAAAATTGAATCAAATAGAAAAATTCATTTTTTTATCAAGACCTGATAGGAGCAATTAATAAAATAAATCGAGCGTTACTCAAACTAATTCAAATATTAATCATATAATTAATGTTCGAAATTTCCACTTGTCATTTATGATCGGAATTTTTACTCGGCATTTATCTTATCGGTTAAAATATATAAGATATTATAAATATTTGTATTTCATCCACCAGAGAACACATTACAATCGAAAACATTTCAAGCATTCTCTTAGCCTCAATCTTTTACTTCTATCAAGACCAAACTAAGCTGAATATATTAAAAATGAAATTAAATTAAATCAAATTGAATCACTTCAGTTTACCGAACAAAGTCAGTAATCCAAACTTGTCTCTTGAGGATAAAACTGTTATTCACAAGGACGGTATTTTTTGGGTCAAGTCCAATGGATCCTTGAGCCCATTAACAGGTATGGCAGGTCATATTCCATATGAATAGAGTTATTAAATTAATTATTTTTTATTTTAATATTAGAAAGAAAAGAATTCAAATGGGAATCTATTGTGATTAATATATTAATTTTAAAATATAATTCTTTTGATTTGTTAAAATATTAACAAACTCTCTATTGATTGTAATTCTTGATATTATTATTATTATTATTATTAACAAATTAAATTCTTAAAAAAGTTTTTTTCCTTGATTTAATTTCTCTAATTTGAATTTTTAAAATTTTTTTTTGGCTCCATCACTAATTACATACATATAATTTTTTAATTTATTTTTGATTGGCCCAGCTCTCTTGATCTTAGCTCGGAAAAAAGCATAGGCAAGGGAGGCATGTCTTGGTCTTAGACACTCAGTTTTGACTATGGGCATCGACTTTTCTGTAGGTACACTGAATGTGTATATGTCCCATGCATGGTTATTAGTCCAGGCAGTCTCTTTCTGTTCTCCTCTTTTTCTTATTATCTTTATTATTGTTCCCATTGCCTTTAATTTTTTCTTTTTTAATAATCACAAAGTGTAATTGTCTCGACCTATAAAAGCATATAAACTTATTGCTCTTCAACAAGATATGCTTTTCGAATATCGAATTTTTATTTTCATTTTTACAGGAATTTAGGTTGCTTATTACCCCAATCAACACTTTATTAGTTCTTTACTTTCATCTTTTATTCAAGAAAAGAGTAAAAAAAAATTAATAAATAAATAAAAAAAAAGAACCCACCAACCATAATTTCAATGATATATAATATATATACCTAACACTTGATCTTGAATATTTTCTCGTGATGATATGTCACTTCTTGTCGATTTATAAGACAATCCTCAAGATATCTAACCACGTATGGAAATTAAACAAATTTTAATTACTACTTGGATTTGTAATGTTGTTGAGGAACAATTCACATCTGCATATATATATATTTTGATTTGCAATAATGCAATTTTAATTGAACATTTTTTGGTATCATAATCAGAAAAAGACAAGCAATCTATATGGACTTGATTGCAAAAAGGTCCAATTCAAATGCAACAGAATCTAGTGGGTGGATGCTTAAGATGGCTTCTTTTATTTATTTTATGTATTTATTTATTCAAGTTTATTAGTGAGTGCTTCATCACAATAATATTTTTATCTTAAATTAAAATATTTGCATGTTGTTTTCTTTTTTTCCTAAAATTCTTATTTTTATTCTTGAAAATTAAATTATAATATAAATAATAAGTTTATGGGTTGAATAAATAAATAATTAATTAAATGACAGGAAGCTCTCTATAAACATTTCTTTATTGGAACATTCAAATAATGTTGCATAAAGAAAAGTAACTTGTTAAGTTTAAGTTAATTAAGTAGGCTTAAGCTAATTAACTAGGCTGTTGAGTGTCACCCATCTCTTAATATGGATTAATGAATAAATTATATTGATTACTTTTCACATATGATTAAGATTTTAAATAAATCAACATTTTATTTTTTAAAATATACATATATAAATAAATTATCTACTTGTAAAATGTACAAATTGATTTTTAATGTTTGAAAACTAATAATTTTGACCCATTTTATTTGTCAATTACATTTTTTAACTACCTCCTTGCAAAATACAATAGAGTATGTATAAATGTATTATATAAAATATGAATTTTATAGTTTTTATATAAAATGTTGTTCATTTTACTTGGATATGTTCGCAAAATTAGTTGTTTTAGTAGCTGCTAGCCGTTTTATTTTAGTAGCTTTTCATAAAACATTAAAGGCTAAACATTTTTATAAAATACTACCTTAATCTCTAAAAGATAATTCAAATACTAACACTAAAATCTACTTAAAAAGCTATTGCTGAACAAAATTAGATCACCTCGTCACTAATTAAAAATGAATAATCTATTTAAGTTAGACAAAAAATTATATCACTCATTTATCCTATTAATTTTTTTATTAAAAATTTATGTTAAAATTGATTAAAACTTAACTTTGAATAAATATTATATTTTCAAAAAAGTTAAAAAGAAAAATTAAATAATTCTCCTTTAATATTTATAATTAGAAATCTATTTTGCCCGCCAGTCAGAAAGGAGGAAAAGAAGAGCATGAAAGAAATAAAGTAGGTTTGCAGTGAGTCAAAGGTTCATAATCGAGTGCACCACTTTCCTGGCATATACCCACGACAGCAACATAATCCTACTTTACTCACTGGCCCTTTTTGACTCTCTATTTTTTTTTTTTTTTTTTCACTGAGCCCTTTTTGACTCTCTATTTTTTTTTTTTTTTTTTGAAAAATTATTATTTTTTTTTTTTTTTTTTTTTGAAGAAATTATTATTTAATATTACCAATTGCCACTTGGCTTTTATTATATCACCATGTTTATGTATGCTTTATTTTTTAATATGAACATGAGAGAGGAATTTATAAGGATAAAAGAGGTATTAAAAAAATTATAATTTAACCATATTAATTATATTGTTAATAATTATTTTTACGGGAAATTAATTATAATTAGTGATGGATTTATGACTAATTCTAATTAGGTTTATTTTTTGAGAATGACTAATCATATTTTTATTTTAATTTTATATACACTACATGTATCATCAACCGAAATGGAATTAAACTTTATTTGCATCAAATTTATTTATTAAAGAACATTATTTATTCTGTTTACAAGAATTCAACACTCAGCCTCTTTTAAATGATTAATGCTAGGTGATGATATATTTTGTTTTTCTAGAAACAAGTCAACCTTCCTTGTCACCGCCTGAACAAATTCTTCCCACGTGGCAGCCTATGGAGCGCTGAGTCAATTTGGGCGGCCACAACGTTTTCCATTTTTGTTCTTCACGTGCTGACTTCTACTGCCTATCAATAAAACGTTTTCTAGAGAGAGCCTTTGTTTTTTTCTCAATTTTTTGAATCTAATTTTCTTACTTACTATGAAAATTATATCAAAATAATAGATTATATTCAAAAAGAAAATAGCTTGTAAAAAAAATATAATCATTACTTAAGTTCCTTAAATTTAAATAAAATTACAACTACATTCCTTTTATTTAGTAATAATCTATAAAAATTTTATTACTATTTAGTTATTTGTTCGAAAAAAATTATTTTTACCCTTATTGATAAAAATAAAAATTAATACGAAAGACTTGATTATGCTTTTGAAAGAAAGAATTTGAGATGAAAATTTTAAAAGATTAACTTTAATTATTAAATAAATCTGTAATGTAATATAATTATATTCTCTTATAATTACTAAATACACTATTTAAAGTGTCATTTATTTACTCATATTTATAACAAATAGACGTAAGAATATTCTATCGGCTTCATATTTAAACTTTTCACATTGATTCGTAGCTTTTATGTAAACATTTTATTTGTTGTTATTTAAAAATGATAAATACATACTTATACAAAGTTATTATTTTTACATAATACATCAAAATAAAAAATCTATATCTATATAATTATATACTTTCTAAAGTTTAAATGGTTATGTGCCGACATATTAAAATATTAAACTAATGATATGATATTTTATTTTTTTTAATATAATTAATATTTTTTTATATTTAATAAAAATCATTTTTTTATGAAATAATGGAATTACAAACTAATAAATTTAATGAATGATTTCATTATAATTAATATTTTTTACATTTAATAAATATTGAGTTTTTTATAAAATAGTTTTTATCTTTAGTGTGCACCGGACAATATCTAAAATAGCGATAAAGCCTGAATGATAATGATATTTTTATTTTTTTTAATATAAATGTTATATTTTTTTTATATTTAAATAAAAATCATTTTTTTTTATGAAAATAATGGAAATTACAACTAAGTTAAAGTTATAATGAGGAATGATTTCATTATGAATTAATATTTTGTTTAGACATTTAATAAAAGTATTAGAAGGTTTTTTATTAAAAATAGTGTTTTTGATCTATAAAAAAATAATGGAGTTATAATAGAGTAAAATTAAATTAAATATTAAATAAATATAGTTACATTAAATCTCTAAATAGAATTAGAAAATCATTAGGATTTAAATTCACTAAAAGGTTTTTTATGTCATTGCGTGAATTAAAAATATTCTATATATAGAGTGCCTTATGTGAGGACTTGGAATAGGTAATGAAGAATTTGAAAAGATTGGAAAAATAATTAATGCAAGGTGTTGTCTATATCTATTGTTATATTATGCTATTATATTATATTATTAACAATGATCGTAATTGTGCTAACTAATATTTTCAGTTCATTACTTTGAAAATTTTCAAAAAAAAAAATATATAATTTTACTTTTTTATTTTAATTAAAAAATAAGGATAGGGAGTGAATTAATTTAATTAATGATAAACAAAAATATAAATAGTTAATAATTTTTTTAGTACAAATTTAATTAAAAAAATATATATTATATTTATAATAATCCGACGCATTTTGCTCGGATGATTGACTAGTATATACATATTAATAATATATATGAAATTTAAAACGCAATAATCCTGACTGTTGTTATGTTTGTTATTTAACGTAATAAATAAAATACAAAGTAGTGTAATATTGCATAAGATTTGTTTGCTCTTAACGTGCTCTATTTTTCCTTCTTTATTGCGGAATTATTATCAACATTGACAATGTTGAAGTGTGAACTAGCGTCAAAATTCAAGCGCCAAGCCTTGCTACTTGGAATGTTATGAGTCTGCCAAAAATCTTAGGCATTTCGCACCACTTCTCTTACTAGCAGACGGGCCAAAAACCTCTCCTAAGCCCCTCCATCCCGGCCACAGGAAGTGTTCGCTGACGGAATATTTGTATCTTCGGCTAATTGCATGTTTGGTGGTGAAATAGTTTTTATCTATAAAAAAACTAATGGAGTTATAATAGAGTAATTATTAATATTAAATAATATAGTTACATTAACAAATAGAATTAAAATATTAATTTAAATTCACTAAAATTTTATGTCATTGTAATTAAATATTCTTATATACCTTATGTAACTTGAATATATGAGAATTTAAAAGATGAAAAAATAATTAATCAATTGCATCAATTGAATTACAATAATTTATTTACAATGATTAATTGTGCTAACTAATATTTCAGTTCATTACTTGAAAATTTCAAAAAAAAAATATATAATTTTACTTTTTATTTTTAATTAAAAATAAATAAGTGAATTATTTAAATTAAAGAAACAAAAATATAAATTATAATAATTTTTTTTAAAATAACAAATTTAATTTAAAAAAATATAAAATTATATAATCCGACGCATTTTGCTCGGATGATTGACTAGAAACAATAATAATATATATGAAATTTAACCAAATAATCCTGACTGTTGTATGTTTGTTATTTAACTAATAAAAAAAATACAAATATAAATATTGCATTAAGATTTGTTTGCTCTTACGTGCTCTATTTTTCCTTCTTTCTTGCAATTATCACATGACATGTTGAAGTGTGAACTAGCGTCAAAATTCAAGCCAACCTTCTACTTGGAATGTTATAGTCTGCCAAAAATCTTACATTTCCACACTTCTCTTACTACAACCCAAAAACCTCTCCTAAGCCCCTCACCGGCCACAGGAATGTCTGACGGGAAATATTTCCGGCAATGTCATTTTTTGGTGATTTTCTTTCTTTTTATTTTTCTCATACAAGTTTGTCCAGCCAAATCAGATGAACGTCAAATTCTTCTAAATTTGAAATCTGCTTTCAAGAATTCAAGAACAGATGTGTTCAATTCATGGACACAAGAAAATCCTGTCTGTAACTTTACTGGAATCATTTGCAATAACAATGGATTTGTCAAAGAAATCAATCTTTCTCGACAACAACTTGTCGGTGTTGTTCCTTTCGATTCAATTTGCTCTTTGCAATCTTTGGAAATAATTTCAATGGGGTCAAATTTCTTGCACGGAAGCATTACTGAAGATTTAAAAAATTGCAGAAGCTTGCAAGTCTTACACTTGGGAGGGAATTCATTTTCTGGGGAAGTGCCTGATTTGTCTACTTTAGTTGAATTGAGGATTTTGAGTTTGAATAATAGTGGATTTTCTGGTTCTTTTCCATGGAAATCACTAGAAAATCTTACCAGTCTTGAATTTTTAAGCTTGGGTGATAATCCATTTGATGCTACAAGTTCTTTTCCTGTTGAGGTACTAAAGCTTGAAAAGTTATATTGGCTTTACCTTACTAATTGTAGCATCAGAGGGCAAATTCCAGAGGGAATTTCAAGTCTCTCTTTGCTTCAAAACCTTGAACTTTCTGATAACCAGTTGTTTGGAGTAATTCCTGAAGGAATCGGAAAGCTTTCCAAGCTTATACAGCTTGAGATTTATAATAATTCCTTGACTGGAAAACTTCCTGTAGGAATTGGAAATATCACAAGCCTAGTGAATTTTGATTGTTCACATAATAGGCTTGAAGGTGAAATTGGGGAATTGAAATCCTTGAAAAATCTTGCTTCTTTACATCTCTTTGAAAATCAATTCTCTGGTGAGATTCCTGAGGAATTTGGTGACTTTAGGTACCTTGAAGAGTTCTCTATTTACACTAACAAGTTTAGAGGTTCAGTGCCTCAAAAGTTAGGCTCTTGGGCAGACTTCCTATACATTGATGTTTCAGAGAATTTCTTGACAGGTCCAATACCTCCTGATATGTGCAAAAATGGGAAAATGACCGATCTCCTTATTCTGCAGAATAAGTTCACAGGCCAAGTACCTGAAAGCTATGCAAATTGTAAGTCTTTGACTCGTTTACGTGTAAATAACAATTCACTTTCAGGTACTGTCCCTCCAAGAATATGGGGCTTGCAAAATCTTATTATCATTGATTTGAGTATGAACCAATTTGAAGGTCCTGTCACAGCTGATATTGGTAATGCACATTCGTTAGGATTACTAATTTTATCTAATAATCGGTTTTCTGGTGAGTTACCTGCTGCAATTTCTGATGCTTCTTCATTAGCGTCAATTCAGTTGAGTTCAAATCAATTTCTTGGAAAAATCCCAGAAGGTATTGGTGGATTAAAGGGACTAAACAGTCTTTATTTGGATGGAAACCTTTTTTCTGGTACCATACCAAATTCATTAGGCACATGTGTCTCTCTTACTGTTATAAACCTTTCTGGGAATTCATTTTCTGGAGAAATCCCTCAAAGTCTTGGATATTTGCCTACTTTGAATTCCTTGAATTTGTCCAGTAATAAACTTTCTGGTCAAATTCCAGAGAGTTTATCATCTGTAAGGCTTAGCAATCTTGACCTGTCTAATAATCAGTTGATTGGTCCAATACCTGCATCTTTATCACTTGAGGTCTTTCGTGAAGGCTTTAGTGGGAATCCAGGCTTATGTAGCAACTATTTGAGGAATATCCAACCTTGTTCATCAACTGCTAGAAGTTCTGGTCACCTTCGAGTGCTTTTATCTTGTTTTGCAGCTGGTCTGCTAGTTGTGGTAATTTCTGCTGTTTATTTATTGTTCTTGAAGCAAAGACCAAACAATCTTGATCATCCACTAAAGCGTGGTTCTTGGGATATGAAATCATTTAGAATACTAAGTTTTAGTGAAAAGGACATTATTGATGCTATCAAATCAGAGAATTTGATTGGGAAAGGAGGATCAGGAAATGTGTATAAAGTTGTGCTTGATGATGGAAATGAACTGGCTGTGAAACATATTTGGATGTTGAATTCAAGCGACCGAAAAAGCCTGCAAAGCAGCTCAGCTATGCTGAGTAGAAAGAATTTCCGGTCAGCAGAATATGATGCAGAAGTGGCTACATTAAGTGCTGTAAGGCATGTAAATGTTGTGAAACTGTATTGTAGTATAACAAGTGAGGATAGCAATCTGCTGGTTTACGAGTATCTACCAAATGGAAGCTTGTGGGATCGGTTACATTCTTGTAACAAGATTAAGATGGGATGGGAGTTGAGGTATACAATTGCAGTAGGGGCTGCGAAGGGATTGGAGTATTTGCATCATGGATTTGACAGACCAGTAATTCATCGAGATGTGAAGTCGAGTAACATTTTGTTAGATGAAGAGTGGAAGCCTAGAATTGCTGATTTCGGACTTGCTAAGATTGTGCAGGCTGGTGGTGGAGGAGATTGGAGTCATATCATTGCAGGCACTCATGGATACATGGCTCCTGGTAACTTTTGTCACTTCTTTCTTTGCTTTCAATCTTACATTGACAATATTTCCTATTTGCTTTCAATCTTGCATTGATAATTTCACTAACTTGTTGCATAATTTGTTTTTGCTATGCAGAATATGCATACACTTGCAAGGTAAATGAGAAAAGTGATGTGTATAGTTTTGGAGTAGTACTAATGGAGTTGGTCACAGGAAGAAGGCCAGTTGAACCAGAATTTGGAGAGTATAAAGATATAGTGTATTGGGTTTGCAGCAAAATGAGTAGCAAAGAGAGTGCACTGGATATGATTGACTCAAACATATCAGAGAACCTAAAAGAGGATGCCATTAAAGTTCTGCGGATCGCTATTCATTGCACAGCAAAGATCCCAGCTTTAAGACCATCAATGAGAATGGTAGTTCAAATGCTGGAAGAAGCTGAACCTCATAAACTTACTGATATTACTGTCATCAAGAAAGAAGCTGGCAATAGTCAAGATGAGAATATGAAAGCTTGTAACACATTTGATATGAGCACTTGAAAGCTTATTAACCTTAATTTTTACTATGGAAAAGGTCCTTAAGCAACAGATTAAGAACAAGAGGATGTATCATTTAGATCTTAGATTGTAAGTGATATAATAATGAATTTTTGCCTTGTAAGTAATATAATTTCTCATATAAGGCATTTTAAGGAAAAAACTTTCATTGGAGAGAACTTTAATTACCAGAATTCAATATTCCTGCAGAAAAAACTTTTCTAGGAAAGTAAATTTTCAGGAAAGAAAATTTTGCAATGTTTTCGCGATAATTAAATTTGGTCAAATTAGGGGAAAACATTTGGTTGCATTAGTATATGTATTTCTTTTGTATACTTAGTTTGAAGGTCCATATAATCAATCATCATTTATCTCCTATAATCACCACCGAACCCTCCTATCTTTCACCTTCTTAGAGAAAGTGAGAAAATTAATCTGTATGTGTATATACGGTCTGATAACAGATCCAGATTTGAATCCTCTCTGTCAATATTAAAAAAAAAAAAAATCTTATTTCCCCTCCCCCAATAGTAAAAGAAATCTTATTTTTGTTATTATTTTTATACAAATGTAAAAATAAAAAAAATATTACTTATTTTTTATTATTCCTCTAGATATGTACAAATGAGAATGACAAAGAAACAGGTGGAATTCGATGCCCATTTAGCAAATGGAATTCGGCAATTGGGCTTTGGGAATCTTAAGCTAGTCTACCACATTTTACGACACTACCCATTACTCAGATGCCCATTAACAATGGGTTTATTAGGTCTTACAGTTTCACTCACTCCTCTGTCTTCTTCACTTCCCTTCATTTCCACTCTCTCCACCTTTTCTTCCCATCTTCTTTCCCTCTCTTATCCTTCCACCAGTTAAGTCTTTCATGCAACTATTCCCTCTCCACTTCCGTGGCGCTTTTGATCATCTTCTTCTTATTTTCTTTGTTGGTTTTGTGACTCCGCAGGAAGGAGAAGCTTATTGTTACGTGTGCGAAATATTGGTTATAAGAGCGAATTAGAAGTTATGGAATCGGGAAAGACGACACCGGAGCTCAATCGGGATCTTTATTCCCCTATTGAGCCGTATAGTACTGGTTTTTTGAAGGTTTCGGATCTTCATACAATTTATTTTGAGCAATCGGGCAATCCTAGTGGTCATGTGAGTGGTTATTGCATCATTTTTGTCCTTTTGGTTTTTTTTTTTTTTCTCTTTGTTTCTTTGTACGCATTATATGTCATGGTATACTTGTGCAAGCTAAGAATAGATTATTAGGAATGGTGGTTTGTTTTAGATATAATTTTGGGTTGGGATGGGCTGGGGAAGATGAAATTTTATACTAACTGCTTAGGCTTTGGTTGATGCAATGCTCTTAGTTCAAAAAAGTTTTGAAATTAGAATGATACGAAAATGCAATAATGAGGCATCGCAGCCTCATCTAATTCCAAGTTTTAGCTGAATTCTGTATCCCCTTACATACACGTGATGATGCTACTTTTAGTTTGAATTTTCTAAATTTAGAAGAATAAATATTCATTTGATCAGCTAATTGAGTCTTTACTTTACATTGGAGGATAATGGGAAAATTTTGATTATATTAGAACTTAGAAAATGCATGCTGATATTTTGGTTGCTCTGTTGGTCATCATACTGAGCATTTATACTGCCTGTACATGCATTAAGTACCAACTGGAAAAGTGCTAATGTTTTTCAACGAGTTCAAAAGTCTAGGGGCTTTCTAGAATAAAACTTATAGTACGAATACTGCCTAGCTGTTAGCACATGTTGTATGTGATTCTAGCTTAAATAAATTTATGTTCTTGTTCTTTACTTGCTAGAGTAGTTTGGTTGTATGCAAGTATCCTCCTGTGAAAAGTCTTATTTAATAATCTGTGCATTTTCTTGCCACCTCTTGAAAATTTTTAATGTTTTCTTTTGTTCAATAAAACAAAGATAAGTTACTTTAAGTTTTCATATGGTTATCATGTTATTAACTCTTGTTGCAGCCGGTTGTTTTTCTTCATGGGGGTCCAGGGGGTGGAACAGCGCCAAGCAATCGTAGATTTTTTGATCCAGATTTTTATCGGATCGTTCTATTTGATCAGGTTAATATCACTGCTAATCACTATCAAACTGAACTGTATGCTACATCTTATCTCTAAAACATGAATTGTGTACATCATTTTCAACAGAGAGGCGCAGGCAAGAGTACACCTCATGCTTGCTTGATGGAAAACACCACATGGGACCTCATTGCTGACATTGAAAAGCTAAGAGAACACCTCGAAATTCCCGAGTGGCAGGCAAAGTTTTATCTGATTCTTGGAAACGAAATTTAACGTTAACTTTATTTGTGGATGGTACACTGACTGCTAATTCTCTTCTACCATGCAGGTATTTGGTGGGTCTTGGGGAAGTACACTGGCTCTTGCATACAGCCAAGCTCACCCTGATAAGGTGCATAACTGCTTTACTATAACATTACTTCTTTTGAGGAACTCTCAGACGATGAAAACCAGGTCAATTGAAACATGGTAATATATTCTGGACGTGTACACAACTGACATTTATTTGCTGACATTTTTACATTGTTTCTAAGGTTACTGGCATGGTCCTCAGAGGGATCTTTCTTTTGCGGAAGAAAGAGATTGATTGGTTTTACGAGGGTGGTGCTGCTGCTATTTACCCAGATGGTATGCTAAAATTTATTTCTTTAGATGTTATAATTGATATTGTATTAGAAATGCAATATATATAACCTGAAATTTTCATCATGGAATGTGTGTAGAAATTAATGAGAACTTAGTTGGCATTCACGGCTCATTTCATTTCTTGGAATTAGATTTATGATATTGTTAATAAATTTGTTAGTGACCTTATTCATTGACTTCTATGTTTCTTCTTCAGAGGTGATGATAATATTATTTTGTAGTACAATTTTGATGTACATGCATAGAATTTTGTGGTTACAGTTATCCATTCCAAGTTATTGATAATAATGTGTCAGGTAAACTCTATGATTACTATTCATGTCTTCCTCTCAAACGTAACTTGTAGAACCAATATGTTATTTTATTTTATTAATTGTGATAAAAAAATGTAGCAGTATATTAAGTTGCTTGTGTGTATATTTTTGATGTACAGCTTGGGAGCCATTTAGAGATCTCATCCCAGAAAATGAAAGGGTTTGTTTCATTGATGCTTACAGCAAGAGATTAAACTCTGATGATAAAGAAACACAAGTAAGACTGTAAGAGATGTCATCTGTTTTTAACAGATGTCTTCTATTTCAATTTCACTCTCCAGCTAATATTATGTTTTGTTTTTCTGATTTTTGGTACATACAAGTTCGAAATCCGATCAGAAGTAAGTGCATGTCTCTAAATTACATTTGAACCAGGTTCTTACTGTTTGAATAATGGGCACATTACCCTCATAATTTCTTAGTATGCAGCTGCAAGAGCATGGACCAAATGGGAAATGATGACTGCCCATCTTCTTCCAAATGAAGAGAACATCAAAAAAGGGGATGATGACAATTTTTCTTTGGTAAGTGACCCAGGATCGAGCATTAGAATTTCTATTTTTTTTTCTATTTTAGGACTAATTTTGATGCCTTATTCCATATGAATAAATAATTTTACTTTTCGACAAGAAAATAACTTTCTGCTTTTGCATAGTTTGTATGAGCAGCATACTTATTGGATGCCTACTCAATTGCATATGGGCATAATTTTTGTTGAATTATGCCTATTTTTGTTATTGAGTCCCAATGCCACGTCCATGTATAGTATAATTCCTTAATTATTTGATGTTGAATCTTTATACAACATTCAACTGTATAGTATAATTCCCTTTCTTTATAAATCATTCAACTGTGGGGCTGGCAAAATTCAGAATGGAGATTTTCTAGGCAATTAGTGGGGTTTTATATATGTTATTCATGCAAAATGTTCAGACTACGATGCAACAATTCGCTCGAGTTGTGAGTAGCTGAGTGTTATATCCTCCCAGGTTAAATAAATTGCATGTATTACCTCTCACTTTCCTTTTCATACAATATATAGGCTTTTCCAGTTTTAGCACAGTTGCCACAAGAAGTTCTTATTTCCTTAATTTTTGTTAGAAATTTCCAGTGCATGTTGGTTAATTATCTCAATGTGTTATATGGGAGATTTAGGTTCTTCAGGTGCAGAAATTCATAGATTATTTTAGTGTTTTATATTTTCTTAGTTGGAAGTAGCAAATGTATCGGTTTGACCAAGTTGGTTCAGTAAACTGATTTGATGGATGAGAAGGAAATGACTAATAGTAAATATTTTTCTAGTTGAAAGAATTGAAGGCCATGTATTTTAGTAATGATGTGGCAATCTCCAGAGAAATGTTGGTCAGAAAGCAAAAGGGAGTTACTCAAAGGCATCAAAAGCCTTGGTCATAGCTTGGTTGACAATGCTCCAATATATCTTGAAATTTTGTTTATAAATAGGCAAGCTAGTCTTCCAAGTTCTTTAGTTTAGAAAACTGGCCATGTTATTTTGGGAGGTTTAATTTCTCTCAAGGGCATGAATTAGTGCTATTTGTTTGTGCATGGCTTGATTGGAGACAATTTAGTGGACAAGTTGGAAGCAGATGGTTGGCTAGTTTATTGTAACTGAAGTGAGGGAGTTGAAGTGAAAAGTTGTGGGTGAATGATTCACTGGCTGAATGAATTGAATACCATCATGAAAACAGTTTCAATAAAGATAACTTCCAAAGGAAAGTTCCCTCAGCCAAAGATGATAATGTTTATGGATCTGTCACTTGATATGAAATGTTACAGTGTCACTGTTGCTATAATTGGTTCCGTTTTTTTGTCTTTTTGCAAACAACGGGAGCGCCAAAATGGCAAGGGATGAAGAGTTGAGATATTTTTTCTTCAGAAAGGAGGACTGAGAAAGATTTGACTTTGTTTTACCAATTCTGTTCTCTTAACCAACACGCACAGATAACTGTGTCGATGCTTACTTTACGCACACAACGATCATGATATATCAACAAAAGGGAATTCTTCCATTCTAGCACTGGGACATTGGATAGCCGTCAGTCAGCATATCAGAGCTAGGGCTTCAAACCAAAGTACCGGAAAAGGCAGGATACTTCTAAGAGGTCATGCAATCTTAGTGTTGAAAATCTAATGAATGCCCATAGATTCTGCATTAAAAAGACAGTTTATTGGGAAAATTTTCTCAATGGGGAGCTCAAATCTTAAGAAATGGGGAATGGGCAAAAAGCTATGCGGGATTTTTAATTCCTTATAGCATACTTGTTTTGAATAATTTTTATTGGATTATAATATTTGGAATCTGTCCTTTTTTGTCATAGTGAATTGATCATCAGGCAAATTGATCTGATTGAAATATTGACAAATTTGTGTTGTCCCTTGCAGGCATTTGCGAGGATTGAAAACCATTACTTTGTGAACAAGGGATTTTTCACTTCAGATTCTTTCCTATTAGATAATGTTGATAAAATAAGGCATATAAATACTATAATTGTACAGGTACATTTCCTTTATTGCTATTTATATTCTCCTCTTATTTTGAAAACTGAATCCTTTAGTTAGACAAACAAATTTAGTAGGTTCAATCGCGATTGCATCATCCAGATGATTCTATTTATTGAATTCTTGTGCAGGGAAGATATGACGTTTGTTGCCCTATGATGTCTGCTTGGGATCTTCACAAGGCATGGCCAGAGGCAGATTTTAAGGTAGGCAAATTTCTAAGAGATGTAATACCTTTCAAAGAAAATGATATATAAAAAAAAGGAAAAGGAAAGGAGGGTATGATCTTGAGGCATTGCTCAATACTAAGCTTCACTGCCCTTCTACAATATATTTATCTTTTAGGCATTCTTGGTTGCTGATTTAAGACTTTCTTTTTCCCCAATGAAGGATTTCAATGACAGATTCTCCTCTATTGCATATTTCAAATATGATGCTTAAACTATCTTGGAGAGTTCTATGGGGTAGTTGTTATTAACATTTTTATTGTGGATAAGAGTACATGATAAGCCAAAGTGTAGATTAGCTTTTCTCTTAGCACCTTCCAATTGCTGATATTACATGGTTTATATTACTAAGCTTCTTTCCTGAATTCATCCAATTAAGGCATAAGAATCTTGGTCATTGATTTTTTGTTCATTTAAAATGTTCATAAATTCTTTCAACCAATCTGACTGCAATAACTAATTTTATTTTTGGGTTGTTAATGCCTTTCTTTGAATCCTTAAACATAATTGTATCCTGTAGGCTAGTTATGCATCTGCTGTTTCAGTCAACAGTCCTCACTCTTCATAGATTGGACTGTGAATTATGCAGTTAAGTAAAAGATGTCCTAATATGAGTTAATCCGTTGGGTTAAATTTAGATGTAAGAAATAACAATGGGGATCTCCCTTGTTTATAACCAAAAAGTGTACATCTTGGTTGTCAGTTGATGTATTTAGTGCTTTGCTTTTCTCTGCGGGAGTGATTTTCTTTGGCGCTTAGTACATACAATTATATAAAAACCTATCTTATTAGAAAAAACTTCATTTCATTTTTTTTTTTCCGCTTAATTAGATTATTATTGAGTAAGTGCACTTTGAACAGGTTGTTCCAGATGCAGGACATTCTGCTAATGAACCAGGAATAGCTGCAGAACTTGTGGTTGGAAATGAGAAGCTCAAAAACATTATAAAGAATAGAGGCTGAGAGGAGGTATATATCAACCTCAGTCAAAATTATAAAGTGGACATCATAAATTTGCTATTCATAGAGAAGTTAGTTGCATAAATTTGCAGTTTGTTGAACAGACTATAGCTTGAAAATTGGGAACTATTTATTATCTGTATTGCTGTCCCATCCGGTGCAGTTCTTCCTTCAACAGAAGCTCGAATACTCTTATATGCGGCGATGAATGCTTTAAGAAGAAAAATTATAATTAAAAGAAGAAATGTTGGGAAAACTATATGGTTATCATATGGTAGCTATTAGTGCAACCTTTTAACATTCTAAAATTACATATATATATATATATATGTTTGTTATCTTCTAGCACTACGAGATCGCCCCTTTCATTTTGTGGCGATGGAGGGATCATACCATTCGAGTCTTTTTTTTTTTTTTTTTTTTTTTTTTTCATAATTTGCGCAGTTTTGTTGTTTTGAAACAGACTATAGCTTTGAAAAATTGGGAACTATTTTTATTATCTGTAATTGCTGTCCAATCCGGTGCAGTTTCTTCCTTCCAACGAGAAGCTTCGAATACTCTTTAAATATGCGGCGTGAAGTGCTTTAAAGAAGAACAATTTATAAATTAAAAGAAAGAAATGTTGGGAAAACTATATGGTTTATCAGAATATGGTTAAAGCTATTAGTGCAACCTTTTAACATTCTAAAATTAACAATTATATATATATATATAGTTTGTTTATCTTCTAGCACTAACGAGAATCGCCCCTTTCATGTTTTTGTGCGATGGACGGGATCATAAACCATTCCGAGTCTTTTTTTTGTTTTTTTTTTTTTTTTCTATTTTCCATTTTTTTTTTTTTTTTTTTTTTCTTTTTCATGCTTTTTCCGGAGGTCAATAATGCATTTAGGTTAGAGATTTTTACAGGTCGTAAATGTTAGAGATGTGTTGTAGAGAGAATAAATGTCGTGTTTTAAATATTTATCGGTGCTTGCAAGAATATGAATTTGGCATTGAGATAGTTTAGATGTTGGAGAGAATTGTTTAGGATTTTTTCAAGACAAGGCAGATAAGAGGTTTAAAAATAAAACTTGCCCTGCCCCTGAGGCCGAATGCTGGAGCAGCTTCGCTTATTTTTTTATTTTTTTCAAATCAAGTCCGTTGAAAGAATTTATTTTTGATGCTTATAAATTGGCAAAAAATATGTAGTATTAATTATTGGCACGAAAGGTGATGAAAATATGCTAATTAATCTATTTGTAAAAAGATATAATATCAAATTATATTGGGTTGCACTTGAAATAATATGTTGGAAAATAATTTTATATTAAAAAAATATAAAAACAATGCAAAAATTTATAAATAAAATGCGTGTTAAATCAAATATAAGTGGATCCATTTTTAATATATGATCTGTTACATAAAGCGCACAAATTGTAGGGCTAATTTATTAGGTTTTTATATTTTTTTAATTATATTAAATGTAAATAAATGTATTTTAGTACATTGTATTTTTAGTAAACAGTTATATATTATATATATTATAGTATATATATGTTTCTAGATTTCTATCATTTAGATGAAAGAAAATTTTCATCACATTGTCACGTAATGCAATCACATTGTTTGAAATGGTTTAAAAATTTTTCGAATTTTTAAAAAGCGGAAAGCTGGCTGCTGCTATTTCCTATTAGATGTTTTATCCTTTTTTGCATGCAAATTTCAATAAAATGGCACCTCAAATGGCATGCACAAATTACAATAGGTTTTAATTATTAAAGGTTTTAATGGCATCAATGGTATGTTTCTTAGATTTCTATCATTTAGATGTAAAGAAATTTTCATCACATTGTACGTATCAATCACATTGTTGAAATGGGTTAAAATTTTCCAATTTTAAAAAGGAAAGTGGCTGCTGCTATTCATATAGATGTTTACCTTTTTGCATGCAAATTTCATAAATGGCACCTCAAATGGGCATGCACAATTACAATAGGTTAATTATTAAAAGGTTTAATGCATCAATGGACTAGTGGTGCGGTCCTCGTTTCTTATGTAAATTTACTCAATTTTACCGTCTGCTTAATTTTTTTCCCGTAGATGTATAAATTCATTTATTTACTTTTTACGAAAAATTTTGAATTATTTTATTGAATATTTCAAATTTCCAAGCATGATAAATTTTCATACTCAAAATTCGAATTCGAGATTTTTAATTAAAGAAGGAGTCTTCAACACTCCATCCCAATTAACGTTGATAAAAATCAAAATATTTAATAATGATAATATGATACAAAGGTATCTTTTTAATGGAAAAAAAAGAGAGATAAAATCATAATAATTAAAGAGTTAAATGACAATTAATTATTGGTTAAGTGTATGAATTAGGTGGAAGCTAGTATATAGAGCCAAATTATAGTGGTTGATATACAACTTGTAATTTTGAAGATCGAAGTTGTATTAGACTATCAAAGTGTTCAATCAATATCAAGATTATTAATAAGGAGCACCAGTTATCATTGTCAACATTTTAGCTATCACTAGAATTTAATTTGATAACCATCAAATTATGAATTTAATACAAAAAGAATTATGTTAGTGCATCAAATCTCAAGACCCAAAGATTTTATAATTACCTTAAATATATATTAAACAAGGAAAAATCTTATCATATGACCTTTATCAGCAATAATTATTTTATGTCCCCTAAACATTAAAGTAGTTTGATAGGTTAAGGTTATTACCATGTAGTGGCGCTTTAAGTGGTTGAGCCAAATATGTTTGTGACCCAACACTTTGAAATTGCATAGTGCACCAATATGCCATGCAAATAGCTAAGTGGATTCCCATCATTCGTACAAAGAGATAATAATAATAATAATATCAATTAATTAATATTAATCTTTCAATTTCTTCTCTTTGATTACCTTTTTTTTGTCGATATCAATTGCACTTAATTTCTAGAGTATTGGTCTAATGGGGGTTGTTAGCATTGATAAATTAAAACATGATCATCATGGATGATGATATATACAACCACAAATTCATTTACTGTTCTTGTATATCATAGATAAATTAGGATGTGACAAGGAGCATGTTCATGAAATATTAATATATGAACTCAATCAAAATAATATAATTATAAATTACGAGTTTTACGAGTTTCACTAATAGTGGTGTCATTTCCTTATAATTGAACAATATTTAAAAATTATTATAAGATATAAATTGATAAAATTAAAATAATTATTCACAATTATTGAAATGGTTATAATTCAAATATTTTTTCCGTCATCAGGCTTAAAAAATATAACTTAACATAAATTGATATTTAGATTTATTTCAAGTTAATTTTTGTTATTCGTTAGGAGGTCGAATAGGGTAAAATAATACAATAAACTATATAATAGGGATCGTCTCTTTTGAATTTATAAAATTGGTGAAATTCTTATAGTCAAAAAGACTCGAACTCAAAATATCACACCCCTCGCATTAGTTAGAACATCAATAAGACGTATCTAATTGACTTTTGTTTAATAAATTTAATATTTGAATAATGCTAAAATTAATGCCTATACATGGAAATAAAGATGGTGTCGTTTTATTAATTTTTTTGGATAAAAACTTTCACAAAAATATGGGAATTCCAATGATTTAGATTCGAGTTTTTTTAAATATTACTATTATCAAATAGATAATTAATTATTCAATTATTAAATTAAATAATAATAAAAGCTGTTAATCGCCATGATCTCTAAAATTATTTATACGATTAATTTATTTTAACAGAATTTATAAGACCAAAAAAAAAAAAAATCATAGGCCCTCTATTAGGGAGCTGGTCCTCCCCTTGCCACTATATTTAATGCATTTGATGAAGACAGGCAAACTAGCACTGAAACTACTATTACATTATATAAACACCATCAACCTCATAATAATAAGACAGACTGAGGCTCAAGCAATTAGGAATAATAAAGATGGAGAGCTTTTCTTATTTTCGTAAGATCAAATCAAAGCCTTTTTGTAAATTCTCAAGCAGCAGATTATGTTGCCCCTATGTGTCTAGCAAGACTATAATCGAGTCATCTTTCCATATCTTGCTCTTTCAAGTAAACCCATTTTGGATTGAATTATCCTATTTTACAATCATTTCTCTTTTTGGGTTTCTGGCTTTGAAAGCTTCAAAGCCAAGAAATACTGCTACTTCCTCGTTTAAACCGAGCAGTCTTGATATCTTCTTCACATCAGTTTCCTCTACCACAGTTTCAAGCATGTCAACAGTAGAAATGGAGTTTTTCTCTGATACCCAACTTGTTATTATGACTTTTTTGATGTTTATAGGTGGTGAGGTCTTTACTTCTTTGCTTCGACTTCATTTCCAAAGATATATCCATAAAAAAGACCTAATAGTTACCAATACTAACCCTAAAGAATTGGTTGTTTTTTCTGGTTCTGTTGGGGTAGAAGAGAATGAGAAACCAATAGAAAAGAATGACCTAGAAAGTAATAATAATAATAGTAACCTAAACAACTCTTTATGTAGTGATGGTTTAAAGTATGACTCTGTAATTAAGAGTTTGAGTCATGTGGTTCTTGGCTTTCTTGTAGTGGTTCACTTGTTGGGTATTGCGCTAGTTGCTTTATATATAAGCATAGTTTCAAGTGCAAGAGAGGTATTAAAAAAGAAAGGCATTCACCTACAAACATTTGCATTTTTTACTGCAGTTTCAACTTTTGTAAATGCTGGTTATGTACCCACAAATGAGAATATGATTGTTTTCAAGAAAAATTCTGGCCTTCTTCTTCTTCTAATCCCTCAAACACTATTAGGAAATACATTATGTGCACCAAGCTTGAGATTTGTGATATGGGTTTTGGAGAAGATTACAAAAAAAGTGGAGTATAGGTATATATTGAGGAATAATACAGAAATAGGTTATAGCCATTTGCTTTCTGGTGTACATTGTTGGTGTTTGGTTGGTACGGTTCTGGGGTTTATAGTAATACAATTTGTATTGTTTTGCTCTATGGAGTGGAACTCAAAAGTGATGGATGGCCTAAGTGCCTTCGAGAAGGTGATTGGTGCTCTCTTCCTCGTGGTGAATGCAAGACATGCTGGAGAATCCGCTTTTGATATCAGTCTTATCTCTCCAGCAATTTTGGTTCTCTTTGTGGTGATGATGTGAGTCCCTCTCTCTCTCTCTCTCTCTCTCTGAATTATACTTCAAAATGAACTGTTCGTATAGATAGGAACTTGAAGGATTGACTTGGAAAATGATTTAGAAAGAAGTAGCTCCATATAAAAGATAAATGTACATCTTCAATCACATCAATGTTAAATCCATTTTTAGTACATTCCGAGGAATTTCAATATTGTTTATAACCCATAAATATTTTTTTTTTATAGACTAATTTTGTTTTGAGAAATGTATTTCTCTCTTCGAAAGTGATTTTTCACAAATTGATTCTTTATAGGAATTATTCGCCGAATTCAAATATTTCTTACCATTTGAACCACTTTTTATAAAATAATAAATTTCACATTTTATGAATATTAAGTGTATTATTTTATTTTAATGCATCTAGTGCATATGCATTAAATAATTTTCAGGCCTAATATAATTAAAAATAATGTATTATCCACTCAAATTCATGCGAGTCAAATAGTATTGACATTGTAAAGATTTTTAAATTAGAGTTAATTTTGAAAATTTGAAATTAACCCAATCATTAAAATCATACCACTTCAAGCATGATGTTATAAAATTTCAATTTATTTAATGAAAATCACTATTAAAAACCCAAAAAACCTTATCTATAGTAAATATTTTATCCTTACAAATAAGAGTGAAATTAAAAAGAAAAACAATTATAGTCCCTTGATATTTAAATTGCATTCCATTATCACTTTAAAATTCATATTTTCATGTGATTTATCCATGATAGTCTAATGATTTAGCTAGGGAAGTGATAGCAATGAAAGAAAGAGAAGAAGACAAATAAATGTGAGATGATAATAATGATCCATTGGCATTTCTAATAAAAATTAGGGAAACGAAGATGTCCAATTATATGACTCCATATTCATAGATATTGGGATCCATTTAACTCTGAATGTGTTGGTCGTTGGAACTCAACTTTTCTTAGATGCCCACAACTTGATCAATGAGGCTGCGTATATTAGTACAGATTCATCATCAAATGACTCTGATAACATTTGTTAAAGAGGAATATACTCTTCCTCAACAAGAATTAAAAAAAAAAAAATGATAAAATATAAAATAATTATTGAATAACAATGTTTTAGACGTAGTGGGGAAACCACTTGTAACAGAAGGAGGATTGCCTCTCTTCTCTTTTATGATTATTATTATTATTATGATGATGATGATGTTTGAAAAAGATAGTTTGAGAAATAAAGTGTTTTAATAGCTTGTTTTAGTAGTTTTAGCTATTATGTTGAGAATCTGAGCCCTAGGAGCAATTAATCAAATTAAATTCAATTATATGTTTAATGTTGGGCTTATAATGAGTTGAGCTTACCTTTAACACAAAATGATCTAAGCCATTTTGGTTAGTTCACCTTTCACATGATATGCCCTTTAGTTAGTTATATTTATCTGATGTGGGATTACCCACATACTTCAACATAGTAATTGTTTTAGTAACTTTTTATAAAACGCTAAAAGCTAAACATTATCTTAACCTCTAAAAATTAGTTCAAATGCTATATATGTCATCAAATACTATAAAAAATAGGGTTAAAACGCTAAAATTACTTAAAAAGCTGTTACCGACTCCGGTGAAAATAAAATTCATTATAATAAGTAATCTCCACAAATTTCATAAATATCTTTTAATTATTTGTCCCCCTTAAATTTAGTTATCAATCCTTCATGCCGAATTTAACTTGCTGATTTGTAGGTATCTTCCACCATATTTTTCATTTATACCTACAAAGCTACAAACAGAAGTTCCAAAAGGTGGAAAAGAAAGCAGAAGCCATGGAAAGACAGTAGTGGACTGCTTGTTGTTCTCACAACTGACATATCCTGTTATCTTTATCATCCTTATTTGCATAGTGGAGAGAGAGAGAATGAAGACAGACCCTCTTAACTTCAATGTCTTGAATATCACCCTAGAAGTGATAAGGTATAACTCTTTTATTTTCTTTCCAGATTTATCAAATCCTTAATCAACTGTAGACAAATTAAATATCTCATTTTTTATAAGTGGCTAAGCTACTGATAGCTAACAAAAACACCATTTTTGGGGTGTAGTGCATATGGAAATGTTGGGTTCTCAACTGGGTATAGCTGTGAAAGACAAATGAAGGCAGAAAGTTCATGCAAAGATGCATGGTATGGATTTGCAGGAAAATGGAGCAATTTGGCTAAGTTCATTCTCATTATTGTCATGTTCTTTGGAAGGCTAAAGAAATACAGCACCGATGTTGGTAAAGCTTGGAAGATCACTTGACATGCGTAAGTAAGCTCATGCACACACAAACCCTAGCTAGCTTCCCATAACACAACAAGAAGATAAGGTTTAGTTATATAGTGTTGAATCCAGTGTTTGTAGCTTTTTTGTGTGAATATCCTTCGTATTTCCATAGATCCAACTTCTAATTTTTCCATAGTTAACCTTTTTTTTAGGAAAAAAAGGGTAAACTTTTTTCTTTTTGCTATGTATAGAGTACCATGTGTAATGTTTAATATGTAATTCGTATTTTGTGTAAATGGAAAAAGTATCTTAAATATTTAACAATAGTCTATATGTCTTTTTTCCTTTTTTTTTTTTTTTCTTTAAGTAATGGAGATCAAAATGAGCCGCATAATAACATAATTCTTCCTTTTTTCATAAATTTCCTTGCCTCATAAATGTTTAAATATGAGCTTAATAAAAATCTCTAACTAGTCTCTTTAAAAACTAAGAGTGTATTTACTTATTGAATTTTTTTTCTAAAAAAATAATTTTTAAAAAAATTAAAAATAAAAACAGAAAATGGAAAACACATTCACATTTAAATAATAAAAATAATATTTCAATTAAAAATTAAACAATATCATAACTTACATAATTAATAAATATCGTCGGTTTGCAAGTTAGGGATGTTTGGGTTAGGGGAAAAGTAGCAAAAATAGTGAATTTTTGGTTTATTGGGTTAAGTTAATCCAAGGTAAATCAATGGGCCTCAATAAATATCACTTAAGTCCTTTTATAGTTTAATTTTTAAATTAGAGTGTCAATATTTCAAATAGGAATGTTTGGATACAAAGGTCGTTTTAGAGTAATGTTGCAATAAGTCGTAGTTGGGCTGATTTTGATAGTTTAAGCCATTAATTATTTTATGAACTATAGAATAATATTAATATAAAATATTTTACTCTATGATCTACAAATAGGATTTATGGTTTAACTTGTATTATAAACCGTATATTGTTGTATATATATTATATTATTACAAATTAAACTATTTTTTGAAAAGTCAAATTGAATAGAAATCATCTAATTGGAGTTATAGTTTTATTCCAGTACAAATAATTCACATATGTTAATTGAGTTTAAAATGAATTAAGTTATTTTTGACATAAAATGACTTAAGTCATTTTGATTAGTTTACGTTCTCTATTTCATATAGTAAAATATAAAAATTTTGGAGTTAGAAGACGTAGCCCAAAATTATTCTAAAAGGCATATGTTGAGGTGATTCAAATTCCAAAATGACTAACCAACCCAACCCAACCCATTTGCAGCTTCTTTTATAACCAAATATTAAGAAATTTTAATAAGGATTTAGTTAATTAGAAATTATTAATTATCATTATGGTTATGGAGATTGACTAGTCCAAAACTCAAGTACCATATTTGATCCACTCGTCGAGTGGAATTATTAATTGCCTGCTAATCCTACAGAATTTTCTGATGGAATCGTCGACCAGGTAGATGGTAGGAAATTGGAATCAACGACTTTGATAATGGTGGTTGTAGCAGGCAGAAAAATGGAGAGAGGTGGTACGGGTGTCACGGTATTTATGTGTGTTTTGGAAGGAAATAGCAAAGTTTTGTCTATAAAGATCGTTCAATCTCAATTTTTGGTATCAAATACCCAAATAATCATAATGGAATCAAGAATTCCTTGTCATGTAATATGCTTCAGAATAAATTTAATTCCCTTGACAGGGAATTCAATTCCCATTCCTCTCTGTACTATTATATACGTCCATCCATCCAACACCTTCTTATACTTGTGAAATAATATATTGTGTTGTGGTGTATTTGATAGGAGAGGTGCTATAGTGGGATTCCCAATCAACTGCTATGGTATTAGGAGGTGGGACTCGTTAATAGACACGTCAGCTTGATTCTAAGCTGTTTGTGATGGACGTCACAATTTTTAATAAACAATTAAAAGAATCGATTAAAATTTTATAAATTCAGAATTTATTTGGACATTGGACCTATTTTTTTCTATCAGCAAATTGAATAATTTTATTATAATAGAACCATAAATAACTTAGCATTTTCAAACATCTAAATTTAAATCAGTAATTTTCCATATACACTCAAACCTAACCTGAAATTCTAAATACAATAGAATTCATTAACTTTTCTTGAGGCAGGAAAAGTAATACATTCCAATGAAATCGAAACAGAAATACTGTGCTTACCAATATTTATTGATATAATATTATGGATTACAGAATTAATTCTCTTTTTTATTCATTTGAAGGCCTGAAGAACCTGAATATAATTGTGATGGATAAATACTGTACATGGATGATAATTGTAGTCAAAGTAACACGGTAACTACACGGAGTTCTTTTTTTTTTTTTTTTTTTTTTTTTTTTTTTTTTTTTTGAATTTTATTTGGACATTGGACCTATTTTTTTTCTAATCAGCAAATTTGAATAATTTTTATTATAATAGAACATAATAACTTAAGATTTTTCAAACATCTAAATTTAAATCAGTAAATTTTCCATATACTAACTCAAACCTAACCTAATTCTAAATAACAATAGATCATTAACTTTTCTGAGGCAGGAAAAGTAATACATTCCAATGAAATCGGAAACAGAAATACCTGTGCTTACGCAATATTTTTATTGATAATAATATTATGGATTACAGAATTAATGTCTCTTTTTTATTCATGTTGAAGCCTGAAGAACCTGATATAATGTGTGATGGATAAATACTGGTACATGATGATACATTGTAGTCAAAAGTACACGGTAACTACACGGAGTTTCTTTTTTTTTTTTTTTTTTTTTTTTTTTTTTTTTTTTTTTTCTCTCTCTTTTTTTTTTTTTTTTTTTTTTTTTTTTTTTTTTTTTCTCTCTCTCTCTCTCTCCCCTTTATAAACACCATCAATCTCATAACTCGAAGGCATGCTCAATTTCATGCTCTAAGCAATTCTTTTTCTTGGGAATTATAAAGATGAAGAGCTTAGCTTATTTTGGTAAGAAATTAGTGCATCTTTGTAAATTCTCATGCACCAAAGTAAGTAATTTCTACATATCCTGCAAAATTTTAATCAAGTCATATTTTCATATCTTGCTCTTTGAAGTAAACCCAGTTTGGATTCAATTATCCTATTTTTCCACAATTTCTCTTTTTGGGTATTTGGCTTTGAAGCTTTCACAGCCAAGAACTATTACCCCTAATAGTACTAGTGCTTCCCCATTCACACCCAACAATATTGATATCCTCTTCACTTCCATATCTGCTGCTACTGTTTCAAGCATGGCAACAGTGGAAATGGAATTTTTCTCCAATACCCAACTCATTTTTATGACCATTTTGATGTTAATGGGAGGTGAAGTCTTCACTTCTCTGTTTCGACTTAATTTGAAAACGTTTTTCCATAGAAATGAATTAATTACCAATACCAACACGAAAGAGTTAGTTTCTTTTTCTGGTTCTGTTGGCGTAGAAGAGAATGAGAAACCAAAAGAGAATGACTTAGAAAGTAATACTAATTATTACCTCCGCAACTTTTCCGTACGCAGTGATGGTTTAAATTATGACTCAGTAATAAAGAGTTTGGGGTATGTGGTTCTTGTGTATTTTTTAGTGGTTCAAATGGTGGGTGTTATCTTAGTTGCTTCATATACAAGTCTAGTTTCAAGTGCAAGGGAGGTACTAACCAAAAAAGGCATTTCAATACAGACATTTTCTATATTCGTTACAGTATCAACCTTTTCAAATACTGGTTTTGTACCCACAAATGAGAATATGATAGTTTTCAAGAAAAATTCAGGCCTGCTTCTTCTTTTAATACCTCAAACACTTTTAGGAAATACACTTTTTGCACCAAGCTTGAGATTTTTGATATGGGTATTGGAAAAATTGACAAAAAGAGAGGATTATAGGTACATGTTGAAGAATAGCAAAGAGATGGGTTATGGGCATTTGATTTCTAGCGTTAAATGTCAGTTCTTGGCTATGACAGTTTTGGGGTTTATAGTGATACAGTTTGTATTGCTTTGTGCTATGGAATGGAACTCACAAGTGATGGATGGTCTAAGTTGGTTTGAGAAATTGGTTGCTGCTTTCTTCCAAGTGGTGAATACAAGGCATTCAGGGGAAGCTGTTTTTGATCTCTCTATTGTCTCTTCTGCAATCTTAGTTCTCTTTGTGGCTATGATGTGAGTCTCTCTCTCTCTCTCTCTCTACCTTCCTTTTTTTTTTTTCTTTTAATTATTTGAAAATGGGATGATTGGTATAGGCAGACATTTGAATGATTAGTTGGAAAATAATTCAGAAATTGGGACCACACTTGATTTTTTTGTGACATTATTGTTCATGTTCTGTTACTTCATAGGAAAAAATTATTCAGCATAATCAACCTTTCTCACATTCATATGAGGCTGACCACTCTTCAAACTTTCATGTTAGTCTCACATGGATATGAGTATATATTCATGTTATAATTATTATATATCATTTAGAATTTATCGTGTTACCTTACAATTTATTGTCTTATTGCATATGAATTTCAAACTTAATATAGTTTAAGGGCATGTTCGACGAAATAAACTACTAACTGTTTTAATAGCAATTAGATACTTGAGTAGCTAGTAACTGTTTGAGTAGTTTTTCATAAAATGTTAAACGTTATAGAGTTAACAATTTCTAAAACGTTACATTAATATTTAAAAGTTAGTTCAAACAATATATTATCGAACATTATAATAAATATCGTTTAGCGTTTTGACCTATCAAAATACTCAAAGTTATTTAAAAAATTGTTTCTAACACAGACTAATTCAATCTAAAACAAATTGTCTAATTTAATAATTAACTCTAAGCAGCTTAGGATACGCATTTTGGAAAAGAGAATGAAATTGTACCCACAATAATTACAAAATTGTCTAATTCTTGTCCTTATATATGCTAATTGATGTGAAAGGATTTTTTTTTTTTTTTTTTTTTTTAAAGGATTTTGTTTTTTTTTTTTTTTTTTTTTTTTTTTTGGAAAATAAATTGATGTGAAAGGATTAATTGATAGTGTCTGATTTTGATCATATAAATAATGTTTATGAAAATGTGCTCCATTGAAATTTCAACTCATGCGTGGACCATACGTCTGAACATAGCAACATGTGGTAGGTTTGTTGCCTCGCGTCGATATCAAGTTCATTAAGTGTTAATATGTGAAATTTAATGAAATATCAAAACTAAAGGTCATATAACTGAATGACATAAAAATTATTTTCGTGTGATTTGATTGGTCTTTTCATTTATGTGAATATTAAAAATTTTAAAATCTCTAAATTACAAGAGTTTTCGTCGATTTAATGAACAATTAATAAATATGAACGCTACTTCCTAATTTTAACAGTTCTTTAATCATATCCTTTTATGTTGGAACTTACGTTGAGTAATTGATGAAAGTGATGGGTTAGCCTCCATTATAATCGTCTTTGATCCACATTTTTTTCCCCCCTTTACGGCATTATCCCACCATCGCCACTAAGGTAGAGCTTACGTTTTTGCGTTGCATACTTTTGTTACTGACTCTATTTTCTTTTTTCTTTTTTTTTTTTTTTTTTAATTTTTTTGTTTTAATTTCTTTCTTTTTCCAGTGAGTTTTTTTTTTTTTTTTTTTTAATTTCCTTTCTTTTTCCATTGAGTGAATAGAGATGAGAAATTCTATTCTTCAGATTTCTTCTTTTTGGATACAAAACTAACATCATTTTAACATCTTCCTGTAAGTGTTTTCCTAAAGATTAAATTTCTGGGGTTGCAGAGATCTTCTGTTCAACTCAAATATACTGTATCGTTTGAGATGCTCTTTATAAATTTAGCACTTGAGTGACGCTTTATAGTTTTCTTTTTCTTTTCTATAGAATGAAGGGATGGAAAGGTGGGAATTAATTATACTTTTCAAATTCTTTTTTCCACTTGTTTTCTTTCTCTAGAGGAATATTCATTGCCACGTGATAGAAAACTCATTTGACTTACCTTTGACAGTTTTGAATAACGATTTTTGAGATAATTTTTTTATATTTGAATAAATAATTTTTTTTTTTCAATTGCTGTCTTTAAAAACCGCACTTAATCTCTCTTATTGTTTTTATAACTTTTAAAAATCATTGAAAAGTACTTTATTTAATTAAATTATTTTAGTGTTAAACTTTGAATAAAGTCATTTTAACTTTTATATGTATTAAGGATTAGCCAAATATATGAATCTGATTCTAAACTTTCCACGATTTTCGTTGTTTGCGGCTACGCAATCACGATCTTATATTTTTAACATTTCGGTAATGACTACATTTTTCGCCAAAATAAAATAATTTTATGGGATTCAATTATAATCTACACTTTCATATTTCATTTTGCCAAGTGGTATAGTTATTACTGAAATGTGAATATGTAACGTCGTGATGGACCTCCGTAGTTTAAAAGCTGCAAGGATAATCACTAAAAATATATAATCAAATTTATGAGTTAGGTCATTAAAGACATGCATCTTCCCACTCTTAAAATATATCATCCCAATTGCATTGGATGAGTTTTTCAATCTTATGATTCTACTAATTTATTTATTCTTATCATATTGAGTTTAAAAATAATTTAATACTTTCATTTTATTGATTGAGTTTTTTTTTTCTTATAATAATTTACTTTTTTAATTAACATCGGTAAAAGAAAAATAAATAATTAATTTATATCTAAATTATACATATGCATTTATCGTTAAATTATGTTCAGGTATGCGTAATAATTAGAATTTTGAAAATTCCTCATGCATGGAAAAATAAAATTTTATCTTATTGTGCTAATAATTCAAAGTGCCTATTTCAATATTTTTTTTTTTTTTTTTTTGTTTTTTTTTTTTTTTTTTTTTTTTTGGTTTTTAGTAATATATAAATGTTTTACAGGTATCTCCCACAATATTTTTCATTCATGCCCATAAAGCCAGAAGAAGAAGTAACAAAAAGTGGGAAAGGACACAAAAATGAAGGAAGGACAGCAATGCAGTGCATATTGTTCTCACAACTGTCATATCTTGTCATTTTTATCGTTCTCATTTGTATTTTGGAGAGAGAGAAGATGAAGACGGACCCACTAAACTTCAATGTCTTAAGCATCACCCTAGAAGTGATAAGGTAACCCTTTTCCCCCTTAAATTTTCTTAATGCATGGTAAAGAATAAAATTTCAATACTAAAATATACCGAAATGCAGCAGGAATTAGGGGTGAGCAGTGTCGTTTTGAATTCAAATATACCGAAATACATTTTTATATATGTATAGAAAAATTACGATTGATAATTGATAGTATGATTAAATTTGGATTTAGTGCGTATGGAAACGTTGGATACTCAACTGGATATAGCTGTGCAAGACAAATTAAGGCAGAAGCTTCTTGTAAAGATAGATGGTATGGATTTGTCGGAAGGTGGAGCAACTTGCCTAAATTCGTACTCATCATCGTCATGTTGTTTGGAAGGCTAAAGAAATTCACCTCCCATGGTGGTAAAGCCTGGAGAGTTTCCAAGTACAGTTGATCACATCATAACACAATAAGCAGAGACAGCGGGACAGAAGCTTTTGTGTTTTTGAATTTCAAGTTAGCGTTTCCTTTCTTCTTCTTCTTCTTTTTTTTTTTTTTCCTTTTTGATATATTTTTGATATTTATATATATATATATATATTATATATATATTAACTTTTGTTCTCATATTTGCTCAATGGGGAAATGATATTAATAATTATATATTTTTTTTTCCAAGTAAGCAGCAATACTTGAAGAGGATGTTTGGTTTATCTTATTTATATTCAATAGCTAAGTTGCAAGTGGTTAGCAAATTTTTTAATGAACAACTTATAGCTAATAAAAATTTCAATCAACTCTTTATCTTATCGATTATATTTTGGAGTCTTCGCGCAGCGGTCGATAGTTTTTGTATTTATATTATTTTTAGACTTTATTAACCTCATAAAATAATTATTAATAATTTTTTAAAATTATTATCATTTTATGTGTAATTATTTTAAAAAATAATTTTTTATTAAATATTATTTTAAAATTTTAATATTTTATTTATGTAATAAATCAAAATAAAAAATATATTTGAATAAAAAAAAAATACTAATATGATCACATTAAAGATAAAAAATATAAATATTATACATTATAATATATAAAAATAATTATATCCTATATTATTTTAACTTTTTTAACAAATGTGTATGAATGAAATTTGGAGATTAACTGCATCTTATGATTAAAATATGGTGCAATTGTAATAACATGCAAAATTTAAAATATTTTTATACAATCAAATGATTAATCAATTTTTATATATATATTTTTAATTTCTCTTTAGAAATAGTTGAGCACTTAAGCCTAAATCTTATTCATGACTCTGCCTATTAACTAAATCAATAAAAAATTTTAAAAATTATATATACTTTTTTTTTTACGCATGACAAGAAATATTCTTATTTTAATAAAATTTATAATTGCGTTGATTTGGTCTATAGTAACTTGATCTAGGCAAATTAATCGCTTAGTTAATAATCCATTATTTGGATCTATTCAATTTTCCTTCATGGGAAGTGAATCAAAACCCATGAATCGAATTTCAAAAAAATCAAAATCAAAACCGAACCAGCGTTGGTACGGCTCAAATTTTCGGTTATAACCGAGATATGCTTACTCCGACTTGCTGCAATTTTGGACTGTTGAAATTGCCACTGTGTCATTGTCCGTACGACACCAGTTATTACTTGTTAGTGGTCAACGCTCTCAATAGTGTCATCGTCTGGTGAAGTGAAGACTAGAGGTAGGCTTTTCTGCTATTGATTGACTGACAAAAGGACTCTGCACTCTGTTTCTCTGCTCATGCAACCTTCATCTATGGCTTTGGGTTCAATTTTGCAATCACAGACCTCTCTAGGTACACTCTTTTGCATCAAATTCTTACCTTTCAGATGTAATTCTTTTGTTCTTCATTTTGATTTTTGATTCTGTAGATGGGGACCCTCGAGAGCATTTATTTACTGTGGACGATTTTGAATCGGATATCGGCGGTTCTCAAATCAAGTTCCGGATAAAGAATTTGATAAAGAAATCGGATGCTGGAGTAACTATTCTTAACGGAATTAATTTGGATATACCTAAAGGAGTTATTGTTGGAATCATTGGCCCTAGTGGTAGCGGCAAATCTACGCTTTTGAGGTCGCTTAACCGCCTATGGGAACCTCCGTCTGGTACCGTGTTTCTCGACGGCCGTGATATCCGGGATCTTGATGTTCTTGGCCTCCGCCGTAGGGTTGGCATGCTCTTCCAGGTTCCGGCTCTGTTTGAAGGTTAGTTTTTTGTCTTTTTGTGATCTTGCATTTGAGTTTGTAAGTTTGTGATTTTCGGTTTTGGATATTGCCATAAATGATTAGAAGTAATGCATAGACCTAATGATTGTGCTTCTGCTACTATTTGAACAATTCTTATGATATTTCATGTTTGATGCTAGCTATAAGCTGTAGAAAGATCATAACTTGACTGTGTCCTTGACATTTTAATTAAAATTAAATAAGAACTTCCCACTGGGGGAATTTCCTCATTACGAAAGCTGCTAATTTGTAAATGCATTCTGTAAAATTTTGTGGAATTCATTTGAGATTTTGTATATTTGATTCAAATGGAAATATTCAATTTGCTCCTATGAATTCAATTTTATGAAATTCAGAATAAATAAAGCAAATTCTACCATTTGTACTGAATTCTATATTTTAAAATCGAAGTACATAATAATGGTTGATTTATTTTTAGTTGCTTGAATGTTTGATTTACATCTGTTAGGTACGGTTGCTGATAATATAAGGTATGGACCACAATTGAGGGGGAAGAAACTTACTGACCATGAGGTTCACAAGTTGCTTAAACTTGCTGACCTTGATTCTACTTTTCACAAAAAGAATGGTAGTGAATTATCTGTAGGTCAAGCTCAAAGGGTTGCACTTGCAAGAACCCTAGCTAATGAACCAGAGGTAAAACCTTCAATGACAATATTGCAATTTGGACCTTTATCTTTTTTTCTCTAAATGATACTTCCATTTCTTCTTTTTTTGCTAGAATGTAAACTATCTATCGGATCTTTTTGTTTTGCTTTGAAAGTTATATGCCACCTTTGACAGGTTTTGCTACTAGATGAACCCACGAGCGCCTTGGATCCAATATCAACGCAAAACATTGAGGATGTTATCGTGAAACTAAAAGAAAACCGGGGAATGACAGTTGTGATGGTTTCTCATAGCATCAAACAGATACAGAGGGTTGCTGATGTGGTTTGCCTTGTTGTAAATGGAGAAGTTGTTGAAGTTTTGAAGCCAAATGAACTATCAGAAGCCAAGCATCCCATGGCACAAAGGTTTCTTCAACTAAGCAATTGAGACTTTGTGCTGTAGTACACTTTATTTCTTCTCTTCATGTTTAGGAATATTATCCTTCAGACTGTTTCTACAAATTTCAGTCTGTAATACTTTGATGCGTCACCTAGAAATGCCTAGAATACATTGCTTTCAATTGTTACTGTTATACCATATACTGCTCAGAAAGCAAAGTCATAAAATCGATGTGCGAAATTACAGCCATTCTGCAAGGCTTCTTAGATCATTTTAATTGAAGGTTGGTTAGTCTTCAGGTTCATCTAAAATTTTAAGTATTGCTTTAGATTTCATTATCAGAGTTAGTATCCACACATAAACTGAGAACTTTTCTTTTCATCCTGGTTTGCTGGAACTTAATGAATCTTTAAATAGAGAAATTAGAGTGAGAGAGAGAGAGAGTTGCTTGAGCAATGACGTAAGGATTAGCTAGAAACATAGTAATGAAGTAAAAAATAACAACATAAAATATACATTAAGTATTGCTTTAGATTTCATTATCAGATAGTAGTTAAGTATCCACTACATAAACTTGAGATATGCTTTCAATCTGGTTTGATGTGCTTCGCAGAAAGCCAAAATAGGTGCCTGGCATATAAGAAGATATATTGATCAGATTTAACAAAAAAAAAAAAAGGACGTTCTTTGGTATGGTGTTAAAAAAAAAAAAAAAAATGAAGCCCCATTTTAACTTTAGAGAAAAACATTCTGCTACGAGAAATTTTCCATATCTTTTTCAATGGTCTAAAAAATCTAGTTTTCCCCTGCGAAAGTTTTTCCCCCTCGGAACTTTATTGGGAATTCTTTTAAATTAGGCGAATTAGGAAGGTGAAGAAGAGAGAGAGGTTTGCTTGAGCAAATTGACGTAAGGATTAGCTAGAAACATAGTAATGAAGTAAAAATAAAACATAAATATACTTAAGTATTGCTTTAGATATTATTACAGAGTATAGTTATCCAACATTAAACTGGAGACTTTTCTTTCATCCTGGTTTGCTGGACCTTTAATGAATCTTTAAACTAGAGAATTAAGTATTGCTTTAGATTTCATTATCAGAGTTAGTATCCACACATAAACTGAGAACTTTTCTTTTCATCCTGGTTTGCTGGAACTTAATGAATCTTTAAATAGAGAAATTAGAGTGAGAGAGAGAGAGAGTTGCTTGAGCAATGACGTAAGGATTAGCTAGAAACATAGTAATGAAGTAAAAAATAACAACATAAAATATACATTAAGTATTGCTTTAGATTTCATTATCAGAGTTAGTATCCACACATAAACTGAGAACTTTTCTTTTCATCCTGGTTTGCTGGAACTTAATGAATCTTTAAATAGAGAAGTTAGAGTGAGAGAGAGAGAGAGTTGCTTGAGCAATGACGTAAGGATTAGCTAGAAACATAGTAATGAAGTAAAAAGTAACAACATAAAATATACATTAATGATTGAATAATCGAGGAAGCTAATGTTATAAACAATTTTGGCTGCAAAACTTGCTACGTTTCGAGGAAAGAATACATAATAATTCAATGAATCAATTGAACGACAACAACAACAATACAAATTCAGAGGATTTACTTAAGCCACTCTTCTTGTGCAGCTCCTTGGCACATGAATGCTATGAAAGTTTGGTTCCTTAGGTATGGTTGCGAACCTTTTCTCCTGTAATGAGGGTCTGGAAGCAGGAGAAACAGAAACTTTGGTTCCCGGAGAAGCACCGCTTTCACCTAGATTCATAGTTTCCTTGGTTTTCAAAATGGTAGGGGATGTTTCCTTTATGGTGCCAAGTATACAAGTGGTCATAATAGAAATCGTTTCCTTTCCATTTGGTGGTGCCCTGCAAGAGAAACTCATTTAAGTTTTGAGGGATATAAATTCTTCGTTGATCAGAACCCATTTTAAAGCAGGAGAAACTCACTCTTGAGGCCTTGCTAGTTGTTTCCTTGATGGTGATTTGATCCTTTTCAAACTCTTACCCAATTTTGGAGTAGATTTGTCCTGGGTGCAGTCTTGTTGTGAAGCCACAAGTTTCTGCTGAGAAGAAATTGTATGTCTCTGCGGAGTTGATATTTTTCTTCCTATTTTTTCTTTCGAAATCTTCAAACTCAAATTCCGATTATTCTGCACAAAGTATTATCATTTAGATGCTTTACTCGATGTCTGTATAAACCTAAATGCTCTTAAGTTTCATTTCCCCGTTCAGAAAAATATATATAGACTTACAGGATGATGATCCTTATGTGCTCTGTTTGTTTCCTTTTCCTTGCTTTCATATGTGTCATTATGATTCTCAGTTTGCTTAAGGCACCTCTCATTTCTCTGTAATAAGAAACAGAGTATTAGTGAAGATATAGAACCAATAATGCCAGCTATCATAAGAGCTCTACACATTTTAAGGGAACTCACTTGAATGGCACTTCGATATTTTTTTTGCGAGCTCCCTCCTTTAGGAACTGGCGTGATCTCACTAAGTGGTGCAGGACAGAGTTTCTTCTCCAGATTAGCTTCCTTGAGAATTCCCCTTTCCTATAATAACTCAAATATTCTTAGATTTCCCTTTCCTATAATAACTCAAATATTCTTAGATACTATGTATTTCTGTTTGTATAAAAGCATTTTGAAATCAAGTAGCATAAGAAAAAGGATACACATACATCAGTTCTTAGCCGAAAAGGTTTTGGATTTGTAGGCTTAGGTTTTTCATGCTTAAGCCTTTGACCACCAGTAGCAACCGCAGTTAAGGCACCTTTAGATTGCATACTCTTTGCCTTACTTATCTGCCATTTTCAAATGCAGAAAAGAAATCAGAAACTGAAATGAGAACTACATGAGAGCAGATTATGAATCCACCTACCTTTTGACTGTCCTTTGGAGTATCATGCCTTCCAAGAATTTTATGTTCTGTTTGTCCAGTCTTGATATCCAATTCTCTGCACATACAAAATTTGCTTTAAGTCGTTAGAAGAATGCATTAAAATGAAGAAAAACTATGAAGAAAGAAGAAAATGAAATGAGTTTCTAACCTGTTATCATCAGAAGCTGAAGCATTTTCCTTGTCATCACTTTCCATGACTTCATCATCATTCTCCTTGTCATCAGAGTTCATAGTATGCCTTTTATCATCAAACTCCAGGGTTTCCTTAGAAGCTTGAAATCTCTTAACATCATCATCATTTCTCGAACTCAATTCACTTCTGCCAGCGTCTGACAAAGCTTCAACTCTATTCTCATCCATTGATGATTTTACGACTTCTGTAGTCGTTGCAGGGTCTTTGGAAGCATTTCCTTCATCGCTCTTGGAAGTAGAGCACACCCGCCGAGAATCATCATTCTTCATTTTCTCCTCAATCTCTTGTAAGGTCTCTTCCTTGTTACTCTTCTTCAAACTTTTAGAAGCTTTAGCTTCGTGACCCTTGTGCTTTTGCAAATTTAACCCATCAAACAATCTACTCTTAACCTCTCGTCCTCTTAATTTTTTTCTGGAAGCTGCAGTATCACAAGGCAGAGGTCTATCATATCCCAACACTTGTTTCTTCGCACTAGTGATCTCAAGCTTCTTCATTCCAGCACATAATGTCTTTACCGGCGTATTCAACTCTAATGAACTCTTTGTTCTCACCGACTTCTTAGGCGAATCAAATACCAAAGTCTTTGCTACTACTCTATTCTTTGGCATTGCAGTAGCAGTTGTCTTTGGGTTCCTAACACTTCGAAATGCTTCTGGATTCGACAGCTGTTTTTTCGCTCGTGGAGTAGTCAAAGCCTTGGCTATAATAGAAGGCTGTTGTTTTGCCTTTGCATTTGGGGTTGCATTCTGCTTAGAAAGAGGTTTGACCTTCACTTTGGGATCAACTATTCTCTTAGATATTGAAGAAATAAGCGCTAGTCGCGATACTCTAGGCTTTGAAGGTTTTGCAGGAACTGTCCGCGGACATTTCAGATCAGTACTACAGCACAGATATCAGCAAATGGTAATTTTAGCATAAAGTTAAAAAGAAGAAACATCTGAAGTGTAGTTACAGAAAGCTTTGTGCAGAATGCAAACCTTGAATCCTTTTTATGCAATGCTTTTCGAAGCCGAATGTTTGGACTTCTTGCAGCCATTACCTGCAGGATTCGATAGCTTAATATCCATTTCTGAATTGGGTCTATTCTTTAAACCATTACAGGAAAGACAGAGAGTTTTAACTAACCCGAAGGAGAAAATTTTTGTAGATTGTTTCAGAATCCATTTCTTCTTCATGCTTTTGGTCACATCCTTAGAGGTAAAATAAATAGACAGAGAGAAATTGCAAATTTTAGAATTTGATCTCAAACTATGTATAAACTACTAAAAAGATAAAAATTTCAACTTCTAAAAACCAGGGACTGTTTTACTGAAATTGCATTTTTCATGACCAGCAGAGATATAACAACACCACTAAAGCAAATCCTCAAAACCTTAACTTCTTTCCCTTTCCTTAAAGAATTTCCAACAATAAAAAACAGAGCATATATCATAACTTTCAAATTCAATCCCAATCCAGAAAACCACAAAAGGAAATTAGAACTTACCTACTCGCATGCAGAACCAGTAGCAATCATCGCCATGGTGGTAGGGATCGGGTGCGTTGAGGTCCACGAACTTAGGGGCCTCAATCTTCTCGTAGAACTCATCTCCATTAATCTCTGCTTCTTCAGCGTTGATCTGCACAGACTCCGTGTCGTCCATTGCTTAGAGAAAATAAAAGAGAGAAAGAGAAGGGGTTTTAGAGAAGGAGCGTGAGTTATCGGTTATGAGATTGTTGAAGTTTGGTAATGGCGAGATACCCAAGAAGAGATTTTAAAATCTGCCTTCGGTGCAAGTAGCCGTTGGGAAAGACTATACCAGATTCGGACAAGATGGTTATAATAACGGATCTAATGGCATTTTCGTAAATTAATCATCAGACCATGCACAATGCACAAACACCTCTGGCCTTTGTAATTAGATTAATCTTTTTTCCCCACGATATCACCACTAATCAAATTTTTATTTTTTTAACACGTTTTTTACTCACTAATTTTTTATATATATATTATATAATATTGTATTAATTTTTATCTATAATATGATATTACAAATCCACTAATTTTTTATATATATAATTATATAATATTGTATTAATTTTTATCTATAATATGATATTACAAATCATTTAATTTAAAATTTAATATTGATTTTATTAACTTATTAAAATTAATTATGAGACAAAGCTTTATATATATTATAATATATATATATATATATATATATGGAATTTGTGTGTATATGAATCTGATTTATGGCTTCCTTCATAAAGGTTAGGTTAGTTGAAAAAATGGTGAAGAAAACTCATATATATGAATTTGTGTTGTATATGAATCTGATTATGGCTTCCTTCATAAAGGTTAGGTTAGTGAAAAAATGGTGAAGAAAACTCCACACATGTTATTCAGATCTATAATTATAATTAGAAAGTCTATAATTATAATATTATTAGTATATATTCTAGTGATAATTATAGTTTTAGTTATAATTATAATATTATTGTTATTATAATATATGGATAAAAATAATAAATATATTGATAGAATTTATTAATATTTAGTGTTATAAATCTTTTCAAGCTGAGAAAGTGAGTGGTTCAATTAAAAGATTTAATGATAGTGTTTAACTATGAACTAATTAAGCAATTCTTTAAGTTTCTTTAAAGTTAAATAATTAATTTTGTTTATCTGATTAAAGAGTTTTTAAGTTTTATTCATTAAACATTATCATAGTTAAATAATTGAAGAAAAAAATTTATTTGTTTTAGAGTGTAATTTTATTTATATATACTTTCAATAAAAATGTTATATTAGAAAATCCAAAAAACAAAATGAGAATATTTCTGATGGAAGAAAGGGATTACTATTAAATATTCTATGGAAAATAATAAGTTGATTCCTAAATTATAGTTAAATTAACACTTGAATATTTTTATTTTCAAAAATTGACTATTAGGTCCTTAATCTGATCTTTAGTTAATATATTAATTTTTTCGTTCAAAATAGCCAATTATAATTGTCAATTGATTAAGAAATTAGTCTCTAAAATATGATCAAACTAACTATAAATTTCTTAATTTATGAACACCGTTTATCTTTCTAATTCTTCTCTTGTGATTTACGTTAACATTTTTAGATTCCTCTTTTTTTTTAATAGGACCGAATTATTAATAGCATTATAATAATTTAAGGATCTCAAATTTAGTTTTTAGAAATAGAGATCTTGGTGTGTTAATTTGATTATAAATCATGAACTAATTTATTATATTTCCATATTCTCTTTTTTTTAAAAAAAAAAAAACAAAAGAAAAACCTTTTTTTCACTAAAAAAACAATAAAAAAAACATTGGCCTGTTAGGACGAAAAGCAAGCATTAGTAATTGTAGCATCAGTGTGACACAATCAACCCTAATCTTTCTTTCGAATTCCAAAATTGTTCATACGCCCATTGCCTTTCTTCTTCCAAGTTCTATACCCTGCACTTTGCTTCTCTATTGCCATCTTCGAAAGTTCTGTTCTTTAGCCTCTGTTTCGAATCTAAGGTACGGCAAATACCAGATTATCACAAACCATTGACACATACCATCATTTACATGTTTTCTCTTTTTTTTTTTTTCTAATCTCTCCTTTTTTATTGGACTGTTGTCTTCTATCTGAAGGAGAGAACTTTAGAGGTTTTTTTTATATAATTCATAATCTTTGAATTTATTGGTTTTTTATTGTGATTTGATTTCTGGGTTTTTGTTTTAAATTATGTTTTTACTGATTAATAGTTGTGTAGGTTGATTTTGAATTTTATCTGTTTAACATTTTCTTAGCCAATTAATTTAATCTTTTTTTATCTGCTTGCTCTACTAGCTTCGAAAGAAGTCTGTGTTATGTCCAAATAATTGGGTAATGGCCTTTTAATTTGAAAGAGCAATATAGTCTGTTGCTTTGAAATGGTAAATATCTCGCTCGTGTCTTGCTTTTTGGAAGTGTATTAAACTTTGACGATTGTTAATTAGTTGGAGAAAGATGGTGTTAATGTCCTTAACATTTTGAATCTTAAATAGTAACCATTGGCAAGAAAAATTTATTTCCTTGGATTTGGTGCTTCAAGTTTATATCAAATTTTCGAAAAATTCTTGTTGTGAGAAATGATTAATCCAATTTGATTCTGTACTTAGTCCATTAGGTCTTGACTTGAGAAGTCTCATAATCCAATCATTGGCCATGCACTGAATTAATGATTTTTTTTTTTCGGTCACTTATTTCATTGAAGATTTCGGGATAAGTTGTTTGTTCTGCAGTTCAGAATAAAATAAATGTCCACCATGAACTTTCACGTATAGACAAAAAAATTGTTTGATATCAACATTTTTTGTATAGTATATTTCTATATGCTTTTCCATTATCCCCTGGATTATACTTCTTTTGCAATTGTCTGAACTAATTTCTGTTCTGCATCTTACTAGTTTTGTGATGTAAAAAAAGAAAAAGTAGTTATCCATTCTTTTGAGGCTGAATCACTCGAGTAAAACCATTTTACTTTTATGAATGAATACAGTGCCTACCGTGCAACCATTAAAGTATATTGTTCTGGTGAATTTCAGGCCCTATCTAGATGATTTCTCTGAAGAAATCTCATGTTCAAACATTTGGTAAAACATGCATAGATGCCTCTTTTGTGTTCGCAAAATTTTTGTGGAGTTAAATGACTTATCATTTTATTGAACACTTGTACTGCATTTGATTTTGTTGCCAAATGGAGGACCACACTTTTGTTGTTGGTCAAGAGTTCCCCGATGTCAAGGCTTTCCGTAATGCAATTAAAGAAGCTGCAATTGCACAACACTTTGAACTTCGTATTATAAAAAGTGATCTGATTCGATACTTTGCAAAGTGTGCCTCAGAGGGTTGTCCATGGCGCATTCGAGCAGTTAAGCTTCCTAATGTTCCAACCTTCACTATAAGAAGCCTTGAAGGGACTCATACTTGCGGGAGAAATGCACAAAACGGTCACCATCAGGCTTCTGTGGATTGGATTGTGAGCTTTATAGAGGAACGACTGCGAAATAATATCAATTACAAACCAAAGGATATATTACATGACATTCATAAGCAATATGGAATCACTATCCCTTACAAGCAAGCTTGGCGTGCAAAGGAACGGGGACTTGCAGCAATTTATGGCTCTTCTGAAGAAGGATACTGCCTACTTCCTTCATATTGTGAACAAATTAAAAGAACTAACCCTGGAAGTATTGCAGAGGTGTTCACTACTGGCGCAGATAATCGGTTCCAAAGGCTCTTTGTTTCTTTCTATGCTTCCATATATGGCTTCTTGAATGGGTGTGTCCCTATCATTGCACTTGGTGGAATCCAACTTAAGAGCAAATATCTTGGTACCTTACTTGTAGCCACATCTTTTGATGCTGATGGTGGATTGTTCCCGGTAGCGTTTGGTGTTGTCGATTTAGAAAATGATGAGAGCTGGATGTGGTTCTTATCTGAGTTACAGAATGCATTAGACATGAACACAGATAATATGCCACAGTTCACCTTTTTGTCTGATGGACCGAAAGGCATTATAGATGCGGTAAGAAGAAAATTCCCAAGTTCTTCTCATGCATTTTGCATGCGCCACTTGAGTGACAGCATTGGTAAAGAATTCAAAAATTCAAGGCTTGTCCATCTTTTGTGGAAAGCGGCATGTGCTACCACTACCATTGGATTTAAAGAAAAAATGGTTGAAATTTCAGAGGTTTCATCTGCAGCTGCAAAGTGGTTGCAACAGTTTCCTCCCAGTCAGTGGGCCTTGGTGTATTTTGAAGGAACACGGTATGGTCATCTGTCTTCAAATATTGAAGAATTTAATAGATGGATTCTTGAAGCCCGAGAGTTGCCTATAATTCAGGTGATTGAGCGAATTCACAGTAAACTAATCGCAGAGTTTGAGGACCGGCGTTTGAAGAGTAATTCTTGGTTTTCAGTACTGGCTCCATCTGCTGAGAAACGCATGATTGAAGCTATTAACCGTGCATCAACGTATCAAGTTCTTCGATCTGATGAAGTTGAATTTGAGGTTATATCAGCAGAGCGCTCAAACATTGTGAATATTGGGACCCATTCTTGTTCCTGCCGCGATTGGCAGCTTCATGGAATACCATGTTCACATGCTGTTGCAGCAATCATATCCTGTAGAAAAGATGTATATGCTTTTGCAGAGAAGTGTTTTACTGTTTCTAGTTACCGTGAAGCATATGCAGAAGTCATATGCCCTATCCCCGAAAAAATTGGGTGGACAAAAATGGGTGACACACCTATGGATGATGATGATGCTCAAATTGTACTGCCACCAAAATTTCGTCGGCCGCCTGGACGCCCAGAAAAGAAAAGAATTTGCATAGAAGACCTTAATCGTGAGAAACATACTGTGCATTGTAGTAGATGTAACCAAACGGGTCATTATAAGACAACTTGCAAGGCAGATATTATGAAGGGCATTGAACAGTTTTAGGAGTATAATTTTGTAAAGTAGAGATCACCACTATAATGCTGAGTAGAGTAGTGTGCAATGCTTAGGGTATGCTTTGATATTTAAGTATGTAAAATAGGAAATTGTCCATTGTACCACAATGTTTGTATATTTTATATGTATCATAGGCTATCTAGATCCTGCTTTTTGGTTTAGAAGGTTGGAAAGCTGTTTGAGTTATATTGTCTACATTTCCAAGCAAACACCTAGAGAACTATTGTGGTTGTAAACATTTTGTTCTTTATGCTTGGGCTGCGGCTTTTCTGTGCTATAATGGAGGGCCTGAAAGTATGCAAATTAATCCGTCGTAATGAAATGCTTGGAAAGCCATTCTGATTCAGTACAGTTTTGAAACAAGTAAAAACGCAACATAGGAAAAATCTAGAACAAAAAACTGAGAATAGTCTTTTCTAATTGTTATATGTTTTGCATTTTATTGCTTGAAATGATAATTATAAATAACAAAACAACATAAGGGGTGAATACAGCAATGTTGATCTTTTAGCCAGACACTACAGATACAAAGAGTTATCTAGTTTACTTGTAAAGCTGCTTGAACCTTCTGCAGGCTTCTAAAATATTTTCCCTGTGACCAAAAGCACTAACCCTGATAAAACCTTCACCACCAGGTCCGAATCCGCTGCCAGGTGTGGTAACCACATGAGTCTTCTCTAGAATCTCACTGAAGACATCCCATGAACTCCGGCCAGGGAAGTGGACCCACACATATGGTGCATTCACCCCACCGTACACATTAAAACCAAGCGAATTAAATGTATCCATTATAATATCAGCATTTTCTTTATAGAATCCAACCACCTTTTGCATCGCCTGTAAGAAGATAGAAATCCATGAACATGAGTGTAATCATACTTCACCTTATGACCATATCTGATGAGCTTAAATACAGTGGAAAACAATAAAATAAGCAAAGATAACAAGATTGACATTGCGGCCTTCTGGAGAAAGGCAAGCCAGACCACCAGCTTGGACAACATTGGATGCACCGTTAAAGCAAGTACAAACAATACGGTTGAAGTCCTTGGCAACAGGGAAGCCATCTGAAAAGAGAAGCTCTTTTGGAACCACAGTCCATCCCAGACGGACTCCAGTAAACCCAGCATACTTGCTAAATGATGCAGTCTCAATTGCAACCTGCAGAGTTCAGATACCAATATGTTATTATTGATAGTGAGTGCAAGGTGTCAATACTCAATAACAATAAACTCCTCGCATCAGGAGATGTAATAGGCTCATGCAGACCAACGAACTAAGTTACAGTTTTATCTAGTTATCTCATCAAATTTTAACAAACGTGTGCATTTATCCAACAAATTGACAATCAGGTATAAACATTCGAAGAAAACATTGAATATGCATAAGAATTGTTTTCCCTATAAAAAAATATGGGTAATGGGATGATTTTGATTCTTATGAACAGACTATTCTGTTGCTAAAGCCAAAAAAGAACAAATGCATAGTTCCAAAAAGAAAACAGTTTCAAAATGGAGTGAAGACATAAAGGACCTGCACAGTGACTGAAAATTAAAAAATTAACACCAAAGCTTGCCAACATTTGGAAGTCAGGGAACCACGATGAATAGGAAAATAAGCAAAGCTTCCAAGAACTTGTGTCATTTATGTTCATAAGCAACAAAATTCATTTCATGTCCATGTAAAATTTGTTAGATAAACAGTAGATAATGCTCAAGTCAGAGACTTTATTGCCAAATGGTGGAATGAGTCTGATGCTAAATGTTATCCTGAAAGATATCATTCCAACATCACACATGATCCACGCAATTAATTACATAAATCAAATCCCAAGCTTGTTACAAGGTAATAGTTGAAATGTCATGTCAAACACATACAATAGCCCATTTCCTAGTCATGCCCTATTTTGTAGAAAAAATACTGTTGAGAGAATATATTGTAGGTGTATTTCTTGTATCTCATCAATCGATTACATAGGTCTATATATAAGGAATTCCTAAGCTACCTAGCTATTTAGGAATAGAAAAAAATATACTGTTGAGAGAATATATTGTAGGTGTAATTTCTTGCATTCTCATCAATCGATTACATTAGCGTCTATATATAAGGAATTCCTTAAGCTACCTAGCTATTTAGGAATAGAAATCATAAACTAATTAGGAATCTAACTCCTAATTAAAACTCTTTTAACAACTAATCCTAACACTGCACCCTCAAGTTGGAGGCATTAGATGTTAATCATTTGGGCCTTCAACTTGTTTACAAACTACTACTTTCAGCAAAGCACAATACCCATACTTCAGCAACTGTACCCACTTACCCACTTCATTATAGCAATATAGAATCCCAAACCAAATAATAACAGCAGAATTAAGACAACACACTTAGGTTGTCAAAACAAATCTCACTGAACCAAAAAACAACTAACAGGGCTGTTTCAAGCTTCCATAATCAATGCCTCAAAGAGGAAGCCCAGTTGCGCAGATATTCAGAAACGCAGCAAAGGAAAATCTAGCAAATGGAGCACACCACTGAAGGCCAAGAACACAATGCAACTCACTGGGTTGCACTGCTCTCGACAAAAGAGAAGGTTCAAAAGCAGAATACCTGTAACTGCAGCAAAGGCGCAGTACTAAACCCTAATGCAAAAAGGAATCACTAGCAAATCACCGAAAATTACCTAAACCAATTGTCACAGCAAAGGAAAAATATAAATATGTTTCCTCAGCAAATTAAAGCAACAACAGTAGCAGAGCGACTGCCCGGACACATCTGCCCCCAACAGAATCGCAGGGCAAAACCCCAAACCTATTGAAAAGCCCTAAGGAATGACGATGCAACTCACTGGGTTGCACGTCTCTCTTCAAGCCAACGGTCGGAGAGAGGAATTGGAAGTGAAAAGACCATTGCGACATGCGCCAGCGCAGGTGAACCAGAGCAGCGAAGAAAGAGGTGGCGAGTGGTGGCCATCTCTTGGAATCAGGCGACCGGATTCTGGGAGTCGCTAATCAGGGCAGCTGAGGAGAATATCCTGGGGTGGGCGGGATGAGGCAAAAATACTAACCGATTTTAGAAAGGCTTCCCTAGGGTGGAAATGGCTTCTCGTAAGGAAGTTTCGGGATTTTTTTTTCTTGAATGGAAGGCTCTAATACCATGTTTGAGAGACTATATTGTAGGTTATTTCTTGTATCTCATCAATCGATTACGTAGGTCTAACTATAAGGAATTCCTAAGCTACCTACTATTTAGGAATATCATCAATCGATTACGTAGGTCTATATATAAGGAATTCCTAAGCTACCTAGCTATTTAGGAATACAAATCATAAACTAATTAGGAATCTAACTCCTAATGGAACTCTATTTACAACTAATCCTTAACAGCTGAATTTCCAAATGACAATATTTTCAAACATCTCTATGGTAGCATGATCTAGAATCCTAATCATGATAATAGAATTTAAACAACTAATCAGGGATTCATTTCATAACCAGGAAATTACAAATAGCAAAATCCTAAAACTGTGTTCAGTTTTACACACAGCTCCTACTTCTAATTAAAATATCGTATCTTGATAAGATGACTGAAGGCACGTTAAAAAAAAAAAGAATCGGAACAAATGGACAATGAAATCAATGCCAGCTAGCAGGGGTCAGAAAGTAAATTGTCAACTGAAAATTACCTCCTTGGCTCCAGGAATTTCAAATATAGACCGTGGCTTATCATCAGATATATACATGGCATATGCTGAATCATAGACAATGATTGAACCATTGTCCTTGGCAAACTGTACTAATTGCACCAGTTGCTCTCTTGTTGCAACAGAACCAGTAGGATTGTTTGGTGAACAGAAAAAAATGATATCTGTTCGAGAGACCTTAGACAAATCGGGAAAGAAACCATTCTCTGGACTACACCTCATGTATTCTATGTTTGCATATTTCTCAGCATCCTTTTGATACAGTCCAGTCTGGCCCATAATGACGCTCGAGTCTACATAAGCCTGCAATTTGACAGACAGCATTTAGTGCAAAGAGTTCTTGACTTCTTATATAGAAACTTTAATTTTCTGTTCCCATCCCCAACCCCCAATTCCACCCCTCTTTTTCCTTTCTATTTGATATGACCATTTGACATATACCACATAAGATAAGATAGAGCAAGTGATCCAATGATGTAGATATCTAATACTAAAAGGGCACCTATATCAAGAGAGTTGGGATGCCAGCCCTATCACCTTCAAGTGCATCATGAATATTGGCCAAGATATAAATAAGCAAATCCATGAAACTAACAAATGAAGTGACTGAATTGTTTATACAATGTTCAATTGAACATGACAGGGAAGGAGGAACAAACAGAAAAGGAGATGGAAAAGAAAACATATCACAAATTTGACAACTATAGTCCTAATAGAAAAACATAAATTACCGGATATGATGGATCTTGCACCGCCATTGTGACATTAGATCCAAAAAGAATCTGTCACAAAATTAATCAAGAAAGTTAACCAAGTCAAACAAAATATGAAACCAAACAAAGTAAAAACTTCCAAAACAAAAATAACGAACCTGCAGGCGGGATATGTCACATTTTGCACCATCAGAGACAAATATATCATCTTCCTGAATGCCAAGGTCTCCATAAAATGTTGAAGCAATTGCAGCTCTCAATGGCTGCACAGTATAACAATCTGTTATTCTAATATTCTATGTCTGCTACATAGTTCATAATCCAAAGAAAAAACCAACGCCTGTGAAGCTAAAGTCCTACAGTTTGCTTTCATTATTCAATATACCATTTCCAATTCTACAGAAAAGCGTTCTAACAAAAAAATATCCAACATCTAAATTAGCAGTGCAAATAAGAGCAATAACTTTTACAGGAATTATAATATTATCCAGGCATATCCTTCCTAAACTACCAATTACATAGCCTGTGCTACTGCTATATTTTTGTTTCTGCCTCTAAGAATGTTTGACTGTAGCTGGACTTCCAATCTCAAAATTATCAAAAACCTAAAGGTTTATAAAGCAGCTACTTCTCAAGATTTCAACGTACTTTTTCACCCTGTTCAGCTCCATAACCACTATAACCCTCAAGAGTGGACAATGCTTCTGATCTCTGTAAAAAGGGGAATCAATTAATAAGCGAAAAATAAATGCAATAAAACAAAATTTGTAGTTATAAGCTGCAAGCTCATTCAAAAGAATCAGAAAGAGGTGAAAAAAAAAAGAATTGTTTGAAAAACTATAATCATGCTACCAGTTTAAATTATTAAAATTTTTAATTCAACAATGCAGACAACAGTGCCAACAACAATGCCAAGAAAATAATTTGGACTAAATTGCTAATAAAAGCATAATTAATATACAAAGAATGCAGCAATAGTAAATAAAAGTTAACAAGTTAAATGGAGATGAACGAAACCTTAGATATTGCAGAAGTTATGACTTCTGGAATGGGCTCAGTGGTGTCACCAATTCCAAGGCTAATCACTTTTGAGTCAGGGTATCTCTGCAAGTGGGCATTCCTTCTACGAGCAATCTTTTTGCAAATGAGGAAAAGAACATGAAAAAGGAGAAAAATGAATGGCCAATACGAACATAATCTACAACACATCAGAACACAAATAAATAAATAAAAACTCTAAAAATGCCACTTGGTTAACTGCCATTTAAAAGCGTGGATAAAAACCTCAATGATAACAGAAAACATCAACTGATAGAATTGATTTCAGTTGCATGCCAAATGAAAGGCATTCAAGCCTATGGTAAAAACTTAAACAAGCTAATAAAACCTCAGAGATAGGACCATTTACAGACCTCTGGAAATAGGTATCCAGCTTGAAGCTTGGCCATGTTTTCATTGCGAGACACCTTTGTCTTGTAGGCTTAACAACAAATATGAAAATACATATACATGTCCAATCAAATATCAAATTATTAGAAAGAAAAATAACAAAACAATCCCAAGAACGCTCAAATAACATCAAAATGCAGCTTCTTTTCTATTAAACCCAAACAAAAAAGGGAAAACTCACTGGTCTTCTCTTCTTGAAGAATTGCTACACATCTACAAATCCCAAAATTTTTTGAGGGAAGCGAAACATCCCGGTTCCTAGAAAGATGATGAGAAATGGAAAAAAAGTTTAAAATGTTGTTTGGTTCTGAGAAAGCAAAGAGAGATTGCAAGAAAATTAAAATACCTATAGTTGAAGCTTGAAGAGGCTAAAAAAGCAGAGGAAGAAGCGGAGATAGAGGTAGAGAGATTCTGTGTTAGCGACATTGGTGTTGAAGGAAGCTAAACAGCAAGAACCTGTTGCAGGAAGCAGAGACTGGGAAACGGTAAGCACAAAAGTGACTGCACAAAGCAAAGGTTTTGTTTCTTCTGCTTGCTTATTTATCAATTAGGAAAAACCCTAGGCCATCAAAGTCCTTAATCAGTCGATCATTAATCGGTCAACACGCCGTCCCATTTTGTATTTTGTTTGCATGGTTGAACCAAATTTTTAGTCAATACAAATCAATTTGCTTTTTTTTTTTTTTTTTACCAAATTTTAGTCAATACAAATCAATTTGCTTTTTTTTTCTTTTTTTTTTTTTTTTTACCCTTAATTTATTAAAACGAAAAATAAAATTTTATAAAATGAAAGAAACTAAAAATTAGAAAATAAAATAAATAGAAAAACTAGATAGATATTCAAAATAAATCTATGGTTTCGTTTTCATAATCAAAAAAACTCATAATCGGAAAAAACAAACAACCGTGCCAATGCAAAGGTAGATATTATATAAATATATATATATATAATAAATTTGACAAAATATATAAATTCACTATTGTATCTTTTTTTTTTTTAAAAAAAAAAAAGAAAGAACGCTTGAAGTATTTTCAACTTATAAGATTCTACTTGTTAAACACTTCAATTTGACTCGTTAAAGACTTTAACTTATAAAATCAATTAAACACTTATTAGTAAGTTGAATTTTTTTTTTTTTTTTTTTTTTTTTTTTTTGTAGTTAGTTGAAAGTTGTGAAAAATTATCATTTCAAAATTGCATTAAACAAATAAGAAATCAATTATTTATATAAAAATTAAAAATTTTAAAATTTTATTATAATATGCAAAAATGTACTATGTTACTAAAATTTTAATTCAAAAATATTAAAAAACACCTCTATTATTTTAAGCGTTACAAATATTTTTAAAAAAGTATACCGTTTGTTTGAAACAAACGAATTCTATAAAATTTTATGGAATTTATTTAAAATTTCATATATTTTATTTAGAAAGAAAAAAATATATATAAATTTTAATCTTGCGAGTTCAATTCTATGAAATCCAATATAGTTAAACCAAATTCCACAAAAACAAGTGGAGTTTCTAAATGAATTCCATAACACTAACTAACCTAACTTTTTATTATAAAAATACTCTCTTTCTTCTACAAAGTCAAATTTTCAATTTTTTGCATATTTAATTTGTTAATTGTATCAAAATTTGATCAAAATAATTTAAAATTAAGTTTTTTTAGGAAAATGTACTCATTGTTTATTATTAAAAAGATAATTTTTTTTAAATTAATCTCCATTTCTATATTGATCCGAAAATATTTCGCACAAAAATGAGAAAACAAAATTTTTGGGAACTGCTTCATTGATAATATTGATAAAACTTTTGAAATTAATTTTTTTGAAATTTTCAATATTGATAAAACTTTTGAAATTATTTTTGAAATTGGATATATATATTATATAGATGATATAATATATATAATATATATATAAGTAGTTGAACACTATTATTTATATGAATTTTTATAATAAATTGGCAAGACTATATAATCCTATACATAATCTAAAATAACGTGAGTATATTTATTTTATAGGATTTTTATTATTTTATATTTGATAAAAAAAAAATAAAAAATATTTGATGAATTTATAATAAATTATATCTTGGTGGTCTGTCATAACACTATTATTTATATGAATTTTTATATAAATTGCAAGACTATTATTCCTATACATATCTAAAATAACGTGAGTATATTTATTTATATAGATTTTTATTATTTATATTTGAATAAAAAAATAAAAATATTTGATTGAATATAATAAATATACTTGGTGGTTGTCATTTCTTTTTATTAAATTATTATGTCAAGGTATTATAAAAAAAATGACAAATGAATTTTATTTTCATTTAAAAATTTCTTCCGATCATAATTTCATGAATTCAATTAAATTTTTTATTTTAAACTATTACGTACCAAATATAAGATTTAATTTATAAATAAATTTTACATAGAATGTATTTATAAATAAATTTTATATTTATAATTTATTTATTCCAGGTATAAAGTGAATTTATATATTCTCAATTTGAATTGAATTTGTTGAGCATTAAAAAAAAAAAATTCAATTTTGGGTAGAGAGTCCCTCCCTAACGTTCTATTGATTTTTCTTTCCCCTAAAAGCCCAAAAAGCGTTGAAGCCCAGCCCTTTAACTTTGCTTAATTGTTGAGCTGAGATCTATATTAAGTATATAATTTTAAGAAAAAAATAATTCAAATAGGGAAATTAGGGATTTCATTGCAACTCTCTCAGTTTCTCCTCCTTTTCGAAGAAATTGCTGCGACTAGAGAGCTCCATAAATAAACGCTTCTGGTTTTACACTGAATAATTTCAGTGTGCAATCGGGTTTGTCAGATAAAATATTCAGCTTTATACTCTCAATCGCTCTTCTCTTCTTGCAGGCTGAAAAAGAGTTCTCGTTTTTTTCCCCTTCTTCTCTGCTTCTTTCTTTCTAACGTACGTGATTTAAGTTTTAGCATTTAGTTGATGTTCTGTCTTTTCAATCTTCAATTTTTATGTACTGGGTTGGTTCTGTTCTATGTGGATACGCTGTGGAAATCCAGAGAAAGGCAAAATTTTGATTTTTTCATATCTACTATAAATTAATCTATCTTGAAGGGGAATTTTTTTATATATTTAATTTAGTGGAATTAGTTGCTTAGATAATGTGATTTGGTGGCACTAGACCAATTGCTTTGGCAAAATGTTTGTAGAAATACTGAGTGGTTGATGTTACAGTTAGGTGCGCTGATTATATCCAGTTCAATTCAATTGTTTATTAATATGATCAGCATCGTTAAGAACCCTAATCTCAATAGTAATTGATTAATAATGTTCTTTTGGAAATTTTATTTTGCTTGTTTACTGCTTCAGTTCTGTCTCTTACCAATTGATGAAAGGAAGAAAATAAGAAAATCAGTAAAAAGGGAAACAAATCTGCATTCTGTACTTCAATTAAGTCCAGTTCTCTCTTTTTTTCTTCCAATTGTTTTGTTCGTGTGTTAATTTTGTAAGCCTTTTTCTGTCAAATTCTCTTTGTGGGGTTTATGAAGGTCCTTTTGGGTATTCCCCATAGTAATGCCCATTCAAACTTGCTTGTTCCCTTTTCCTCAGCTTCCACTCCAGTGGTTGAAAATTGCGTGCTTCTCTCTCTGTCTTTTTTTAGTTTCTATACTTTTCAGCTGTTAAGCTATGCAGAAATGTGGTGGTTGGGACTCCGAACATATAAGACTAAATGAAAAACTGGTTTATTTTCTCCTCTTGTTTATTGTTTTGTTTGATCCTTAATATCTTTTGTATCGAGGATAGTGTCCAGTGTTGAAATATCATCTTATTATTTTATCCTCAGTATTATAGGCTGCCAAAATTAGTGTGCTCACGAGTATTCATGGTTATGATAATTTTATTTATTTATTTTATGGATTCCAGTATTTTCCCCTTGTGTTTCTTTTTATTCTTCCATTTTGATGAGGGAGGGTTGGGCTAATTATTTTGGATTATCACAATTTGTAACAATGTGTTTCACACTGTAAAATATGAAATCTGTTTTTGCATCTGATGGAAGAATGAAACATATACGTTTACTGGAATGAATTTTTCTTTCTAGTTTTCATCTTTTTTCTGAATCTGGATTAATTTGATGTCCATTGTTAGATGAGTTTGTATGTGATGAAATGACCCTTATGATTGGTCTTCTCAGGAAATTTGATTCTTTGGGTTCAAAATTTCTTTCTGCAATAAATTTTACTCATTGTTATATTTCAGAGTAGAAATATTAGGACTCTTCTAAGTTTCTGTTCTTGTCTTATCACAGTTGAAGTTTATTGTCTGTGCTTACTATTGCTGACTAATGGTCAATGAATGCCATGAACTTCAGTTAATGGAGCCTCTAGCATCACGCTTTCACTCTGCCATTCCCTGTTATCTCCCTCATCTGCCTGTTTTATTTTCCTGAGAAGTTTCCTCGTTTCTTGCTTTGAACCTTCTATTACTCACTAATTGTTTGCTTGTAAAACTTAGATTGGAAAGTTTTAAGACAATGGTTGTTTTGTTTTTTTAATTTCACTAATCTCTACCATTTTCATTGAATTTTCAGCATCCATAAATCACTCAGTTACACTCTGAAATTTATCTAAAGGCTCTTATGGATCTTGAGACGGAAAACAGAATAGCTGCAATTCTTTTAAAAGAAGCAGCAGAATTGCGGCGACAAGCTGAGAGCGAAGGTGTGCATGTCTATCTTCAAAAACCTAAAGCTAGGGGTCGGCCGAATTCTCGATTCCTCACAGCAACAGTTCTTGGGGTACAGCAAGGTTGGTGTTTAGTTGCTTATTCATCCTTGCATTGTCTTTTGTCAGTTTTTATTTTTGAATATTATGTATGATGAATGTGAGCTTTTGTGGCATCAATTATATGGAGGCTTGGGAAGATTTCATGTTTCTTATTCTATAGTGAACCTGTTATTAGCTGGCTGATGTGTGAAAGAAATCTGGATGATTGTGAACTAAAAAGTGATTGTTAAAAAAATCACAGAAGCTGTGCTCAAGTCATTTTAAATAATGAGAGAAAGCAACCTGTTTTACTTAATGGCACCTCAAATAAGACTCTTGCATCTAAGGCTGCATCTTTTGTTATTAACTAGTCATCAAATAGGTGGCATACTTCTGATGTGTATGAGGGTGAATTCTCATGCATACTAAATGGTGCTATCTAAAAGTGATTGTGTTCACCATTGATTTTGTAGTGGCTTACTATTCCCTTTCTGTTCTGTATTTGCTTTGTACTGTGATTAGTATCTGTATGTTTTGTCCTATCTAATTTATCTCTTATTTGTCAACTGTTTTTCAGCAAATCGAGCAGTCGAGGTCAATGAGATGTGGCGAGTTCGGCAGAAAGAGATTGAGCTTGATGATAGGCTTAAAGATAGATCAAGACATGAAAATAGCAGCAGCAGTAATCGTAGGGAAATTGTCAACTCCCCTAGAAGCGGAAGTACAAGGCATGCTGTAAATGATAACAACACTATTGCTTCATGTTCCTCAAGCAAAAGGGCATCTGACTGCTATTCTAGAGAAGATGAAGGTTTAAGGGATGAAGAGGTTGAGGAATTTTTGAATTCAAGGTAACCGTATAAGCTTTTTTTTTTTTTTTTTTTTTTTTTTTGTGTGTGTGTGTGTGTGTGTGTTCACATGCGTGCATAAAGGGAACACTGTTGGGGCTGAGCCTCATGCTTGGAATGTCAAATGCTTGTTGGCGAAAGGTATGAGCATAATGCTCACATGCTATGGCTGTGCTGATGCGTGGGCAGCGCATGGCACACCAGCACATGGTGTGATGCGCTTCAAGGCTGGAAGCAAAGCACATTGTTGTTGGGGTTCAGCCCCAGCTTGTGTCCCATAGCATGTGTTTGCACATCTTCCATTAGGTACTTGCATAGAGCAAATGTTATCCAGTTGTTTGACATGAAAGCTTTTGATAGGGTCAAGCGTGGTCGCGGTGCAGTAGGTTCAAGGATGGACGAAACAGGTCCTTATCTTCCTTCTAGTCCAGAATCCAAGGAAAAGCCATCCACGAGCCTAGCCTTGCGGGAACATCGCATCATTTTAGGTCCAGAGAGGCCTTTATCATTGATATCTTATGATCCTTCAGAAGAGGAGCTCGATAGGGATAGGCAGAAGAAGGCCAAGAAGGTTCACTCGAGGAGTTCAGATAAGCACTCTAAGAAACACAGAACAAAGGAAAAATCTAGAGATAAGAAAAAGAGTAGGAAGGAGAAGAGGAGATAGCACTAGTATGCACTCTTGTTTCCACATAATTTACAGGTTAATTGTGATGAATTTGTACAACAATACATTATTCTTGTTTTGTATAGTTGTGATGACTAACTAAATCCAAGATTATTTGCGCCTGAATTGTTACTAATGCAATTATTTTTGTATTGTCGTTATGTTTGCAAAGAACTTCCCATGCCCTTTCCATCCTTTTTTATACTTGATCTGGCAAATTTTTATTTGTTATTTATAATTATTTGTAAGAAGAAAGTTTTTATTATTTATTTATAAACAATTTAAGTGTTTCTCTCTTCCATGCGGGAATTCATCCGTATTTTATTTATTTCATTTATAAATAAATTTTCGTATTTGGATTGACTATAGAATTTATTTTAAATGTATAATTTCACTAATTTATGAAAACTTGAATTAACAAATAAATTTATAAAATTCATAAGTAAAGCTTTTTGTTTTGACAGTCAGTTTTTATCCGTCTGGATATGTGTCATGGTAACAAAAGTTAAAATTAACATCCATTTAATACCAATAATGACTTACAAATTGTCAATACTTTCAACAAGGAAAACAGAACAGAATATAACGTTTTTCGAATTGGGGTTTTTGAGTTCTTTGCATACACCTAATAAGTATATAAGAATTAGTCTTAGTTTTAGGTATTCTGCAACAAAATATAAATGCAGCCAAAATCGTGGAAAAAACATTTCCATTACCAAATGTGTCCAACTTACATGTATCCAGAACCAGAGTACACTAAACAAAAGTCATCCTTTGATCATTTCTGTATTCTCTGTTTTCAACACTAGCTCAAACAGTCCAACTCCCGAAACACGTGAAATATTTTGTGGTAATCTATTCCGTAATTATTCTGCTTCTTGTCAAAGTCTCTGTCATGAGTCCTCAACATGATGATCTGTCTCGTCGTAGATCTCCTCCTACGTTGTACAAAAACCAAGTAAGAATAACAGCCAATTTACACAAACTTTTCTTGTTCCGTTATTAGCAAAAGGAAGACTGATTATTGATAACAGACAACAAATATGGTGTCACTGCCACCTAAGTGAACAGAACCATACTCTTGAAGAGCATTCACATATGTACAAAAATGAAATTACCATAACCAAATAATCAATTAACCCAAAAATGAAATGCATACAACAACCACCCAATTAACAACGAAGTAAATAATTCTCCAATTCCCTTTTTCCTTGCAAATAAAATATCCACGTTATCTCTCTCTTCATTAAATTATCGATCATTAAGATTATTCCCTGAGAGACTTCTTCCTCAGCAGAAAAAGGACTCCATTGCATTCAAGTAGTTTTCAAGGAAAAATGTCTGATTGAATAATTTCATACTTCTTTTTTTTCAACACCCACTTTTCCTGGTCAGAAATAAAGGAATTTTGGATGGAATTGGAAAAACAATGATAAAACATAATTAATACCTGTAGAAGCTCTTCAATGACATCTTCCATTGTTATTATGCCTACAGCTTCTTCTTCTTCAGGAAGTTCTGGGAGTGGATTGCCATTTATATTCAGGATGTCAGAGTCAATGTCCTTCATCCACTTCCTGCTCCTTGTGATCCTAAGTGACGGATTGGAACTATTGGGAAAGCTTTTCGATTTATGAAGTGGCTTCTTGGTCTTTAAAATCCTCTCTGGAGTAGGCTTTTCACCATCAATATCAACTCTAACTTCTTTTACCGGATCTGTTTACATGAGAGAAAGAAAGCAGAATCATGAAAGTGATTTTCCATCATAGAAAGTGTGTTAGATATATTAAAACCTATGATTAGGCCCTCAACTGCAAGCTTAAACCTTTGATACTATGTTTGTGGAAAATATCAGAGGAAAGAAAATAGTACAAATTTTCTTTCTTTCACTTGTTTGGGAATGGAGAAAATATGGGAGGAAGAAAAATATGAAGGGAAAATAAATATGGGACCCACATGCCATTTTCTCTCCAATTTGGGAGGAAAGTTGGAGGAAATAAGATTACAATTTTATCCCTACTTATTATACTTTTTTGAAGAAAAGTAAAGGTTAAACTCATAATTTACTTTTCATAAAATCAATTCCTACTTATTTTCTTCTCAAATATCCAAACATTAAGAGGAAAATTCCTTTATATTTTCCCTCTTTATTTTCCTTCAATATTTTCTTTCTTCCCTAAATAGCTATCCAAACACACTCTTAACGTTGAGTTGGATCTTTGTCTGGGTAAACATGGAACACTAAAAGGTCTAAACCCTAATATTGAGCTCACCGCCGTTACTAATTAGATTTTGCCACAAGGTAGTGACAAAACTGTGCTCATCCACATTTCTTAGCCCAATAAGCTCTACTTGAAGGGCATGCTAGCCATATAGAAACCTATTATTGGCTCTAACCTACAAGTTTGAGCTTTTAGGTAGAGTCATTCTTTGATTAAAGAGTAAGAAGATTTTCACATGAAAATTTGTTTTTGGTACAGCTGAACAGCTTTTGTTAACATGGATAATGAGGACAGATAACAATATATGGAGTTGGCACTTACTGTCAACAACACTGCTAACTGGCTGCGGCTCTATCCCGTCACACTTTCTTACAACAACAGCCATGTGGCTGTGACCTTTCTGAAACTCATTCAATATATCATACAATGGCATAGTTTCTGGAACCCTAGAATATAAAACCAAAAGAACATCAGTTCACTACAATATAAATCACATGGAATGCTATCCAGAAAATAATTAGACAACTGCTTGAATTGTATAAACAACATAAAACAAAGTACCTGGGAATCCTCCGTATAGTAACATTCTTCACAGGTGTTGCATCTTCTGGGTGAATTGTCAACAAATTCTTCACCTAAATGATCACAAAGTGTTTCATTTATTATTACAAGAAGAAAGTTTTTAGGAAAATGCATTCATAGACAAGAACATAACTAAAAAAAAAAAAAAAAAAAAAAAAAAAAAAAAACGAGTAGAAAAAAAACCAAAAAAAAAAAAAAAAAAAAAAAACGAGTAGAAAAAAACCAAGAATTTCTGGTGATATGACATGGAAACTGATGGCCACACCAAAGTGCAAGTCAAAAAGGACATGAGAAACATGATGTTTTAAACCCAGCAACATTCCAATGCTCATGATGCTATTTCAATATCTATAGAAACTTATAAGAATTTCTCCTCCCTCATCATCTTAGACCCATATGTAGAACTTTCTTGAAAAATTTTTAACACATATATATACATATATTACTTCAGGCAAATAAATAAATAATCTAAAAAATGTTTTGACTCAAAAGCTAGTTAAAATATGTAACTTCTTGCTCTATTTGTTGATTTCCTAGTTTTGTAACAAATGCAATAAGCTAATGAGTTCAGTAATACTAATGTAATTCAGTGAACAATTTCTTATGTAAAATTTCAAACAGACAACATTTTATCTAAAGTACAGATAAAAATTTCAAGTAAAGATCTCATCAACACGTTAATTCTTTTTGCACCATATCCACTTAACATCCAATTTAGTCACATAAAATGCAAAGAAGCAGAAAAGAACAGAACCAAATTTTCAATAAAAGCCAGTTGCAAAGAGAATATTCCATACAGGGGAGGGGAAAAAGACTCCTCCCAAAATATTTCCGCTTTCATCTCCATTAAATATCTCATTGCTATCAATTTACATTTACCAGTATAAGTCCAATTATATTTGTAGGTTGCTCATAATAAACTGGAACTCTGCTATGACCTTTCTCCAATATCAAATTCATCAATGCCCTGTACAAAAGAAGTACGCAGTGCAGATAATGAAGATGAATTTAAGCATCAGAAGCAAGTTTCTTTTCAGTCTAATCCTTTCAGAACATCATACCTGTCAAGTATGGCATTAATGTCGATTGCAAAGGTTTCAGAAATAGGTGTCATGGCATCACTAGCTGTTTTCTCAGTAAGCTCAAGTGCTCCAGCTATAATTGTGGTCTCATCATGGGTCAGTTCTCCGCCTTTTCCAGCCTAATAAAGATAAATAATCGGAATAAACAGAGGAACGCATAACAAGAGAATGTATAGGCATATCAGGACTTTAGACAGAAGAAAATTGAATAATAATATATAACAAAATCGGCAAAATGATTAATGTCATGAAATCAAAGAGCTAGAGAAACATTAAAAAAGAGAAGGTAATGGAATAAGGTGCAAACATCCCACCTTTAGAAAGAGATACAATTGGAAAAGCATATAGTAGTCAATACTGTAAAGTTCCACTATGTACAAAACGCACCTCATTGCCATGAAAATTTACGAGTGTTTTCAATTCAGCTCTGCGAAAAAGTGCTACATGCCCATGACCCAGTAGAAAATCCAGAAGCTGGAATAATAAAAATAATAGGCAATTATTTTACTGATATAAGAGGGTTAAATGATTAGCGATCTCTTAAGCGAACAAATATCACCTTGCTGATTGGATAGGCAATAGGAAAGCAGATCCCAACAAGAATGCGAACAAATGGAGCCACTGCTGCACCAATTGCCAAACCGTATCGAGAACAAACAGATTGAGGAATAATCTGAACATCCAAACAAAGAGCAATTAGTACATCCATTGTTATTAGAGTTCCCCTGCAGCATCTCAAGAAAAAAAAAAAGCTGCATATCATCAAAATTCTCAGAAGAGTTATCTAACTCCACTTCTCAGTGAGTTTTTTTTTTTCCAACAAAGACAACAGATTCATTTTCGACACATATTCAGCAATGAAGATCCATGCATATTGTGGATCTGCACATAAATACCTCATTGGCTGAGAAAATTCAATGAGTAATATGCAAGTGGTACACACAAACAAGTCAAACTCATAAACACAACTCTCAAAGTTCCACTATATGTCTATCCACCTGTCTTGACTTTAATAACTCATCACAAATGTAAGCTCTAAATGGAATTCTCACCTCACCGAATAGGAGAATCAGTGTAACCGAAATTAGAATAGCACCCCAAGCTGTTACCAGACTGTCAAGAAAGATTGGAAGCGCCTGATAAAGAGAATAGTAAGATATCATTTTTAACTGTGTAAAGCAAATATCATTGCAGATATTCTGATCAAAAGGCACCTCCATAGCAGCAGCATTGCAAATGAGTAGTGTGCATAGCAATAAATGCTGATTTTTGACAACTGGCAATATCTTTGCTGTTTTATCACAACAGACAAGCAATCAGTTTTTGTAACATTAACATATTACCATATCATTGTAGTATAAAATTTCCACTCTAGTAATAGCACTTACACAGACTTAAAGCATTGTCTAGGGAGATGCAACATAAGCTACAAAATAGTAAACACTTGGATTTCCCAACAATGATCACCATGCAAAACTCAATATTAGACTATATATATATATATATATATTCAAAAAAAAAAAAAAAAAAAAAAAAAAAAAACAAAAAAAAAAAAAAAAAAAGGAAAAATTAAACCCCTCAATAGTATCATCCTCATAGTAGTATAAGTTTTTATTCCTAAAGTGAAACATCAATTATGAACAGTCACTTCCATGTTTCTTGACACAGCATTACTATTATCAATATCATCAGCCTCAAAACTTTCATACAAATTATGAAGCCTCGGAGGATAATTCAACCAGCTTCATCACACATCCTTTGACATTAGAAACCTAAACTAGTGACTGCAGTTATGTTATCAGTTCACTCATTATTAAATCAACAACTGAACAATGTCAGTAGCTATGTGGTGATGTGAATTTCCGTAGCAAGTCACCAACCAATTTCAAAAATTGCACGATTTTCCTAGTGGGAACTATCACTAAAGAATTTCCAGGATAGCAAACCCTGCAGTCAACTAAAATAGCTAAATTTGGAAATTTTTTGGTTCATAAGGATGTCATATGAACCAAGCTTATTGACAAAGTTAATGTCTGATTTATGCAAGTGATGACTAGAAGTTGAACAAATATGTGATTAAGAGAGTAGCAACAGAGAGGTGATAACAACAATGAAGTAGACCTCTCCAATATTCATATTCTACGTAACTGGTTTGCAAATTTAGGCACACCAACAGACAACAAATGTCAGGTGAATAGCACAACAACTAACTCCTACTTATCAGAGGATAAAATAAATGCATACTGTGAATAATAAGCCACAACTAGCAGTAAAACATTAATATCTTACTCCAAAATCTCAGTATTTTGCTCAATCATTTGAAGAATCAAGTGATTTTGAGTGGCCAAGGCTATGGAAATTCTCACCTAAATTTTTTTTGTTTTTATTCTTTTATTTTCTGTTCATCAAACTCATTGCTCCGAGAACAAGATCCACTTTAACCCTTTATTTTTGCCATTCACCTCTGTTTTTAAAACAAATGTGATTTTCTTTTTCTTTCTGAATTGATTGTCAATATGAATCTGTCAGGACACATTCTAAACAATTCCTTTTCTTTTTTTTTCTTTTTTTTTTTTTTGCTTAAGCGGGTCCCACGAAGAAAACACCACCGTCTAAAATCAATCTCTCAAATTTCCTCATTTATTTTCTTGCATTTTCTAGCTATCCAAACAAAAGCATAAAAGGGTCTAAAAAGCACAAAAACAAAGTAAAAATTGAGACACAGAAAGGGAAAACAAAGTACCAGCGTGTTTGCGGTCATTCGGGGTCCCAGACTGAGCAAGAACTTCAAGATCGACAGTGCTCATAGACATAAGCCCCAAAGTGAGCCCAGACATCAATCCAGCAAACACCACCAGAAATACTATTACCACAATGTTTATAAAGAAATTTGTTTCGCAGCATTTATACTCCACAGCCATTCAAAATTCCCGAAGGAAAGAAAAAAAAAAAAAAAGGAAAAAAAGAAAGAGACCCCCTTTATATAAAAAGGATATACAAAAAAACAGAGAAAGATAAAATAGAGAAACCGTATATTGTTTTTCGTTAGAGAAACGACAACCAGAGGTCCATCAACCCCATAAAATTTCTAACTTCATGCACAAGCTAAAAAGAAAATTGAAAAAAAAAATACGTTTCGAAACGAATTTCTTTCTTATATTTTCAAGAATTGAACTAATCTCTAAAGAATAGCGTGAAGCAAAAATAAGTTTCCCTGTGCAACAAAGAGAAGAGTGCAGAGAAAGAAAGAAACGGAGAGAAGAGACTATTGCGCCAAATACAAATTGAGGTAGATGAAAAGGCTTCGCCGGGAAAAGGGAGAGACAGATAATTTTCCGGCGAGTTATGATAACAAGTAGGCGATGAAAGCGACGGGATAGAGAGAGGGAGAAGGCGTAGAGAGTGTTTTTAGCGCAGTTATGGTGAAGGCGATGGGTTGATGGGAACTTGGCTGGCAGAGCTGTGAGGTGTGTTTGAATGAGGGGTGTCTGAGGTGTCAGAATATGCGACTTCAGTGTCTGCTCAACAGTTACTTAATTATTATTAATTAAAACTATTTACTATTTATCTTACTATTTTATTTTCAGACAAAATATATATATATATATATATATTTTTTTTTTTTTTTTTTTTTTTTTTTGAAACTAGATAAATAACACTTGACCAAAAATGCACGTTACTTGTAGTTGGAGGGATAGTAAAAAATACCTTATACCAACAGAATAAATTACATCTGAAGAGTAATTTAATACATCTGAAGAGTTATAGTTATATATGAAGATTTTTGAAAATGAATTAAGGTTGAAACGCTTACTAATTTTTTATTGTTAAATGAGATATAAGAAGATTTCATTGTAATGCAATAATAAATTTTAATTTTATTGCAATAAGTTAATTTGATCGATCTTAGTGAGAATTCTCAAATTTAAATTCTTTTGATCATAAATATTTTCACCGATTCAGTGAGTTCAGGAGAGGACTACCTCCGACTGTTCTATTATAAATTTATAACTCTGTTAGATCACGTTACAACATGAAAAGACCAGCATTATAACCTCCACCCGTGCAAACGAAAAGACCTTAGATCAACTCCACTTACTCTATACTCTCTACACTCACAAAATCTTCAATCCAACAATTTGTCCATTGCAGTCTGAATTTAACATTATTTTCACAAAAACCCTAGCCACCTTCAATTGCTCAAAAAACGCAGCCCAGATTAGATAATTCCTTCGGAAATCATGGCAGAAGGATTATGTATGAACCATATGTATACAGCTAGTGCTTTTATAAGATTTTACACGTGTGTATCAACCATTTAGATTTAGTTCAGTGCATTCGAACTCAGCCTTTTTAACTTTTAATTTATGCTGAACATGGTTCGACGTACCAAAATAGGATTGTTCTGTGTGTAGTATATATATTCTTTTTATTTTTAAATTTCAGAAACTGATGGTGAGTGTTTGATTACTCATGACCTATTTTATTAAATTTTATTATTTTGAATAACTGTTCATAGTCTTTTTCTTTATAAGCTGTGGTTTCTTTTTTTCTTTTTGTACCTTTTCTTTTCATTTCTTTAATTTTTTATTTAATAAAACAGATTTTTTTAAAAAAATAGCAATTCATCAATTAAAAAAAAACAGAGCAAGCATATACATCATAAAACATCTTGCAAATTGCTATAGATCTTTTTTTTTTTTTTTTTTTTTTTGAATGTTTTTAGGAAATTGCAGCAATCAAAGCTAGTTGGTTCTCCTTCTCATGCTTTTCCAAGAATTGAAGATATCAAGTATCTTGATTGGAACATTCGATTGAAATGTTGGACTGCTCATGAACTTCTAGCCACTCGAACTTTTACATGATAATCGAACGAGTTCTGAAACAAAACCGGGCCGGGCTTCAACGATTCATTAAAATGAGTTACACTTAAGTGATGGATTGAGCTAAAGTACGCTTATAAAAAGCTAAAGTAACTGACTTTTGTTGTTTTGTTCCTTTCGGTTCTTTCAATCAATCAGCTCCTTGTCTTTGTCCCATCAAAGAGATCATTTTGACATGTCTTATGTGATACTTCGTGAATTTCATGGGCCGTAATGTAGTGGAGATGGCCGCCATGGATTAACAGTGACAAAGAAAGGAGGACGACGACTCATGCCAAAAGCAACATGTTAAACACAAAACCCGGTTTTTACGGGTTGGTTCACTTCCCGGATTTACGGTGGATATTTGTTTTTTTAGTTTTTAAAGTTGAATCAAATTAGATCACTATTAGTTCGTGAATTAATCGGTTCGACTAATCAATCTGGTCTAATTTTTAAAACATTAGTTAAGGATGATTGACAGTGGTAAATAATAATTGATAATTGTACTTATCGATGATCAATAGATTATTAAATATGTATTTATAAAATTATAATTTATATTTATGCGGCAAAACGCATAAATGAGTCTCTAAAAAGGGTTTATTGATTATACCATGGATTTTTATTTGTGAATTTTAAGTCTTCAATAATAATTATAATAAAAAGTTAATCATTTTTTAACTGAAACTTAATGAGAATAGAAAAAAAAAATGCAATTATGAGTTGCTGTGTGGAATTTTAATTTTTTTAGATGAGTGAAAATCTTAATTTTGACATGTAAAATAAAAAAGAAGAAGGGATTTTACTATCTCACCTCATCCCTCGAGGCTTATTAATATATCTTTTCAATAAAATGCGTAACAATTAATATAATTTTTCAAAAAAAAAAAAAAATGCTCGTGGTTGGAATTTTAAATTTTTTTAGACTGCAGTGAAAATCTAATTTTGACATTGTAAAATAAATAAGCAAGCAAGCCGATATTTACCTATCTTCACCCTCATCCCCATCGAGGGCTCCGTCATCTTATATTCTCCTTTCGAATTATAAAAATGATCGTTTAACACATTAATTATAACTATTCTTCAAAATAAAAAAAAAACTATCACCTATCTCACATAAACGATGTGTCTTTCCGATCGATATATTAATACATAATAGTATCACTACAGATAAAAAAATATATAGTAGAATAATAATAACTATCTAGACATACGATTACACTATATCTATGAGAGAGTATATGCAATATATGTACAAACAATACTCACATATAATATTTCCATAGATAGGGTCAAAATAGTATGTTTATAAGGTCGCCTTTTCTTTAATTCTGGGCGGCGAGGTTAGATAATTCGTGTATCATTAATTATTCTAGAGCTTCCATAACTTTACTAAATAGATTTAACTTAATAAATATGTAATATCTTAGACTGTAAACTATCTGCTGTCATGTGCATGTCATATCTATATTTATTATAATTACATCTTCTTAACAGATCAAATTAACTTTTGATCTATTACCTACATATGTTTATCTAAAAGATTTTAAATAAACTTAGCTGAAACATTCTACTCTACTCTAAATTATATATATCATTACCTTATACACGCAGAACCTATTATCGTAAGTGCCAAAAATGATACATTACTTTCATGAGTATCACGAGGTTATGCAGTTAATATCTTAAACTGTTCCACTTGGTGAGGGAACCCTTTCCGTTTCATGCCCCGAATTCTTCACAACATTCGGTACCCCAGTATTCTCTCGGGAGCTATTGAAACCCGCGTCCCATTAAATATATAGAATATATTATTGAGACCTTATTCCCGTTTCACTCAATTCGCAAACCTCAATCTAAATAGCCAAAATTCGCTCCTCCCCAAAAATTTTTCTTCTAGCTCCCTTTTGACTCCCAAGACCGTCTTCCTTCGAGCTCACGCCCTCTACTCCTACATGCTGCCCATGCGCCACACTCTCCAATCGATCCGCCTCGCATCATAGGCCTCAGAACTTGCCTCCTAGCGTAAGTACAGCCCTCACCACCCGCGCACGAACCACAATAATGCACTCTGCACCCCGATCCGCCTTATCCCGCCTCGAGCTAACGACGTCCGAGATCCACAGCCCTCTCACCAACGTCAGCTCGTTGCCTTACATGTCTCTCGAGCGACGGGTACCCCCTTCAAGGCTGAGAACGCGACGATCCGACACGACAGCTCCGGCCAGTCAATTACCCCGGCAGCGCCCTGACACGCGCTCCTTCAACTTTTTAAAAAAAAAAAAAAAACACATATCAATAAACAGTTTATAATATTATATCATAGATAAAAAAATAAGTAAAAAAAATTAAAATATGAAAAATTATATTATGGGTATTATGAATATGTACAACAAATACAAATAAATTTATAATAAGTAAAATAAGTATGTTTTAAAGTTTTTTTTATTGGGCAGTAGCTAATTTGTATTTAATTATTTTTCAACTTCATTAATTTTATAAAAATAATTAATAATAAAATTATTTTTAAGTTAATATTCTTCATGATCATTTTATTTTATAATTATTTAAAAATAATAATTTTTTATTAAATGTTATCTAAAAATTAAAAAAATTACTGAACATTATTTATTTATATAATATATCACCTTAAACACTAGAAAAATGATCGTTAAGTATATAATTATTTATGATATAGCATGCATATATTTTTGAACTTTCACTGGTGAGGAACCCTTCCGGTTTCATGCCGATCTCACAATTGGCCCAGTTTCGGTATTGAACCGGCCCTTAACGGTTCTAGCTACTATTTGGACCTTTCCGTTTCACAACGAGACTAATCTAAATAGACCATTTCCCAAATTCCCAATCTAAAATGGCAGTAATATAAAAATAAAAACCCATAAATAAATAAGTTTTTTTTTTGAGAAGAATAAATAAAAAAGTCAGTAATAACAAAAAATAAAATATTAAAGAAAGCAAGTCTAACTGAGCTGAAAATGATACCGTAATTAGATCTGGTTCTTGATTAAAAAGATCTCAGAAACCCATCTTTTTTTTGTCATTTCTTGATTTGAGGTAAGTAACTGAATACTCTATTGAATTGCTTTCACTTTCACTCTTTCTATCCATTTCTTCTTCACCCTCTCCTTATTTTCCTTTTCCTCGAGTGATGATTAGATATTAATCCTTATCACTTTTGCTTAATTTCCGAATTTGGGTTGTGTTTGAATTTAGTTACAGTTTTGTATAATAGTTTGCTTTGTTATGTTGTTTGAAACGAGAAATGAAATGGGTAGTGAAGTTTTAGCTTAATATAATTGTTTTTTGGATATTTGGTTCTGTACATATGTCAGTGTATGAAAGGATTTTATAGATACAAATCTTGTTATTTTGATTGAAAAAAGAAAACTTTTTGAGGGTAATGATTATAGTTTTTATGGAGTGTTCATAATTAGATAGCCATGTCAAGGAGGCCAGGAAATCCAGCTAGACGCTTAGCTGATGGTGGAAGCCTTCCTTTTGTTGGATCTGTCCATTCAAAATCACGTTCACCGCCTTTACTGTCTATTGGCCTAGTAGTTGTGGTAATTTCAATTGCTACTCTGCCTTTTTCTTTTAATTTTCAAAGCGTGGTATTACTTCACAAGATTTGTTGGGTGTCAGTCTGTTGACTAAATATTGTCTGTTTTTCACTTCTTCTTCTTGGTGGGGGTCTGTTGTTAACAAGCTGGCATTCAGTGTTTTGACTTGTTTGATTTAGTTCTACTCTGAAAACTACTGATTTTTTTTTTTCAGGGTGCAGTGCTTCTGATTATATATTGTTATAGTGGCTCAGGTTTGCACTTTTCCTGCAAATTTAATCTTTCTAACAAGATGGAGTAATTTGAGTTTCCAAGTTATGCCTGTTTCTCCTGCTAAGATCAGAAGGAGTGACCTCTTTGCTTCAAGAAAAAGAAAAGAAAATGAAATCATACTCAACATGGGCAACTAATAGAAGGACCTGTGTGTTCTAGTTTCAAGTTTATATTCTATTATTATTACTTTTTATTGAATTTTTCAAGGTTAATGTCTCAGGTGGTCATATCAGTGAAAGAGAAGCTTTCAATAAAGGGGAAGGTAAATTGCACCAAACATGTGTTTTCATTGTCTTACTTTCTAGATAGTAATATATAAAAAGAATGCAGTCTGCAATTATATTGATAGATTTGAAAGGGATTTTGTTGAATTAGTGATATGAATATTCTTTTAAAACAGTTATTTTTCTAGCCCTGATCCTTACTGATACCATAGTGCTAAACCATGTAAAATAAAGCAAAGGAATCTATAGAGCTGACCCCATCTAAACTGGAATTGCATTATAATTGTATTTCATCAAAATATATCTACCATCTAAATGGTACCACAACGAGAAAAAGAAAATTATGAGTAAATGAGTTTAAGATCTCCTGGGATTCAACTTATTAGTTTAGTCTTGGACTCAATTTCATCTTTCTTTACTTTGACATTTAAATATTCACATCTTCGTTGCCTTGAATTCAATATTTATTGCAAAAAATGATTATTGCACATACCTTTCTTTTGTTTTTCTCCCTACTGTTGTTATTGTACTTTTTCCCTATTGAGTTACTAGGAATAAGAGAATAAAAATGGATTGGGGGCTTATTCTCTTCCTGATTTTTTACTAACTAGCACCCACATGGGGATAAAATCAAATAATGGAAGCCTTTGTATGTTGACTTCTAATCTTATTCGATTTATTCCATGTTGCTAGGGTTGTTAAGGAATGTGAAATGAGTATTTGACTCCCATTCTTGACCTCTCATTTCTGATAAGCAACTAGTCATAAGAAGTTGTCTGGAAGCTTTGATCACTGATTATCATTTCTCAACTGCCCTTCTTGTCCAATATACTCTGAGCAATTTACTTGGATACATTTCGGGTGTGCTCAAAGGTTCTGTTTAGAAGAATCAAAATCAGATATCAATGATGCTTATTGCCATCTCAACTTGCCAATCATTATCTTTACTGATATCTTTGATAATTTTGTTTTGTAGTGTGTGGTTTCTATTAGTTATATTTTTGTTTATTGCTGATTGAGTTATATAATTGGCAATTTTGATGAAAGGTTTCTTTTTAGATACTTGTGGTCCTTTTTTTGTCTTATTCTGTAGGATTTATTGATATTTGTCTGCATCAAATGTTCTTAACGATACATTTTTTCAATTTCTATGAAGCATGCTTACTAGCCAGATACATGGATGCTAAAAGAATAGTTCATATCTAATTTCCAACTGTCAAAAGCTAACGTACTGCTTCAATTCATTTGGACATTCCATCTTATGAGAACAATTGGGCACTTTCAAAATTCATCTTGTAGCTATGTTAAATTCAGAAACAACTTGGCATTTGGGGCTCATTTTGGTGTCTATACAAACAAGCAGCTAGTATCCTGTTTTGGACTTAGTAAATTAGGATTATGCAGTTATGATTGTAGTATCATGAAGCAACTAATTGTATATTTGAAAATGAAGGCTTCTCTTCAGGACTACAACTCAACCATGACCCTGGATTTTGTGCACTAATTGTTTCTGTTAATAATATTTTTGAAGATTAGGAATAAATAAGATGAACATGTTTAAGTTTGTTAACTTATATTTAAACTATTATTATATTGTTGTGGAATAATGTTGTTATGAGAATTATTGACTAAACAATTCATCAATCTGAAGATTTCATGTAAATGCAGCTGTGTCATGCACATTAGAAGTCCAAAGAGCAATCCCCATCCTGAAGAAGGCTTATGGTGACAGCATGCATAAGGTGTTGCATGTAGGTCCTGACAGTTGCTCTTTAGTATCAAAATTATTAAAAGAAGAAGATACAGAAGCTTGGGGTGTGGAACCATATGACTTGGATGATGTGGATGTCAGTTGCAGAGGTCTTGTGCGCAAAGGCATTGTACGTGTGGCAGATATCAAATTTCCCCTGCCATACCGGGCAAAATCATTTTCACTTGTTATAGTTTCAGATGCATTGGATTACTTGTCTCCTAAATACCTTAATAGAACTCTTCCTGAATTGGCAAGGGTTTCTGCTGACGGCATCGTTATTTTTTCTGGTAATTTGCTACAACGCTCATGTTTGTTTATTTTGTTATAAGACCAGCAAGCAAGGAGTTTTTTGGACACTCAATCTGACCTTGAAGATTAGCTAATGACCTACACTAACTTGGCTATCGCTTTTAGATAAAGAGATTAAAGAGTCTAAAAAAGCAATGCCATTTTGTTAACTTGTCATTACAATGTCACTCCTAAGTATCTGATTCCAGTGAGAGGGACATATAGAATCCACTCTTATTCTTTTGTACATACTTTTGCTTTGAATAGGAAACTGTTGCCTCTTCAAAAGTTGAATTGTTTAAGCCAATATTTATGAACAATTTCTAAATATAGTTCGCTAAATGCTTTTGTCTCTTTCTTCAAAATCTAATGTGTCATGAAAAATAATTTTTTCCTCTCAAAAAATTGCTGATTTCGGTTTCCTTATATAGGTTCGCCAGGTCAGCATAAAGCAAAAGGTGCCAAGTTATCTAAGTTTGGTCGGCCGGTAAGTAGACATTATATTCTAATGTTTCAATTCATAATGGGGTTACTGTTTTGCGTTTCTTTAACTGTATTTCATGATATTTATGTGTTGTCTTCCAATTTTAGTTCATTCCATTTGGCTTGACATTAGGATGCAAGGTCTTTGAAAGTAAATTATATGCTATGTATTTCACTTTTGGTAATGAACCTCTAAAACGTACATCTTCAGAAAACTGCAGCAGCTGCTGCCCTTCCTTTTTTTTTTTTTTTTTTCACAAAAAAATTTTCTTGGACCTTATTTCTTCTTTTCAATTTTTATTTACAATTCACTATTAATATCTAGATTTCTAAATGGTGTGGCTTTTGGTGAAAACATTCATTTTATGATGCTTTCTTTTTCTGTTTCCTATTGAAAAAATGACATGCTCAAGAAGTATTACTTAAAATGTTGACATTTTGCTGAAGGTCAAATACCGAAGCTCAACATGGTGGATAAGGTTCTTTATTCAAATTAGCTTAGAAGAGAATGAAGTTGCTGCAAAGAAGTTTGAGCAAGCTTCAATCAAGAAGTCATATGAACCAGCCTGCCAAGTTTTCCATCTCCTGTCATACCGTTAAGAATCTCTGCACTTATAACATCTTTTGCAGTATCTGCACCTTGGCGAAAACCACACCAATGAGCACCTTAAACACCCGTAGGGTAAATTATTTTGTGGAAACTAAAAACTTGCATTCTTTTCTACCATTATATATAGTAAAATTTTTGTTATCATTTATTTCATTATTTATTTACTGGGGAAGTTGCCATGCATGAATTTGATTCTATGATTCCTTCATACTTTTCCATACTTGCTGTTGCTGTGTTTGTTCTGTTACTGAACTTTTACTCCATAACTCATAAGAGAAATCTCTTAGTGAATGCTTATAGGATAGAGATTGGTGTGTTTAGATGTTGAAATGAAAATCATCTTACCCTCTAGGATAGGTTTGGTTGTCTGAAATGGAACAGAAATGAATGTTTCTAAAATTTATGTTTTGTGTTTCAAGATTTGATTCACAAAACTAGATAATATTTCCCAACAAAAAGATTGAAGCTATTTAATATGGAATGTATATAAGAACACTATAATTGGTTGGGTTTGTACTGTGCATCGCAAATGTTTGTCTTAGCTCAACCGCTACAACGCATGTCTTCTACCCTTTGTAGTTTATTAGGTTGTTTTGATTGTGAAAGTGCTTATTCTTTATTTTCCCTTAATTAACTAATTAATAAGATTTTTTTTTTTTGCCTATATTTTTAACTGTTCGAACACTTATTTGCAATAGCCCGCAGTCAATGCACCTGAAAAAACACTAATAGCGTGTTTGGATAACAATTCAGGTAGGAAAGAAAATATGGAAGGGAAATAAAGAAGGAAAATATAGAAGAATTTTTCCTCTTGATGTTTGGATATTTGAGAGGAAAATGAGGGAAAATGATGTCATGAATAGTAAAATTATGAGTTTAACCTTTATTTTTTTTAATAAAGTACAAAAAATTGGAGGTAAAATTGTAATTTACATCATTTCCCTCCATTTTTTCTGCCAAATTTGAGAGAAAATGACATATGAGTTTCATAATTTGTTTTCTTTCTTCCCATATTTTCGAAAGAAAATTGGTACTATATTCCTCCTCAATTTTCTTTCCTCTCCTATTTTTCACCAATCCAAACATATTATATCTAACGGTGAAATCTCCAACTTCAATTAGTCTAATTGAAAAGCAATACGGTATGTAGTTTCAACAATATAAACATTTTTCTCCAGTACCATAATAATCTCTATCTTCACAGTTCCTCAAACTCAAAGGAATATGCAAAACTCATAGAGTTAAACTTCTTCAGAAAAAATCAAAGTCAAGAAATTTTTTAATGTTTTTTCGCTCAATTTCTAGACTCAATCTGCGTATTAAAGGTCCAAACACAGCCTTTTAAAGTTATAATATATTTTGATTATTTTTATTTATTTTAAACTTAATGATTTCTTTTATTCTATGAATACGAGCATTTTAAAAGTTATTAAAAATAAAATTAATTAATACTTTCTCAAATTTGCATTATTTTTCTTTTCGAAAAAGACTTAATTGATGCATGACACGATCAATATAAAAGTAAAAAAAAAAAAAAAAGTGAAAATAAAAAACATTAATAATTACACTTATAAGATGGAGAAGCGCTAACGTGCGCTGATCTCTGGTGTCTCCGCTATGGCCACTGGAGACCAGACAAAGAAACTTCCACTCTTTCCTTTGGTTTCTCTCCTCTGCTTCGCTTCCATCTTCTTCGTTCTCTCTTTTTCAAGAAGACCTCCACTCTCTCACCAGACTTTTCAACTCAAACCGAATCTCATATCCGACCCGACTTCACCACCCGAATCCTGCGATTACACACAAGGCTCCTGGGTCTACGATCCAAATTGGAGCTCCGACAGGTACGATAGTACTTGCAAGGAGCTATTTAAAGGATGGAATTGCATTGCTAATAATAAATCCAATGCTAGAGAAATCGTCAAGTGGCGTTGGCAGCCTAATGGCTGTAATCTCCCGCCTTTCGATCCAGTGCGGTTCTTGGAGACGTATAGAGACACTAAAATTGGTATTTTATTCTCTTTGTAATAGTTGATTTGGTAACATAACTAGCATCAGTGTTTGTTGTAATACGGAGCTTCTATAGTAGCTAGTAGCGATCGATTTCTGTTTGGTTACTGAGATAAGGTGAGAAAAAGTGGAGTTACATAATTGTGAATGACTATGCTAATTCATGGTAGACAGCTTTGTTGAATGTTTTATTTTCAATAGTTAATATTTGGCAAAAGAATTCTCATGAGTTGAATTTCTTGGGCGTTCTAGTCATGGGGCGTTTCTGTTGCTGCAATTTTTGGCTTACCTCATAAATAATTATAGTCTTGGTGCTAAATGTTTAGACATGTTGATAACTTTTAATAATGATATGGGCTTTTTTAATAATATATCAACTTGTTGCATTAGTCTTATGTTTGTAGACCTTACGGCTGCGTTGCAGTGCAGGATTTATTGGTGATTCCTTGAATAGGAATATGTTTGTTTCTCTCTTTTGCACATTGAAGAGGGTGTCGAGTGCAGTGAAAAAGTGGCGTCCTGCCGGGGCTGATCGGGGGTTTACATTTACTGACTATAACCTTACTATTGCATACCACCGAACAAATCTTCTGGCACGTTATGGTAGGTAAGTTATATACTGTTTATTGTTATTGTGTATGTTATCATGTTTTCAGTCTTTCAATGTGATAATGATTGCCTAGATTGTAGTTCCCCTGCTTCTGCTTCATTTGTTCATTTGACCATTTCAATTTCCTTCTAATAACTCCTCAAGGATAGTAATCTAACTTGAAACCAAGCCTTAAGTTAAAAAATTAGGACTTTTATATAGTCCTTGTGTATGAAAGCTTTAGGATTTGTACTAGGAGAATTACCCTCCCGATTTGTAGTAAAAAAAGGCTCAATATGGCAGTAATGATATATGAAGGACATCCATGAGAACCATGTAATAGGGGCGTCATGCATCATGAGATATGGCAGATATCAGTAGATTACCTAAAGTTGACGGGCTATGTCATTTGCTTCCTATCTTGGTCGTTTGGTTGATCTGATTCACACCACAACTATTTTATATGTTGCTGTGAAAAAATATGCTGTTCTGTTTTGTTTCTTGGTTATATTGCTGATTCGATTTGAATTTATTAGAATATTTCTTTTTTAAATTTGAAATTTTGGATTGATTTAGCTTGTTTTGCACCTGCTCAATGCAGATGGTCTGCTAATGCTAATGGTGGAGAGTTGGAATCTCTTGGATATAAAGAGGGTTATAGAGTTGATGTGGACATTCCAGACGGCACATGGGCAGATGCTCCCAACTTCCATGATATTCTGATCTTCAACACAGGACATTGGTAATTTCGTTTAGTCACACGTTCACTGGTCGGGTAATGTTATATCTACTGTTTGTCTATTGTGCTATGTCTATCATGACTTTTCAGCTTTTCTATCGTGATAATGACTTGCCTTAGAATGTAGTCCACCTGCTTCTGCGCCTTGCATTTTGTTTCATTTGACCCATTTCAATTTTACCTCTCTAACTAACTCCTCTAAGATAGTAATCTAACTTTGAAAACCAAGCCGTTATAGTTAAAAACTTAGACATTAATATACGATCCTTGTGTATGAAAGCTTTAAGGATTTTGTCTAGTGAGACATTAGACTCCCTCACCGATTATGGTAGAAAAAAAGGCAATAATTACGCAAAGTAATGACTTATATGATACGATCGGCATGAGAACGCCTCTCAAAAAAAATGGTGGCGCGGGCGTCATGCGATCATGAGGATATGCATATATCAGTATGATTACTAAAGTTGACGCGAGCTCATGTCATTTGTTCCCTATCTTGGTCGGTTTGTTCAATTTGAGTCCACACCCACAACTATTTTATATGTTGCTGGTCAAAAAATATGCCTTTTCGCTGTTCTGTTTTGTGTCTTTGTGGTGAGCTGATGCTGATTCGATGTGAATTTATCTAGAATATCTTCTTTTTTAATTTGACAATTTTGGATGATTAGCTTGTTTTGCCACCTCTGCTCCAATGCCAAGATGGTTGTGCTACATGGCTACCGCGTCGAATTGGTGGATAGAGTTGGAATGCTCTGGTATAAAGAGGTATATTAGAGTTGTGGGACCTTCCTATAGAGTTGATGTGGACATTCCAGACGGCACATGGGCAGATGCTCCCAACTTCCATGATATTCTGATCTTCAACACAGGACATTGGTAATTTCGTTTAGTCAGTTTTTTTTTTTTTTCTCTCTTTTTGTGATAATCTGGAGTGGATTAATGCTGTTAATTTAAATAAATTGTGATGCATAATTGTCCATAACTGTTTGACTCTATTCTTCATTCAATCACTGTCAATGTTCTTTCAATAGTTTCCTTCTCGCCTGTTACTTTTATCAGCTACAGATACTCTTTTCACCGACAGTTTTTATGATTTTTTGCTTCTTATTAATAGGTGGTGGGCTCCTTCAAAATTTGATCCTGTAAATTCACCCATGCTTTTCTTTGAGAAGGGCCAACCTGTTATCCCACCTATACCTCCTGATGTTGGCCTGGACAAGGTTTTGAAAAGCATGGTATGTTGTTCGAGAACTTTCAAATTTTATTGTTTGCACATTCTCGAGAACTTCCAACATTTTTATCTGTTTTGCTCACTTTCTCATTTTACCTGCAGTAACCAGCAAAAAGCAATGTGTTATATGTTGTATTATTGTATTTAGTTGTTTACATTCTCTGCTTGCAGTGTTCATAGGAATTTGAAAGATAAAGAAATTCACTGTGTAAAATTTATAATAGCTTCTTCTCTTTTTTGACTGGATTTAATTATAATACTATACTATAAAATATACACTTCCACGAGTACCTTCAAGAAGCACCTAATGCTATAAGAACGGAAATTACTTTTCTCTTTTGATTTATTGGTACTTTTACTGTTTTGGAAATTAGAGCAACATTCGATTAAAACATGAGTATGCCTGCTCGATTGCTTCATGCCTGCTCGATTGTGAAGCAAAATCGATGAAATGGTGACCAACATTAATCAGTGGAAATAATCAACTGTATTTGAATGCTTAAACCCATCCATATCTACGTTAATTAAATGTAATGTGATTCCAATGCTGTGCTGTAATACAATAGGGAGTTTTACTTCCTTTTATACCTTACTTCCTAACGAGAATAGGACATAATCCATTGGTATCACATCAAGAGACATAGCCAGCTGAACTGGCACAGCCTTTTGCTTCTGCATGATTTAATATATATCTTTATTTTTCTAAGATTTATTTTCCTTCACTCTAGATACTGTTTGTTGAGAAAAGATTGCGTCCCGGTGGGATCAAGTTCTTCCGTACAGAGTCACCTAGACATTTTGAAGGCGGTGATTGGGACCAGGGTGGTTCCTGTCCACGTGTACGACCTTTCTCGTCTGAGCAGGTGAATAACATCTAGAATTATAAGTTTGAACATCATAATTTGTTGAACTTTATACCTTATTTGGTTCACTTCGGAATTAGAAATAGAATTCAATTCCTGGAATAAGATTCTATTTTTTTTTATTTGGTTTAAAAGGAAATCATAATCTTTTGCTATTTGTATATTTGAATAACTTCATTTTATCTTGAGCTGAAATTAATTTTTAAGTATGGTTCTTAATATAATGACATACTATTTAATTATCATTTAAGAAATAAACTTGGAGTAGCATTCTTCGGATCTACACAGGCATTTCCATTTTCTTTATTCGTATGAGCTTGAAATTAATTTTTAATATGGTTCTTCTTTCAAATAACTGACATACTATTTTCAATTATCAATTTTAAGAAGTATAAACTCTCGCGCGTCCTATTAGCATTTTCTTTCGGAATCTATCCACAGGCCTATTTCCGATATTCTATTCCATTTTTTAAGCACAATGACAACAAATAAACTTGCGCTATATATCGCCATTTCTTTTGGTACACGCCATAGAATGCTCGTTTCTCCTGTTTCATTTTTTCCGCTGCAACTTTCAATGTTATGGCCAGGCTCTTTAAAAATTTTGTCTCGATCCATCATAACCATCTCTGACCTACATCTCCATATATCGTAATTCCCTCGCCTTTCTCGACCTGTCATCCGGTGGATCTACTTCTTTACCGTATCTTCTCCGAGAGCAATGCGACAATAATTCTACTTATAGGTGTGAAGATCTCGTTTTCTCTGGAGAATTAAATGGGAACAATGTAAAATCACGCCTGTGAACCAGCATCATATTCAGCAAATGTAGAATCACGCCTGGTGAACCAGCATCTATTCCAAGCTCTCAATGGATCTAATTTCCATATCTTGGATATAACCCACTTGAGCGAGTTCAGGGGAGATGCCCATCCATCTACAGCAGGTGGGAAGAGACATGATGATTGCATGCACTGGTGCTTGCCTGGAATAACAGATACTTGGAATGACTTGTTCATAATGCATCTAGACGGTATTAAGGTCAGAAACTGATGCATCACTAATTATTCTTTTTCCATAATTGAGTGTAGGTTCTTTGAGATTCTCCTGCTAATGATATCAAGTCTTTTCTATTTATATTTTGAAAATTGAAACACCCACGAGGGCAATGACAGTCGCATAATTAATGGCAAAAAAAAAAAAAAGTAAAGAGGAATAAAATTAATCTTTAGCCATAGTATTATATATTCATTCTTAAATAGAATGCTATTTTGCATATATAATTAACATAGATATGAAAAACTTAATAAATGGGTTGTGCATATCTTCATAATCCATCAAGGGAAATGTCTCTATACGGAATCTGGGAATCGGCCGATCAAAATTAAATTTATTGCTCAAAAATTAATCTCATAGTGCAAGCCATTTGATGTTTGAACTTATAATATATTGATATAGAGATGAGAAGCTCAATCAATCAGAATGGTCCATCCTTTCTTGTGTTCGACAAGACTGTATCCCTGTCAGAGTTTTGCACAGCCTATAACACGCTGCAGGTTCTCCTGTTCTATATTCAGCTCTGCATTAACATAATTAACTAGCTAAACTATGACATAATTTTGCATGCTGTTTCATACTGATATAATTTTCAGTTTTTCATAATGAGTTAATTTTCATGTATATTAGTAGCAGCAGCTGTGAAGCTTGTTATCCAAGAGATTCACATAAAAGCCCTAATCTTGTACAAAATTTAACAATGAAAATAGCTAGTAACTACTTCTATACGAAAATTTTAGAATTATATTGAAGTAATTGGAATTTTTAAATGGATTAAATGTAATTCTAATTTCTAAATCACCAATCTGCTGAAAGCTGAAAGCTGAAAGCTAAAACGTCTAACATCAGTTCCAACAGCTTATTCAAAATGGATTCTGAATTTATATATAAAAGTTAAATAGGCTAAAAAATATCTTATTAATTTTCTTTACAAATAATAAAAAATATTTATTAGCTATTGAAAACTTATTAATTTTCTTTTACAAATAATACAAAAAATATTTATAATAAAAAATATTTATTAGCTATTGAAAATTGTTCATATTTATAACTTGAACTAACTTGACATCTTGTTCCTCTACTTTAATTTATTGTTATTAGGGGAAAGAATCAAAATTAGAAAACCAAGAATACAAAGTCATGAAAACACTAGTGTATTATTAATATATTATTTATTTTATGTTTACACGAGGTATTCAGGCCCGTATTTGTTTTAATGGTCCACAATAAACTGAGGATCTGGGACTGATACGAGAGAATTTGTATTGTAGAGACAGGATCGAACCCATGACCTTATTATACTGATCAACCGCATAGTTGCTTTTTCCCACTGAATTATTCCATTTGAGTTATTATTTTTATATGTTGTTTCTAATAATTTGTCTTCGTTTTATCGGCAGCTATACTTTAATCTTGTATCATGTTAAGACAGTGACTTGTGCGTTCACATGATTTCACTATTAAAAGCATGACTTTCTTTAATCAATTAGTCTTACTCGTCTCTTAAAGTCTTAATTACTTGCTGAAAACCTGACAAATACACAAAACTAAACACAGAATCTAACCGAATTATTCTTTACATTTTTGTACAAGAAATGCTTTTGTCCCGTGAACTTCCGGAATACATGCCTGTAATACTGGACTTCTGTTTTCTTTTATCTATTCTCTTTTTCTTCACCGTGAAGTAAGATTGGTAAATAAAATAATGAATTAATTGTCTTTATTTGCTTAACTTTTCTATAAAAACCCAAGATTCTATGCCCATTTTAATCAAGAACAATTAAACTCTCTCTCTCTCTAGACATTTTCGGTTTCCTTAACTTGAAAAAAATATGTCAAGCAAGCTCTTATTATTAGCCACAGTTTTAGTGGGACTTACAGTTTTATTCGAGCTCTCCCTAGCACAAAATTCTCCTCAAGACTATGTTGATGCACATAATTCAGTTCGTGCACAAGTACACAAGTAGGAGTTCCACCCAATCACTTGGAACAGAAACAGTGGCTGCTTAATGCTCAAGAATATGCAAATTCAAGAGTTGAAAATGTGCGAATTCGAGCATTTTCCTAAATGGACCCTTATGGGAGAACATTTGCAGAAGGTTATGGTAATCTAAACGGCGTTTGAGCGGTGGCGATGTGGGGTTACTGAGAAAGGCTAATTATGATCATTAAATCCAATTCTCTGTGGTTGGTGATGAGTGCTTGCACTATACTCAGGTGTTTGGCGAAAGCTCACGTTCCATCTTGGTTGTGGGAGGGCAAATGACAAAGATAATGGGTGGTGGTTTGTTACTTGATAATTTATGATCCTGTAGAAATATTGAAGGAAATATTGAGGGCCAACGTCCTTATTGAATTCATATTTCCTAATATAATATATATAAGTTGAATTACATAATAATTGTTTTTTTTTTCTAATTTAACCTATTCTTGAATAACTTTAGAGGAATCAATGACGATGAAAAATTAAAGTCACAAGCTTCTTGTTACACCTAGTTTATTTTATTTCATGTTTTATGCATTTTGTTCTGCTATATATTAAGAATAGGATTGAAAGCAGATATAATTGAGATATCGGAGTAAAATTAATACTTGCATTTAAAGAACATTGAAATGTAGCAATTAGTTAATTCCCATCATTTTCTTGCTCTTTTTTTTTTTTTTTTTTTTTTAAGACAAAAATGCTACCTTATGCAAATAAATTAACAATATTAATTTTTTTTTCCAGTTTCTTAAACACTATTTCTTTCTAACGTCAAAACCAAGATTTAGGATATAACGAGAAAAAAATATCTTAGAAAATTTAATGCTTAACTATCAAGTAGCCATCTATTTATTGTAAGAGAATATAAATCTCTACTAAATTTAAAATGATAATAGTTACAAATATTCAGTACAAAAAAAGAAAATAAAAATTATTATAAAATAAACTCTTTGAAAACTCAACTAACAAAAAAAAAAAAAATTCAATATATACTAGATAATATAAATATATCAATAAATATTATATATTTTTTTAAAAATTTTAAAATTCAAATCGTTACCTTCCCTGTTTTATTATGTTAAATTTTATTTGAAATTATTTATTACAAAATATAAGCAATTCAAATATGACAAACTATAAAGAACAAAAATATTAATTATATTCGTTTTTTATCTCTTCTTCCTAAATAAAATATTATATATATTCTATTTTTTCAAAATTTATTTTAAAAAAATATATCCAATCATATCATACAAACATAAAGAAAAAGGAATATTAATAAAAAATATATATTTTCTTTCTTTTTTTATATATATCCTAAAGAATTTAAATATTTAATTAAATAGAATATAAAAAAATTCTCAAATTTCTCATTATATATATATTCGTAAAATAAATTTAGTAATAAAAAACTTAAAAATTTTAAATGGCTTAATTATATATATGTATTTATTTTAAAAAAATTATTTTTTCGACTTCATTAGTTAGGCCGAATAGGACCGAAATAACCTGCATGCTACACAACAGTCAAATTGGTTAACTCACCTATACAAAAAAAAGTTTAAATGTATCATAGATATATAAATATATACAATAAATTTATATTTAAAGTAAAATTGTCACTATTTAAACCATCACATTGTCTAATTATGTAAATTCTATTGAAAATTATTCATAATCGTCTTTTTCCTTTCGCTTAAATTAAAAAATAATATCCCAATCAAATCCTTATAACAGAAAAGAACAAAAACATTAATAAAAAATAAATATTACATTTTTTCTTGTTTTATCTACTCTCCTTAAATTAAAATATATATTAATTATTAATTCTAGTTTTGAAATTTTTTTTTTTGGATTAAAGATATCCTAATCAGGATACATTAGATACTCCCAAAGAATAAATTAAATTTCTTTCTTTTTTTTTATTATATTCCTATTAAAAGAAAAATATTTTTACTTATAATAAAATAATTTAAAATTTTGTTTTTTTCAAATAACTCATTATCACATTAATTATTTGAAAAAGGAATAATAGTGAAAAATTACTGTGAAAGATGAAAAGAAATAGAAGACTTAAAGGATTCTTAGAAATACATTTCAATCACATATATAACCTTCCACATATGATGTCTGTAAAGTAATCCACATATTTTAGTAATAGTGCGAATAATCAGAGAATATTTTTCTTGCTAGATAGTGGCATATCACAGACTCAGATAAAAACTCGCGCAGAGAAATAACTTGCATATTAAATTTCATATATAGTATAATATTTAATTTATGCCAAGATGATAAACTTTAAATATGAGATTTTTTTTGAAAAATTAGAGAAATATTTTTCTTGCTATATATCAATGAAACTGCGAACTTGCTTTAATTATTATAGTTTTTTTTTTTCAATTTTAACTTTAATTGAATTTTTTTTTTTTGAATTCATATATGTTAACTTATATGCTTTTGGTTAACTACTTTTTTTTCCACAATTTTTCAATTTATTGAAAAGTCTAATGAGTCAAAATAATACTGCGAGCCACGCAATAAATTGGTGAAAAAACCTTGTGATTGATAGGACTCAACTTGAGATATTTCATTTCTGACATAAGTGATAAAACTAACGAGTTAAAATATATTACCATTAAAAGCAACTTTTAAAATTTGCAATTCTCCCTGTTTATAGCAACTTATAAAATTTTTCTAACCTTAGCTTTAGCTAAACGAGATCACAGTTGTGAAACTGCTAATTTTGATTTTAAAGAAAGATGAAACCAAAATAGAATTGTTTACATATGATCCGAAACTATCTACTATGGTTTTGGTTAAGATCCCATATTTTTTTAAAAATTTTTTTTAAGTTTTATAGCATGGGTTAGAAAACATAGTCATTTAAATATTAAACCAAATTAACTTGTCCTCTGAATCTCAAAAGAAACATCAAAAGGGACAACAATACAAGATAGTGTCTTTATGCACAATAAATTTATCCAATGCATGTAAGTTAATATTTATACAAAATATAAAATTAAATTGAAAAAAGAAAATAAGATTATATTAATTTGGTGGTGATTTGGTTGGTCTTTTTATTTATGTGAAGAGTGAGAGATCTCGAGTTCGAACTC